AAAACTAAAACAAAAAAAAAAAGAAGAGAGAGAGAGGTTTTCAAAGTTTTTTCATATTTGCATTTACTCAAGATTTTCTTGTGGTCTTTTCAGAGTTATTTCAGTAATAACGACGTTCGCTGTATTCTTTTTTCTTCGGATCTTTGAGAGGAAGCTATAGACTTATATACCTAACGTACGCCAAGAATCATAGCTACACTGTTTGTACTCATAAATATTTTTTCACAAGTTTCGATATTGCTCGTGATGTCGTTTGTGATCGTTGATTACTTATTTTTATTAGGGCATTTATTTGTAAAGCTCTTACAAGACAGCACCGAATCCAAATGTGATTTTGATGCTTCTTATATAATATTCTTCGAAATTGCCTCTTACTTTGTCCTCTTCACCAACAGGAACGCCGCTCCAAGTGACTTGCAATTTGGTTTCGTGGTAATCTTTGGATTCATGCAAATTCATGGTCATAACACTGAAATGACCCGATTGCCACTCATTGAGTCTCCAAGCGAAGACCAATTTTTTACCTGGCTCGCATTGTTCCAATTTAGAGGTAACGTTGCCCCCAAATAGAGTGAATTCGTCGCCCTTTTCTATGCGAGGGCTGCTCGACGCACATATCAGATGGGATCTCGACCATGCCATTATACGTTGTTTGTCGAGAAAAGTGTTGTACAATTCGATAGCGGGAACGTTGAAAGTGGGCTCCAAATGCAAGGTCGTGGTATTGTACTTGGGAGCGGTAGAAGAGGAATTAGCAACGCTCTGGGGACCTGCGGCACCACTGCTCGAAGTCGCTGTGGCAGTACTGGACTTTGCAATGGATTTGGGTTCCGATTTAGTTGCACCGCCCTGCGAGAGACTCTTTTGGTTCGCTCTGGTGAATTGAGATTGGACTTGGCTCTCTGGGACCTGGATATCGTCACCGTGGGTCACCAACAGGTCATGTGCAAACCCGGAAAAAACGTCTCTTAGTTTTGGAATGAGTTCGCTGCGAATCACGGGCTTCACCTCACTGAGCTGAGCGGTCTCTTTGTATATCGAAATCTCAAATTGGTAGTCATCTGGCTGCGAATCGAACGCGACCTCAGGAACCGTGATACTACCTTCGAAAGGCTCTTCGCCAACGAAACCTTTCAACATCATCACGACCTTTAAATCAAACAACGAGATCACTTTACCCTTGCGCTGGCTCACTTCACAGTCACCTTCAACCGCGGAAACAGACGCAATCTCTGCATGCTTGCCGGTTTTCTCGTTTGAACTCAATCCGACCAGTTTTGAGCGCATATACTGGCGCGCCCACTCGATACAGTTCTTATCGACCCAATGCCAATTGTTAGGATTGTGTACTACCATAATACGTCCTCAGATACCCTCGTCTCTGTACTGTAGAAGTGGGTTCTTTTTTGATTCATTACAAACGTCTAGGCTCTTAAATAGTCTGAGATGGGACCCCAAAGTCACGTGCCTGTTTTCTGGAACATTCTGAGTTCCTTATAGGTCAGGTCCCTTCGTTGTAAATGACATCAACACTTTTCGGTCTTCACTATAGCTACTGAAACTTGATTTTATAGAAAAGTAGTCGCGTTATTCGGTTACTTGATTTTGTCTGTCAGTGGATCACCATTTGTACCAATCGAATTGTCATACTTTTACTTACGTTCTTGGAAACGATTTCCGACCGAGCACCGGTGAAGAATGCTGTAATCTAGTTGCTCCGGCACAAAAAAGGGTGGCATTGAAATAAGCGAACAAAGCCTATACTGCGCGTTGCTAAATAGTCTGTGACCATTGCTCGATACTGACGGTGCCAACTAAGCCCTTCTCGTAACAAGCGACAACCTAATACGACTCACCAATATGAGTGGATAAACCGTATCTCGCGTTATTGTTTATTGAAGGAGAATGCAAGGAAGTGACATTTTCGGATTGCATTCTCAACTGACCTACAACGAAGATTCGACATTGGGCCATTTTAGGACCAATTTCATGAATCTCCAAGCTTATCTACCGTGAGCAGAATATCCTGAAAACCAAGAGACGGGTACAACGCTTTTGTGAGACCGCAATGAATATCGGTGACGACACAACGACTAATCACATCGCCGAGAGATGGGCAAGTTTATCTTTGGATAAGACTACAAACCCCTTTTTCTTAGTCGGGGAAATCAAAAGACTCATCCAGGAATCAATCGACGAAGGATTTATTGAGAAGAAGGACGACGCTCGTGTCTACATCAAAAGAATTATCAAACCAGGTGAGACAATTAGACCAGAAATATGCGTGGAATGTTTCGTCGACGATATCCTAAATAGAATCCTAGCATACGCAGAGTTTTGTATATCTGCAAATGAGGTTACTTGGCGCAAAGGACCGAACGCCAATAAGCCGAAAAAGCAAGTGACGTGCTTCACTTGCCATGAGGTTGGACATTTTGCAAACAAGTGCTATAAGAATAAAACCAGAGATCTAAAGGGTAGAAGAGCCCCAAGGAAGCACCCAAGGCAAATTGTTGATAGAAAAGGCTATAAAGAAGTTTATTGAGGGATCGCCAAAACTACTGGTCTTGATTGACAGTGGAGCTTCATTTTCTACTTTTAAAGGAATATTATTTTTGCTAGCTGAGACTTATAGAAGAATACGACAGGATTTTTGACGCCCGAGATAATGAGATTGACGCTTTTGATCCAATCGACAAAATGCCACCGGGAACACCAAAATATTCTATTTCATTGAGGTTAATAAGCTCAGGGACTATCGTCATCGATCCTTGAAGTCAAATACACGAAACCAGAAGATAACATTTTTTTTAAGATCAGCTATGAACGAAATAGGCAATCAAATCAAGAATCTGCCGACCACCGAACTTCGACGCTGCTAAACCTCAATATGATAGCACCGCTAGTGATGGTGGATGACTTGATTTTATTTGATGTCAGTATATATGTCTATATCTTGTGCGGATGTTTTTTTATGTAATTCTCTGTTATCTTTTTATCATATTCAAGACCTTGTTAATGATCTTGTCGCACGTCTATCACCACAAATTGTGGAGGGTCAAGGCCGCTTAGTGCGCCATTGACTCTGGCACTACGGAGTATCCGCTTGAACACATGAAAAACTTTGTCTATTGGTACACACAGCGTTATTAGCCCCAACCAGAATCATACAACCATTACCTTTCTGGCAGGTAAGAGGTGGAAAGAGATCTACGTACGTTGGTTGGGATCCATCGTAGTTGTGCACGTCTACGGACTTTGAAATTGTTTTCCAATTAGATGTCTGACATTGGTAACTACCCGTGACCGTGTCCCACAATCCGTCTGATGAGTTGCAGATATTTATAGAGTACCCATTTATTCCTAGAGCTACATAACCTCGCCTGCGCATTCTTGGGTCTAAAGGCCTTTGCCTGTTGAAGTCTGGGAAGAACCCCGCTTCAGCCAACCCTATGAAGCCCCGGTAACTCACCACCCCGGAGTAGCCTTCAGATAAGTCCGTCATGCCCCTGTTAACCCTAGATATAGCCAACACAAGTGTTGGATTGACCTCAAAACAATCCATGAATACCCCAAACGCATCATCACTGATAGCAGTATTGGCAACCGGATTTGTGCTAACTTGTCGGTGTTGATCGAGAAAAATCTCAACAGTAACATCAGTAGCGTTCACACATTGAGAATAGTCTCGATCAAATCGCTCGAATTCGTCCTGAAGTGTCTCACTGTAGCTGCTAGCCTCGACAAAGCATACTAAATAGGTGAAAAGATAATTGAACGGTACGATCATCTTTCCTATATCCAGGACTGGGGACAAGCAGAGTTAGCTGTGAAGACTTGAGTGCCAAATAGCTATAGAAGACTTCTAACCCTTAGGAATCGAGATCGAAAAATAGTTAGCCGAATAACGAGTCATCTCTTCAAACCAGCCAAGGCAACTACTCAGGCGAGCCTAGAGAAATTGGTAACCTTTTTGATCCCTGGTTGGAAATTGCACGGAAGCCAAATGGCGGTCCGTGGACTTCAATGAGAAAAATGGATTCCGTATCCACACATAGGGTGGGTTCTGTGGCAGTATCAATAATGTTTTATGGTGCAAATCTCAAGACCCCCGCAGACATGAAACGCAACAGGGACCTGAGAACTACATAAAGCAATTAAATTTACAATTTTAATGAAGTTGGGCAAGTGGCTGGCAAAAGCACGTGCGCTAAAGAACGTGAATTTTAGAGCAAGGAAGGCCCTAGCAAGCGCCTCAGGTAATTTGTCCACCGGCAAGACTATGAAGAAACCTACAAAGGGATCGTCATGTCCACTGAAATTAGTTGACGATGGAGTTCCATTTTCTTTTTTGAAGATAAATAATAATTCAGCCCATTGAGATCAATCGAGAAAGGCGATGAACGTTTGACGCCAAGATGAGGATATTGATCTTGCTGTTAAGGGTGTTATCAAGATAAATCTGATCAGATAGGTATGCATCTATGCACGGGGTTTATTGTAATGTGACCGCTGCATGCCAGTTTGAAAAAATCAGGGTATTTTCCGACTTTAGCTCGGCAACCTCGAACATCTGAACAATCTTGGGAAAAGATGATGGTAGAAATTGTTGTTGAAGAAGACGTGAATAAAGTTATAGCGTCAAGTTGTGTTATGACGTGACCCTAATGACGGATTAAATTAGGAGGATATCGAACGTATGGTTCATATTGAACATAACAGGAAGCCTTGAAGGATCGATAATCCTAGTGATGACCATGGCCCCATGAGTGATCCGATGGATGGTAAGGCCAAGGTTTTTGCCGCTTCTCATCTCAAAATAGGAATAAATCGAAGAGAGTGAGATTAAAGAAAGTGTATATAAAACGACAATGCGACCTACATTAGAAGGCTCATCCTATCAAGATAATCACGAAGAAATGAAAGTACTCAACACCTGGTATACCTTACAATCAAGATGTTGGAAGGAGATAGAGAGAAAGTGATACCGTTCAATTGCACAACCACGTGACCACAATGACAGATTAAAATAAGATGAAACTGAACAGACTATTCATACTTAACTTTATTGGAAGCCATGGAAACAAAATGATTTCAGTGATGGTCAGGGTGTATGACCTGTTCTGAAAATTTACCGTCCACTTAAGCGAAAATAGCGGTATCTAAAGTTGGAGCTGTATGACAAGATTGCATAAAAGGCGATGTATGACCAGGATTATGGTGTTAATGATCTCAAGTTACTTACGGAGAGATATTAGTACTTAAAGCCCTACCTGCTTTAATTATAAAGATCAACGATTAGCGAATTTAGTGATCAATTCAAAAACCTATCGACTACCGACAATGGTGAACCTCATATTTAGGGAGTTATCAACCACCGACACCTATATACCTCAACAAACTTTTTGTGTATTTGAGAAGTAGCACGCTATCTGACTGTCCTTATCGTTGATTAGCTGATAACCGGAGATGATAGCGAAACGGATTGTAAGCGTTTCTTCCCATCAGTTGATTGACAGCATTTGACCTTTAAATCACGTGATTCGTGTGCAATAGAATCAGACGCGACCAAAACAAAGGCCAGCAGATCAATCCCAAGCTGTAATTACAGTTTGGTACACAGGTTTGAGTATCGTTGAGTACCAAGGACGGGATAAGTTCCAGAGCCCAACAAGATGCTGGAAATTTTCAATTCTGCTTGAAAAAGCCGCATACATTATGGCCAGACTTTCAAAATCAACGAAGATTAAAAGCCTTCTCAAAATTCAAGCGCAGCCAGGAACACATTACAAGGGGCCAGGCTATCTGGTTTGTTAACACGCTATAAGGTTCCGAAGGTTACTGGCTGGTGGATCTTACGTCGCTAGTGACAATACTTGTCCTGGCCAGCATGTGAAAATAGGTAGCAGGCTGAAAGAAAAAAATTTAACGATTTATTGCCCTGAACAAACAGCTAAGGTTTAGTAATTCAAGCAATTGATCGAAAGATTGTGCAACGATTGGCAAGTTTCGATGGCGGTAAAAAAGAGTAAGAAAGCCCAGGGAGGATTGAAAAAAAAACGGAGTCTCCCGGTGACATCGCAACCCAGAAAAGTGTCCCTGATGGGAAGATCAAAACGAAAGGTGATGCCACGCAAATGAGCCCCCAAGAGTCTAAACGTTACAATTTTATCGTACGGACTATATGGACTTTCATAATGATTAGTGGATTTTTCATCACCCTTGCTTCCGGTCACTTTTGGTGTGTTATGCTCATCTTGGTATGCCAGATTGCCACATTCAGAGAATGCATAAGTGTGACATCTTTATCTGGAAGAGAGCGTAAATTGCCTTTGACAAGAACGCTGAACTGGTATTTTCTGTTTACGACCATTTACTACCTGGACGGACAATCCCTTTTCAAGTTTTTCCAATATTATTTCCTCAACTACAAGATTCTTAACCTCATCTCGTCCAACCATTATTTCATATGTTATTGCTTGTACGTTCTTGGGTTCGTAATTTTTGTTTGGAATCTGAGGAAGGGGTTTTTGAAATTCCAATTTGCGTCTCTCTGCGTCACTCACATGGTTTTACTATTGGTCGTTTTCCAGGCACATCTCATCATCAACAATGTGTTGAACGGTCTCATTTGGTTTTTACTTCCTTGTGGACTTGTCATCGTGAATGACATTTTTGCTTACCTATGTGGAATCACTTTTGGTCGCACCAAGCTGATAGAAATCTCACCGAAGAAGACTCTCGAAGGGTTTTTGGGTGCATGGTTTTTCACCGCTTTGGCCAGTATAATACTGACAAGACTTTTAACTCCTTTCACATACATGACCTGCCCTGTTCAAGATATCAAGACCAATTTCTTCACACCGCTTACATGCGAACTTAACCCAGTTTTCATTCCACAGGACTACAGAGTACCGCCTATCATTTTCGAAAAAATTGGCATCAGTATCATCACAATTAGACCCATTTATTTGCACGCGTTGAACTTGGCCACTTTTGCTTCACTATTCGCCCCTTTTGGGGGATTTTTTGCTTCCGGACTTAAGAGAACTTTCAAAGTCAAAGATTTCGGTCACTCGATCCCCGGTCACGGTGGTATCACGGATAGAGTCGACTGCCAATTTTTGATGGGCTCTTTCATGAACTTGTACTACGAAACTTTTATCAGTGAGAACAGAGTCACCGTCGAAACGATTTTATCAACGGTGCTAATGAATTTTGACGAACACCAAATTATGCAACTTGTAATTGCTCTGAACGACGTTTTGTACAGCAATGGAATCATCAGCGACAGAGTTCACGGTAAGGTAGCAGAGCTTTACAGTTTCAAATGAGGACTGCTTGCACGAGAACGGGCTGCCGATCGCATTCGAGAGTGAGACCCCAGCCGGCACACATTAATGGCAGGCCTCGAGCGTTTCCACTAGGTTCATCTTCCTCAATTGAGCTGATACATCGAAGAAGAGCAAATGGTTTTGATACATGGGTTTATAAATTTGTCATAGACGATCTCATTGAAATTGTACACCACTGTTTCCAAACAAGATCAAAAGGTGGTAAACCTGGTGCCTGGCGCACAAGCCGCTTGTACACAAGTTTAATATTGCTTGACGTTTTGATGATTCCATCTTTACTTTGTAACTAAGTTCAGAAATTCTCAAGGCGAAGCTTGTCAACTATAAGTAAAGCTATTTGTAAATTTGAGATCAGCGCTAGGGTAACAAGTCATTAACAAGGAATTGAAGACGCATACAATTCATACATATCGGTTGAAATATTTTCTCTTTTCAGAGCTAGGTTCTCTGGAATCTGAAGGAGGTGCAATATAAGCCATAGCCAAATAAATGATAACAATGCAGAAATCCATGACAACAAACATACCCAAATAAGGTCTCCAATCACCGTTAAGGACACTGAATTTGTGATATTCCAACAAGTTACCGGTAAGCGAAAATGCAGAAATTATAATGTAAATGAAACGCAAAATGAAGAATGGAAACGCAATTGCAACGCCGTATAGCTTAATAGGTGGCCAGTCCGAATGGCTCGTTTTAAAAGCCAATAAACCTGCGGCCAAAAGCATGAGATAGCCGGCTAGAAACAAAATCGAGGACGCTTGAACAATTTTGATACCTTTTTCAGCAGTCGAAGTGCTTCCGCTCAATTGGCCATAACCAGCTGCAGACGTTGCAATAGCCGCGATAAGCGTAAGTCTGGGCAAATTCGAGAGTAAACGTTCCAAAAGCGGTTGGTCAGGATGCTGTTTCTTAGGAAGTGAAGGAAGTAAGACCCGAGTACAGCGAATGAGTGGAGCACTGGCGACGGACGTTAGTACACCTCCAACGATGAACAGAACCGTGGTACCATTGGACATGGTTCCATCACCGGAATTGACAATTTGAACCGCGGCACGAAGCGACAGCGAAGTGCCTGCTAATTTCAAAGATATGAGAAGCAACAGGTAAAGTTTGATGGAAGTCATTTTCCCACGTCTTGCGAAAGACGCCAACGTAACAAGAAACGCAAGTGAATAAAACACAATTTCCGCGACGAACACGGCATGGATTTTGTCCTTGAATATGGCCGAGGATGTCATAATTCGAATGGATTGCAGTGAAATCTTTGTGGAAAATACCTGTCCCGCTTTTTTGTGATAATTATCGAGCTTTATACCAGGATCTGACGACAAGATCCTCCAATGGCTTAAACAAAAAGGCAAGAAAAATCGTGACTTCTGGAGTGCCAAGCCCGATTATGTTTTCAATATGCCAAGCCTGGTCACAGTATCAATATGATGAACATGCATGTGTACACGGTGCGGCGGTAGACTTGGGAGGAGAGACCGCCGGAGTCTGTTGAAAGGGGCTTTGAATTTCATACGATAAGCCTTGTTGTGAGCCACGTTGTGAGCCTTGTTGGTAAGGTTTGGTTACCGTAATGGACGGTAACCAGCAGTGCAGAGAATTCAGTGCAGCTGAATGATCTTAAGCGGCAGGCAAGCCGAGCTAAGCCGAGCTAAGCCGACACGTGAACATTTGCCGGTCGAAAGGTCGAAAGGTCGCAAATTGAACGGAATCTTCGGCTCACAACTGTCGGTTGCAAACGTCACGTACCTCATTCTTTGTTCTTTTCCCCTTCAAGCTAGAGCCGCCGTCTCTTGGAACTTTACCTCAGACACTTACAGGCAAAACATGCATGGAAGCTGCACAGCCGCCTCGGCTGTACGGTTGTCAAGACAACGTACAAAGCTGTTGTTTACCGGTGCGACGGATGGCGTTTTGATTAGCTCAACACCATCCCAGAACCCAGTCATAGAGCGGTAATCGCAGCTCTGTCGAGTTGTACGCTGACCGATTAAAAATTATATCTACACTTGCAGGCGGTGTCTCTTTACAAACTATCACCACTATTCATATCGGTCACGTGATATGATCACTCAGAGATTTGACCCTAAAGTGACAGGATTTGGTATGAGTACCAGCACTGAGAAAGATTCTGGTGACTCACAGTTCGAATCTTTTAAGATGGACTATAAACTCAATGAAATTGTCACTCCACCCCGTTGAACGAGGCTGGAGCATTTGGAGATTTTTTACTCAAACGTAATCCAATTGTCCAATTGCTGAATTGCTTGAAAGCAGAATTGAGTTTTTCATTGGTTAAGCAGCTATTCAAGCCCTCAAATTCGTGGTTCGTCCCTTGCGCTGCTCGAGTATAACGTTCGATGTAGAGGCCTTATTACTAATCACTATGCACGTAGTTGGAAATGCGTCGTCAGCCGCATATCAGTGTTTGGTAAGGACACCTTAGGGCTCAAGCGAGGCCTTTCGGAAGAAATCCGCCAATATGTCCCGGAGTAGAGTAGTTTAGCATCGATACTTGACATATAGCTTTAGGGACGTCTTCCCGTGGGAACTTTACAAACCTTGAGTCGGCAGACCACTTATGGGCTTCATATCTGAAAATCTCATAATTAATACATGGTAAAATTATGAATGCTAAAAGAGGCATACAGCGGACTTTGCAAGCATCAAATACTTGATAGCCTCACTTCGCAGTCTTTGTTGGCACACGTCCAAGTCATGTTCTAAATATTTGTTATGCAAATCAGGAGTATCTCGAAAAAAACTGGGATTTCTGCACGCGTTAGGAATCTCCTCTCGTATTCAGCGAAAACTTCCGGGCCTAAAAAAAAAGGCTGCTAGATTGATGAAAAGGGGAAGACATACTCCACAGCCTCGAGATGGATACCCCGTCATACCGGCATTAATACGTCAATGAGCCGCGTCTGAATAAAGTCAACGGGCATTTCCAGTATAAATACCACTTTTTACGAAGCGTAAGAACAGCGGAATACTTATCAGGAAGACTCAGTGACCAAGCCCAGAAAACAATATTGAAGCGTACTTGGCTGGGAACCAGAGCGCCAAAAGATCTATGAAGAAGTGTGCGAATGCTGGTTTCGTATCAAACGACCGAAACTTAATCGTACCACTTCTATTAAAGTTCTGAGGAAGGCGTGATAGCCATAGAGTCGGGCGAATGAAAACATCCACTTTAAATATTATTCCCTTGTTTTGCCCAATTTGTTATCCTACATCCACTGTTGGAAATTGTCACCGTGGTCACGTGACTTTTATTTTGTGCAGAAAACACATACCATGCCCAAACAGAAAAGCGCGAAGACAAGCCCAGCTCGTTAATTCTACTAGGGCAACTTGCCTCTAGGCTTCCTGTTTTTCGGGCTTCCTCCACGTATCCATACTTTGAGCGTTAACATATCCAAAATTTTCATCACTGTGAACGGAAGAGTCTTGTCTGTAATACTCACTCCATTAACAGCCTGGAAACTTGAACTTGTTACTCACATTGTATTATAAAGGTCTACAATGAGTCCATGAAGGAGCCCACAAGAGTTCTTTCCCGATGAACTAGATTGAAGTGATTACAGGCAGTATTTTTGCCTGATTTTTATTGCGCTGGTCTATCATCTGTCGCCTCGACTCGTTAAACTCGATATATCCGCAGGCAATTCACAGGTACCCCGGGGTTTCCACAGGTCTCCGTAGATATTGACAAAGCACTAATGCTCTACACCCTCGAATTGTCGTACGATATCTCACATGGCACAATCTTGTACGCACTCAATCATCCCTGCATTTATGCACGGCGTCGTATTTGCAGAAACTCTTACTCGATGAGCTTTCATCACAGTAGCTTATAATTCCAGCCTTTAGTTCAGATATTTACCGTCAATACGTCAAACAGCTTGATGAATTCCAGTTGAGACGACCTACGACTAAATCAGCCTTTTTGTCTAGTAGGTTAAATTTTCATCACTTTAATGGAAAGTGGTAAGAGCTCTTTTCGAGAAGTTGGCAACAAACAAAATCCAACCTTTCCAAAAAGTCCTCTGTACTCCCTTTACACCTTATTCATTGTGTGCACAAGGTACTGGGTATGTCAATATTCACCTTAGATGAAGATTTGAGTAGGTTGACGGTGAATGGGAGTTGTGCATTGGTGGACGAAGAAGATGTGGATGATTGCGATGTGACCTCCTATGATGGAACGGAATGGCATAAGAATCTGTTGAGCAGTGTTGAGCCACAGGCGATAAGACCACAAATTACAATGGAGGCTACGACAGGAACGAACCTTTCACCAAGACCAAATGAAAAACCTACGGGGCGACGCAGATCATCGTTATATGACAAAATGTCTGTTCAAACTCCCCCAAATGCCAAACGAGTCGTCTTGGCGACAGAAGAGTGTGAGAATGGAAAAGAGTCTCGTAGTTCGAGTTATTGTAGACCGAGTTCTCTGAAAAAGCACGGACCTCGTTGCTTGGACGATTTCAAGCCCGTTCGAGTTCTCGGACGTGGAGCTTACGGGAAAGTTTTACTGGTGAAAGACCAGTTCACTAGTCGCTTATACGCTATGAAACAATTGAAAAAGGCTGAAATCTTAATTTCAGACTGCGATGACGTAGGGGATTCCAAACCGACAGATAACGTCGACAAGCGCCTGGAAAGAACATTTGCCGAAAGAACAATTTTATCGAAACTCGATCATCCTAATATTGTCAAGCTTTTTTATTCGTTTCATGACCATCATAAACTGTACTTGGTTCTAGAGTTTATTCCCGGTGGTGAATTATTCTATCATCTAAAAGAGCAAGGGACGCTCGGTGAAGATACGGTTGCCTTTTACGCGGCAGAGATCAGTTCCGCACTTCGATTTTTGCATCAGACGGGCATAGTATACCGGGATCTGAAACCGGAAAACTGTCTGTTGAACGAAAATGGCCATCTTGTGCTCACGGATTTTGGATTAAGCAAAAATGGGCATTCTGGGTCTGCAGATGGAGATGATCACACTGGTGAGGATGTCAGTACTTTACACTCCATCATTGGAACACCTGAGTATTGTGCACCAGAGATTCTAGAGGGCAAACCTTACACTCAAAGCTGCGATTGGTATTCTCTCGGGTGTCTCATATATGACATGCTTATTGGCAAGCCGCCGTACACGGGCGCCAATCATAAAGTGATTCTGGGTAAAATTCTGAGGGATAAAACGCCCAAGATTCCGTCCTACCTGAGTGACGGCATGAAAGATTTTTTAGCGGCGCTTTTGAAGAAGGATGTGAGCAAACGTTGGGATGTGGATAAATATTGGGATACAGATGGACCCAAACCCCGTAAGAAGAAAGCTGGGCAGGCGAAAACAACCAGTTTCAAATCACATTTCGTTTTCAGAAAAATCAACTGGGATGAACGTCAACTTTCTCAGGCGCAAAAGCTTCTTTGCGGACCCATCGTGCCCGTGATAACAAATTGGGAACTAGCCGAAAATTTTGACACAGAATTCACCGACATGCCTCTCGGAAGCTTGGAAGACACGGCAACTGGAATTGATATACGGAACCCCAACATGACTCACAAGGACGTATTCAAGGGCTTTAGCTACGTGGCTAGCTCCAGCTATTTGGATCGCTATTTTTGATTGTGGTGGGAGCCAAAATACGCGGTTTGAGTCTACGCTCACTTCGCAATTTTCCCCTACAAACTTCCGGCGCTCGTCCCATTTATCTGGTATAAATGGGTTCCATGAGTTGGAATCTCCTTCAAATTGTGCCGGCAAATATATATGTGCAGACAAGGAGAAGCGAGGCTACAAACCAAGTAATTGCGGGCAAATTTCTGATTAGGCAACGAGTTTAATGCAGAGAGTATCGACCCCAATGTATGAGGGGGGGAGGACTTTTTATCTGAGGCGACCGTTCAACCTCGCCACGCTAATTCCTCAAAGCAAACTAACCAACGCCAAGATCTCTTTCCAGGAAGGGAAGCTCAACTTAAGCCATCTCAACAATTGAAAAACGGTAATCCGACCCGATAAGGCCACATCATATGATGAGAAATCTCTAATAGATAAATTTGTATAAATTAAATCCACCATGTATGTAATTTAACTGTAATATCAGTAACTATGCTTATTCTCGTAAAAGCAAGAATTTTGGATCTTGAGCTTGTTTTCGATAGATTTTGCTTGACAATGGGCTCATCCTTTTGATATGAAAGCTCCTGCAACAACTCAAACGTACTCTAAAACTACAAAGTCTATGAAGTTGTATTACCGTTCCATGGCACATTCACGACCACTTCTCGGAAACAGACTAAGCGCCTGCTAGTTTGCTGTATGAAATTCAACTTAATTTGTCGACAATATGGGCCTTATGCTATCATCAGATACCATTTTGTCACTAACATTACAACCCTGTCAAAGTTGACAACCCACCAAATTAGTTCACTTGTCATGAGCAATAAATAAGACCCAGCTTTTTTCGCGTTTGAATATATCTGGTTCTTGTCTGCAATGTTTAGTTTGGGCGCATAGTATTTTATTAGAGGTGTCGTGTCTTGACCCAACAGCATTGCCGGTTTGAAAAGGTTTAGCGCTATTCTCAAACTACAGAGACACTCCTGTCATTAAATGATTATTCAACTACCGCTAGAGATAGATACGCTATATGAATAGTTGAGCCCTTTTCGGCAGAAGACATTATAAAATTAAATCATAATGCACTTTATAGCTATAAAACTTGGCATTTTGCGGTTTACAGTTCATTCTAATTGATCAAATGTTTAGATGTCCCCATTGCCATTAATGTGCGATACTACCGGACTGCCATCGGTTTGAGTTCGAAAGAGACATTATTAGAGTATGAAATAGATATTGATTGTAATTATATTGTTTGCAAAGAACCCGGTCAGTACATGTACCTGAATTTAGGATCAGTGTATTCAGGAGCATCAAGTGTAGTGGGCAAAGTTTCCTGGTCCTTGGACTCTTGCTTTTTGTTGTCCCACCTATATTTCAAAGCAATGACAACTACAATGGCGATGTTTAGGCAGTAACAAATAATCCAGGATTCGAATGCTGGAGAATATTCGGGAGCATCTTGGTATCTGAACAACTGTGGACCACCGATATTGCATGCGCAGTAAACAATGAAAATCGCATTGCTCACAATGGACCTTCTGGTCGAGCCTCTAAAATTCGACGCCACCATCGACAACACTATGGGGAAAACTGCTGGCTGTACAGAGACAAAGTAATATCCAAGCAATTTTACACCGCGGCTGGAGCCTCTGTAAATGAGACAACCGCCCACGATGGAAACCACGCAAACAGCGGCAATAAGAATGCACCGAGCGTTTTTAAAGCGGGTACCGAGCAGTCCGGTGCTAGTAATTGCCATCCATGAAATAACAGATCCAGGAAGCTGCAACAACGTCGTTTGAATCGGGGTAAAGCCAAAATTGTCCACGATAATAAACCCATAACTGATCACACCGCTATTAGGCAAAATACACAGGACGGTGCACATTAACAGCAATAAAAGGTTGATGTCAAAAACACACGATTTCGCTTGCTCCCAGTCCCATTTGGATTCAACTTTCGATTGAGGCAAATGCTCGGCGTAGTACTGTTTTTCTTCTGAGGTGAGAAACCTAGCGGTTTGCGGAGAGTCGGGCAAGAACGCAAACATCACGAAACTCCAAAGAAACGTTGCGCATCCGTAAACGATGAAAATGTACCGCCATGACGCTATTTTCCCATTGATATGTCCCAAGCCGAACGCAACGAAAGAACTGACAATCCCACCAAAATCGTTACCTGCAAACCAAACACCGGATCTGGCGGGTTGTTGGCTTTGTTTCCACCACATCGACGTCAAAAGCACGAACGCGGGACTTATACTGCTTTCTAACAGCCCTAGGAAAAACCGCGCCGCAATCAAACTGCTGTAATTGAAACAACTCGCACTAACGGCCAAACAAATGGCCCAGAGGCAGACGCTCACGGACACAAATTTTCCAATGGGTAGCACTTGTAAAAGTCGCGTCACGATGAAATTGCCCAGCAAATATCCAAAGTAAAAAACTGATGAACTCCAAGAATAATCTTGGCGCTTCAATCCAAGATCTTTCTTGATTCCGAAAACCGAGCCCGCCGACAACGCTAACTTATCCATGAATTGAAGGGAGTATGTGATAAACATGATCGATAGCACTCTGTAATCGACTTTCCTCGTCAGCTTCTTCTCGTCGATCAAAATTTGACCGACCTCATCGCTCTGAGTATCGTCTTTTATCGACACTGTGTTAAGCGTTTTTTCCATTTCTTTGACCCACACAACCAATCTACTACTGTTGATATTAGTGAAATGGCTACAGTCGGACTACACTAACTACAAATACTGAGCCGTTGTGGTGTTTTTATACAGCTCTCCTCTACCCAAATCGCGGTGACTTTTCGTATTCTTATCAGCTCATCGCATTCAGTTTATCGAAAAGTGAAAAATTATTCGGCCGAATTTTGAAAAATATATGCAAGAGCAAGGCATCTTGCATATAGCGAGATGTAAGGTCACCACCAGCTCAGCAATACAGGCAATTGAGCTAAGATTGGGACAGAGTGCCGGGGGCGGCTTACCGAGGGCACTATGGGCAGTTTCACGGTGGAATAAGAGGCAAAGAACTGGACAATGAGTATCCAATTGACCCGAAATCCTGAGCGGTTCTGGAACAACCTCTAACGATGACACTGACCAAAAGAATTCCACTTTGGATAGACTGCGATCCTGGCCAGGACGACGTTATTGCAATCACCACGGGTGCGTACCACCCGGCGTTTAATTTGGTAGGAGTTTCGACGGTTCATGGGAACGTCGCGCTCGAACAAACAACGCTAAACGCATTACGGTTTCTAACAGCTATCAATCGTACCGATGTGCCAGTTTTCCGTGGAGCCAGAATACCCCTGACGGGTGGGCCGCTGCATTGTCCTGAGATTCATGGTATAACGGGCCTTGGTGGCTCTGGCAGATTGCCGAAACCCGGGTTTAATGCGCGCGACGAAACCGAATTTTTCCAGTCCTTGGAGAATGCAATACGTGAACATGCAGGTGAGTTGTGCATTGCAGCGATTGGACCCCTGACCAATGTAGCGCAATTTTTTGCCCAATACCCGGAATCCAGACGTCAAATCAAATATTTGGCGATCATGGGCGGAGGGTTCGAAAGGTTCAACCAAAATGGCTGTGCAGAATTCAACATTTGCTGCGATCCACAAGCCGCACGCGACGTATTGACGGATCCAATTTTGAGCGACAAAATCGTGCTGGCGCCGCTCGATATGACCTCGACGGTCCGCGCCAGCGCAGACAAACGTGCCAGAATTCTGGGAAACCCAGAAACCACTTCCAATTTTCGTCGGCTTATGTTTGAACTCACCGACCATTTCCATCAGCTACTTACGAAGCGGCACGGGCCCGACTACGTGGGGCCCAGCCTTCACGACCCAGTCGCCGTCGCCGCGCTACTACACCTTCACGGTGTTCAAGACCTTGGCTATAAATGGTCACGTGACACACTTAGCGTCGAAGTCATCGGTGCCCGCGCCGGTGCCTTGGAAAAGACTGGCACTGGCACTGACTCGGGGGTCATGATCCTCAGTAGTGTAGATACTGATGCCTTCTGGGACATGCTCATCTCGGTGTATGACCTTGTAGATAGATAAGCGTTGCGCAGTAGGCACGGCTTCCTGCACGGCATATGCACGTCGCTTATCGTGGGTCAAAATTCGGCCGAAACTGGTAATACCAAGATATATATACAAGGTTTTAGCCAAGATAGTAGAATCAAGATAGCTACCCCATCGAAATCAGTAGCCAAGCCATATGTCGTTGCAAGATTTTTGTCGTGGGATTCCCAAAGTCGAGTTACATTGCCATCTTTACGGTACCATTTGCAAAGAAACGCTTACGGAGCTGAACGAAAGAGCAGGCCGGCCGTTTACCCTGCGACAAGTAGACGGATTTTACATTCGAGGCGACAAACCGGTTGGTGTACTTTCTATATTTCGTGGCCTTGAGAGTCAATTGATTACGTCAGCACGCGACCTGTACCGTATCACGTGCGAATACTTAGAGCGGTGCAAGCTTCACAACGTCGTATACAGCGAGTTTTTCTGGAATCCAACCGGTACCGTTCTAGATGCCAAGATACCGTTCCAGGATGCACAGGATGCAATCCTGAAGGCTGTGGATGAGATTGAAAAGTCTTGTGGGGTGGTGGGCAGACTGGTGTGTGCAATTGACCGTGAAGCTTCGCCGGAAAAAGCCGAAATGATGCTGGATTGGATGCTACAGTATCCGGCGGCCAAAACTATCGGAATCGGGATCGATTACCGCGAAACGGGCCATCCACCACATCTGTTTGCAGAAACGTTTAAAAAAGCTAAACAAAACGGGTACAAGCTGACGGCACACGCCGGTGAGTTCGGAGAACCTTGGAACAACGTCGATTTCGTACTCAACGACTTACAGGTGGACAGAATCGATCATGGCTACACGGTGATCGACAATCCGGCTCTTGTACAACAGTGTCTCGACGAAAATGTGATCTTTACCGTGGTCCCTACCAACTCATACTATCTTCGCACACTGGATCCGGCCGAGTGGGCACAGAAACACCCAATTCGCAAAATGGTCCAATTGGGGCTCAAAGTGCATCCAAACACGGACGATCCTGCATTCCATCTTGTTAACCCGACAACTGCGTGGACAATGATGGTCGAGTGTTTCGGATGCACGATCGATGATCTGGGCCGATTTTGCCAAAATGGCATTGAGGGTGCATGGGTGGATTCCGAAACCAAACAGAAATGGAGGCGCGACTGGCTCAAGTATTTCGGACCTGCAGATAATCCCTTTTGAACTTGAAGCCCACGCATTCCGCATAGATAATATTATAGCATTCAAACTGAACGTTTCGTAACTTCCGCGGCAAAGAGCATGCTGTCACTGATAACGTTGATAACCATTCGAACAGGCTGTTGTCGCATTGATGTCACTGATAACGTCCTTATTTCGAAGTTTGATGGTAATAACGGTAATAGGTAGCAAGAGTCATCTATAACATCCTTGAAATAGAAGGAGAGGTATGCCTCCTAAAAAGAGAAGAACTGCCCTTTCATGCCTCCGATGCAACCAACGCAAGGTGAAATGCGACAAAAATAGTCCCTGTGGGAACTGTGTCCGCCGAAATATGGCCGACCAATGCTGCCGTCCGTCTGACTTGCCTCGAGTTTCCGCGCAGGCAGTTTTGACAGCAGCGAACTCCGAGGGCAATGATTCCCAGTTTTGCAAGTCTTCAGTCAGTAAGGACGTCCCGATTCAACAGTACTTCCATTCTCTGCGATCTCTAACGTACGGGATTACCCAGATCAGCGGGCTGACGCCCGCATCGGACTACAACTCTGGCCAAGGTGAGTGGGATCAATGCATGCCTCGTTTCCCATATCTTATGGATAGAGTCACATTTGAGGTATCGCGTAGTATTTGCGAATATGCGTGTCGGACAACAACTTTCATCCACCAGGGCATTGTAGACCCACTTTTCCTAGCTGATCACGACGAGTACTGGCAGGAATATGTCAATCGTGAAAATGCGTGTCTGTATCATTTGAGCAATAACAGTTTGAAAAGGAAATCTTCTGCAGACTACTATTACTGGATGTCACTTTACTATGCTATACTGTCGACAGGCGTCTATTTTAGTACCGAAATGGAGCACACGCTTTGGCCCTTTTCCCCTGAACAAGTGCAAGATTTCCCCAGGGTTCTTCTCAAGGCTTCGCTGGACTGTCTCGTGAAGGCCGGGGCGTTGGAAAATGCAGATTTGCGCACGATAGAAGTTTTCAGTGTAATGTCCATGTGCTTTCACGGCTTGGGCAGTATTTATCTTCACCGCCAGTTGCTTCGTTTGTCGATCGATACCGCACGCACACTGGGGCTCAATAACGTTAGTGCAAAGGCCGATTCAAATATTAACTTTCACAATGAAGTCTACAAGCGGCTTTGGTATAGCGTCTTCATCATCGATTCACTCAGCAACTACCCTAATCGCTACGTTGGCGATTTTTCGACCCCGTTCCCAGAGCTTGTGACAACGCCGCAACTGCTTGGTGAAACTTCTTTGTCGGAGATCGGTCTTCCAGATATTGCTGGCAATGACGATCTTGCTGGCATTATGTACCAGCGCATGATGGCAGAATTAGCCAATTTAAAGCATGAGAGCTTTCAGGAGGCGCAGCAATCCAACCTCGAAGAATTCTGGGATAGAATGATTCTTTTGCGAGAAAGGTTAGACGCCTGTTTTGGGCAAGCGCCATATGAGTTGGCAGATTTCTCAGTGGCTCGAAATGCAAGGTATCTTCTTTTCTCCTCCATCACTAGAGAAACCTTGAGCCTCGGCGCTCGACTCCAGGCGGTAATAGGGACCAAGCGATGGTGGGCTCAATACAGAGACAAATGTTTGCGCCTTGCCAAAGAACTGCTTACACATAGTACTTCACCTCAAATTCCGCTGCATTATAACCGCTACTGGATCGTTGTTCAACATTTAATCTTTGCATGTCTATTTATGCTCTTAGACATGCTAACATCCAAAAGTCATAACGATAAGGCCAAGCTACAACTGGTTGAGAGCAGTCTACCTACAATTCGTAGATTGCGGTCGTATTTTACTGTTAAAGTGGGTCTTGCCGTCATCGAGAAATTGGCGTATTTGGTATCTCTTGTGCGACTGAATACGGTGACTGCAGATTCGCTAGAATCTATTTCTTTACGCGAATTCCTACGTGAGTTGCAGATTGCTAATCCTGATAACGTACGTGTTGCAGAAGCTGTGTCGCCGCCGGTCGAAAGGTCGCAATACCTAAGATTTGGTGGTTTACAAAGACCTTACGCACAACCAGCGCAGCTAGCCGCGAACTCAGAAGCCAGCCCGAATTCGCAACTATTGTTAAATCCGACACTCGAAAATATTCTCGACGACAAGGGATGGCATGAGTTTCTGGATTTTTTCTTCAATGACAAGGCGAGCGTTTGAAGACTGATGTTGAGAGCGAAACGAGAGATGTCACCATTGATTCCTTACCGAGTACCATGAATTTATAAGGTATAATTTTTCTATTGATTAATGTATTCTCGTCAGTTATTTCAATCAGATCTTTTTAATGACAATTCTTCCAGAGACAGATAAATTGGTCCTATTACGAACTTCAGTCGCGCAAATAAAGCAGCGATATCTTGATATTAAATGAAATGGTAACACAGCATATTTAATGAGTTCAAGAATATGTTAGCTACGGTCGCCACAAGAACAACCACTCCTTTGCGATTTACAACATTTCAAACCCTGTGTCTGCACTGGCCGATCTCGTAATACGTTTAAACTTCACGTAATTTGGTTCTCGATTACACCGCTCCAGGGCACGTTTTTCTCTGATCTGGGCTTGTATCCGATACAATTGTGAAGCTCTCAACACTTTCTCTTTCAAAATGTGTCGGCAAATTAATTTGTCCAAATACTCAACACTAGAATAAGCACCCGCATAACTCAACATATCCCCGATTTCTGTACCTGTAAATTCGTCCCAAAGTCCAAAACCATCGTCCGAGTGGAAAACTCGTGTTCCAGCCGCATCGAAACACATAATCAATTGTTTTTTGGTGAATGAGAGATTCAAACGTAAAGTATTATCGGGCATAGTGTAACTCAATAATATCGATTTCCCAGCAGATAACGAATATCAAACAAAATAACACAAAGTCTTACTTTACGTTGCACAGGTTTTTTCTTGTTGCATTTGTAGATTTCATTCAGCAATCATAAACCCACATTTGTATACATCATGTTGTCAAGACGTTTTGACGCTAATAAACATAACATTAACGCTAGAATTTCAGTCATTATTTAGTTCAATTCAGCGTTCTATGAACAAGACCCGAATTATGAAAACTGTTATCACAATGAGCTCATCTTGATTTTGGCTTTGTTCTGGGGCTTTAAGTCTGTTTATAGTTTATCACAAGATAGAAAGGCTGATCAAGATCTGGAAAAATTTCCAGTTTCTGAAAAACTCAAGACAGATAAGAGCAGAAAATCATATTCAATGACTCTTAACCAGTCGACGAGAGACCTGGCATCGGGTTTGGCGTCTCGAATTGACCTGCTAGGGTCAAGATTCAGGCGATCAAATCATTATTGGAGACGAAGCGGGGGTAAGAAATTGAACCTTTTTGGATGGCTTCTAGCGACACTGGTGGTTGTTGGATTTGTGATCCATGGGGTGAGAAAAAGCTCGCTGAGCTTGGATATCTTCGACTATTCGTCCATTTTGTCAGATGACGATATCACAAATGTTGAGGATGAATTTTCTTGGAGTCCTCCCACTGCACCAGAACCTGTACAATTGACCGAGGAGAAAAGATCCGTTTTTAGAGATGTTCTTGCTGTGGTTCAACAGTTCTCGCCTCAGGGCAAGCTTGACACTACTAAGGGCAGTGATTGTGAGTTGGGAGATATCGGTATTTTCGATAAAGCGAAGTTTAATAAATTGACCGAGTCTGGGTTGTCGAAGTGTATTCAAATCCCTGAAAAGGTGCAAGGAGCGCTTAAAACTGCTCATTCTGAGTTCAAATCTGCCATTTCTGACAAGTTGTTACCCCTTTTTAACAACCTGGACAAACCTTTTGAAGGTGAAGGTATTGTTATGGTTGGAGGTGGTAAATTCACGTTGTTCGCCTTACCAGCTATTGTAGCTATTCGTAAGAACAGTGGCGTGACGCTCAGAAATACCATCCCCATTGAAATTATTATTTCGCCTGAAGACGACGAAGATCGACAATTTTGCGAAAACGTGCTACCAACAGTGGACAGTACTGGCTTGACCAGATGTGTTTTCTTGGATGAGATCTTCGAGCCAGAAACGCTTTCGCACATTCAGGGATACCAGTTGAAGGCAATAGCACTTTTAGTTTCTAGTTTTGAGAAAGTCCTCATGTTGGATGCCGATAATTACGTGGTGAACACCTTAGAAGGATATTTTGATAGTGAAATCTTCAAACAGACGGGTCTTGTCGCATGGCCTGATTATTGGCGTCGTTTGCATCACCCAAAACTTTATGATATCGTTGGAGTGCATGTCGAGAAGGATAAAGCCATCAGAAACTCAATCGATGACAGTAGTCCCAGTTACATATACGAGCAAATGAACAAAGATAATGTACCATTTCATGATTTCAAAAACGCACTTCCTGATGCTGGAACCGAGTCAGGCCAACTTCTTGTTGACAAGAGCAAACATCTGGACACATTGATTTTGAGTTTGTACTACAATTACAATGGGAAATCGTTTTTTTATCCGATTCTGGGCCAAGGTTTTGCTGGTGAAGGAGATAAGGACACCTTTATCCTTGCAAGTCAGGTTCTACATGGGTATGCGTCGTATTATCAGGTTAAAACTCCAGTCAGTGCTATGGGCCACTGGACAGACTCTGCAGATGAGATCAGACTTCCTGATGACAAAGTCGATACTGAACAGACCAAATCGTTCCGTGGAACAGCCATGTTACAGCACAACTACATCGAGGACAGCAAGTACCATTCACTCGCGAAAGAAGTCATTGGCGATACGCTCAGAGAGCGGTTTGAAAATTTCTGTGACGACCAGAAAAAACAGAAGCCTGACGAATTGAGCGATTTCGAAGACGAAAGGAGGACGCAGTGCTCACATAGTCAAGAAATTGTCACCAATTTTCGGAAGGAGATGCGTTCTGGCTACGACATCCAAACTTTTATGGACTTTTTTACTTTCACTGGTGTCTCTTTTGTCCATTCCCATCTCCCTAAATATGATCCATGGGAATGGTCTCAGAACGAAGATATGATGTTCGATGGTGCCAAGGCTAGAAAAGGTCACCAGATAGACAAGGAAACGAATGATGGCGTCAGCAAACTAAAGGGAACCGGTCATTACCGAATGTACGACTCTCGTATCGGCCAGATAACTGGCTACGATCTAGAGCTCCACAACTGGGATGCCTTTAAAACCTATCTCTGCGACATGGATAACGGTTACACAAATTTCGGCTACTTGTCAGCCAAGATAAGTGCTACAGATGATCCCAAAGCCAGCGCGTCCAAAATGTGCAAATACATTGAAGAAAGGGTCAAATATTTGACAGAAACCACTTTCGAGGTTTAATCGATGACTAATAGACCCTTTAAATTGGGACAAAAAGTAGCTCAAAATTATCAGCGTTGGGCAATTTACCTTGAAACAAATTTCACAGGTCAGTATTGACCATATCGACCATTACTTATTCTCTGTATTATATAGTGATTCGTGAATATTTAAATCGAAAAGTTGACTAGAAAAAACCCAACTTACCTTAATTCACCACTTTCACTAACCAACCAAGAGATATCGAATGCAGAGAATAGGTATTTCGGCTTCTAGGAATATGGCTAGGAGACGCATGTCGACGCAGATTCCCTCGCATTTCAAATCGCTAGTTTATTCAAGCCACGATGCTCAAGATTGTACCAAAGTTTTGTCGTTACATACATATCCTCGAAAGGAATCAGACGAATCAATTGTTTTACGTACGCTAGCATTTCCGGTCAATCCTTCAGATGTAAATCAGCTGGAAGGCGTTTATCCGTCGAAACCAGAGAAAACCATGGAATATAGGACCGAGAAACCTAGTGCCATTGCTGGTAACGAGGGGGTTTTCGAGGTGGTACATGTACCTAAATCTGCTAAAATGCTCAAACCTGGTGATATGGTACTCCCGTTGCAGGCCAACTTTGGTACTTGGAGTAATTACAGGACTTGCGAGAAAGAATCGCAATTGGTGAAAGTAGAGGGAATCGATGTTTTAACTGCGGCTACTGTGGGTGTCAATGGATGCACTGCGTATCAAATGGTGAACAACTACGTTGATTGGAACGAAGGTGCGAATGAATGGTTAATCCAAAATGCAGGCACTTCATCAGTTTCGAAGATTGTCACCCAAATTGCCAAATCAAAGGGAATCAAGACTTTAAGTGTTATTAGAGACAGAGAGAATTTCGACGAAGTTGCCAGCGAATTGGAAAACAAGTATGGAGCTACTAAAGTGATCAGTGAAACCGATAATAATGACAAGAATTTTGCCAAAGAAGTGTTACCCAAAATCTTAGGTGCCAACGCAACTATAAAGTTGGCTCTAAATTCCGTTGGCGGAAAATCAAGCGCAAGTATAGCACGCAAACTTGACCGCGACGCTACGATGTTGACCTATGGCGGAATGTCCAAAATGCCCGTTACGTTACCAACTTCTTTACTTATTTTTAAAGGTCTAAAATGCCTTGGATTTTGGATTACGGAAAACTCGAGAAGAGACCCTTCTAGCAAATTGACGACCGTTAACGAGGTTGTCGAGCTATACAGTAAGGGAGTTATCAAATCTCCAAGAGACGATGTTAGAGCGATCGAATGGGATGTCTCAAACGCCAAAGACGATGAAGTTCTTCAATTGATCAGAAATAGTATCAACGTAAAGGGCAAGAAGAATGTGATTGTCTTGAAATGGTGATTTTATACTTTATGACTTATGCTTATGATCTAATTATGCTAAATAGTAACTGTTCATGTCCAAAAATTTGGTGCTTCTAATAGCCTGTATATATTTACTCATCAATGAACCTTTTCATAGCCTTTGAAAACGAAATTCTTTAATTGCTTCATGATCTTAGCCTTCACTTTGCTTGTGCTGATTTACTGTTCAGCAGTTTTTCTGAGAACGGTAGTTGAAGCCCAATATGACACCGCCGATACTGATGAGAAAATATCCAATCACCTCCCATCTTGTTATGATAGAACCTCCACTTTCCGCCAACCAGTCCGAGATTGCAGTGGCAATAATGGAGCCCATGTAACAAGTTGTAGCAAACTCGGGACAGGACTTTTCGGAAAGGTGCACGAAGGCGAGAATCATTGGAATGTTTCCTAGGAAGATAGACGCTAGTAGAAGTCCAGAATTTTGGGCAAATCCGCCTAGTAGACTTTCATCACGACAATATATGATCAGGATTGGTCCGAGTAGTACAAGACATGCCACACCAACTAAGCTCACTTGGTAGTTGAGCATAAATGAATGGTAAAGTCTTGATTTCTGTCTCTTGTCTGAGAAAAAGCTGCTTACAATCCATTTATTCCATAGAACAGTAGCGGGTCCATTGACGAGGGCACCTAGACCGCAAATAAGCGCTCCCTTAAGCCTGTCAAACAGAAAAGGATCGGTCAGTTCACCTGTTTCTGCGTTTACGGACAATTTGCCCGCAAGGAAATCGCAAGTTGCCTTGGTGTATGATACAATCAAAACGCCCACTAGTATCGTAACCAGGAGCACGTAATTTTTGAAAAGGTGTCTTCTTGAACTAATACCGCAAACACCTAACAACAACGAACAGATCTCAAATTTGGAGATGTTGTGAATAATGGCAATATCTAGAGCCGGCGACAGTTTAATAGAGGTAAAATAAGTATAGTACCCGAGAGATAGAAGGATTGCCAAGCCAGCAATTTTAATTGCGTGAACCCAAATTGAAAACCGTTTCTCAGGCTGTTGTTCCTCTTGAGCTTCTGTATCGAACTCCGTTTCTTCACTGCTCAGCTGGGGGATACTCCACATGCTCCGCCCATGGACCAAACCATACTTGACTCGAAAAAAGAGTTGAGTCAACGGTAATACGAGAAGCCAAGAGGAAAGATGAACAAAAGTTAGGTAAAAAGGGCTAACATTTTGTTGAGATGTGAATACCATGTGCGAAATACATTTGGTCTGGACAACATAGCCCAAAACCGCCACTGACCATAAAAAGACACTCATTTCACCCGGATAAACCTTTGATGGTGCTAGTAAACAAAAGGCATCATCAAAAGCTGAATGGTTCTTTGTCTTTTTGACAAGCGCTCCCGCCCAGCACGCCTAAACGATGTCGTATAGTAAGCGCGCTCAGCCGGGCATGCACCAGTATGGTCCCGGTTTTTCTTGCGACTTTCATCGCGAAAAAGTAGACTTCGTGGCCAAGCTGGTTAAGGCGTGCGACTGTTAATCGCAAGATCGTGAGTTCGATCCTCACCGAGGTCGTTTCCTTCATTTTTTCCAATATCCCATATCAATTTCCTTGGGATGCTGTACCCGGTTAGTGAAGAGTCCCTGGTTTGAAGTCGCGAGCATTCATGCCGTAATGCTTTGTTCTGTGCGTAAAGCCATCTCAAATATCGCGTTGCTGTTCAACGTTATCTCGTTAGTATAAGATCCCAAAAAAGATAAAGTGCATCAATCAAAATGCACATACTTTTAGCATAGATCATAAGCTCAGATCTTCGTTCCTCTAACGTCAAATCGGGCACTGCGTCCACCAGTTGATCGTACGCTTCACGCATCGCCTGTCGTCTTCGCTGTTCCGACGATACATGATTGAACCGTTTTTGATCTTCTGACAACAAAGTCACTCCCTCTGTACGCTTCCGCTTCCTGGTCGATTGAGATTTACCATTCGGAACCTTAGAATTACCTTCGACCTCTCCAGTTTCTTGCATTTCGCCGAAAAGTTTGTTCCTTATTTTTCACATGCAGGTAAATGATGATTCAGCTTTTTCATAAATTCAGTTCTTATAAAAGCTCTAAGCCCAGGGTATGGGAAATGATCACCTCAATGAGATCTCGTAACCGGCTGTAGTAATGCCTATGCCCACTAATACCTATATCTATCGTTTACATACTGTAAACGCTCTTTATTGTGCAATTAAACCTTACTCGTACGTCAAACGTATCTGGTTACTCATCTTTCCCTGCATCGTATCGGACCCAAATACCTGACATGAATTTCAGTTTAGGATGCTCTAACTTACTCTTAACACGCCCTTGACGAGATATTCTGTTCCAGTGAAATATGCATTTTCTGTCGAACTCAGGCTAAATGTCACGCAATTTTACACACTAGTCCATGGTTCCCGTCTCACTTCCATAACATGCTCCAAATCTCGGGTATTCTTCGACATAAGTATGGCGATCCGTCTATGATTTGTTTTTCCTGATGGAATGGGGAAATGGAATAGCTGGAAGGCAGGTGGCTCTTCTCACAAGTGGAACGGGTCACTTGTTATGGCTTTTCGTGGATGGTTCGCTCTGCAAGTCCATTAAAGTCTTTTAGCATGTCATTTATCGTCTCAACTAGCCATAACCTCAGTATTAACAAAAGAATTCCACAAAACGACCAGATATACCCAAAAGAGAGCTGAGCAGATCTTTCATGGAGATCTTGATAATGGTTCTGTATGATGATCCTCAAGTCAAGAGGTTTGTCGGTTCCCGAGGAGCTGATAAACGCCGCGCTCTCCTGTCATGGGGTCTTTATATTTCAAATTCGCTGTCTCTGGGTTTTGGCTGCTGGAACCCGGCGTCTGTCGCTCACTCGATTAGTGAAGGTCAGGCCGCTGTCAAAACATGATTTCCTGGTGCCAGCGACATATACTACGCATCCATCGAATTATGACAAGACGAGCTGAGAAGGATACTAAACTTTCTTCTAAAGCGGCAAGGTGTCACTCCGAGAGCGGCGTGTTACATACTCCTTGGTTATTCTAGTGCAAAGAAAGAGAGCTAAATCTGACGACATTGGATTTTCATGGCGCACTTACGCAGTGTATTGCATCGGACCTGGAAAAATATGTGGTATTTTAGGAAGAGGGTATCTTAAATCGCACTTTTTCCTGAGTTTAGATATGCCAACTGCCAAAGAAAGTAGATGGACAACACATCTCACCGTGCCGCAAGTGAGCGATCGACTGCTCGTCCAAAATTGACACAATAATGATCTGTTCGTTGATCTTACAAATGAATACGTGGTGCCCACTGGCGAGAACTACGCCTTAGACGGAAGTTAAGTAGTCAAGGTGCCGTATGAGAAAAAGATGAAGTAAATGTATGAATTTTGCGCAATCAACAAAGAAAATTACCAGTAAAATTGGCGCAGTAGTTCGACAACATATTATATTCTTAAACCAAAAACGTAGCCATGAACAGTTCACCTTCTTGATGGGTCGGCATACATTAAGGGCGTCGAAGGTCGTTATTAATAAGGGTAAAGATGTTTTTCATTATTTGCTCGCGTGGCGTAATGGCAACGCGTCTGACTTCTAATCAGAAGATTGTGGGTTCGACCCCCACCGTGAGTGTTTTTTTTTATTTGAAAAATAAGCAAATACTGTCAGTGTGAAGAAACAGTTACCCAATAACTGAAAATCGGTTAATTCATCACAAAATACCACTTTGAACACTCTCTAAGGTTTCTGATCCTTCCCAAATTAAAGATGCACATTAAAGGACGATTCCTGGATTTTGAATTTCCGCATGAAAAGTTCCGCTTTTCAGAACTACCGCCCGCTACCAAATACTTAACTATTGCATACGTTTCCTTTTCATCGGCTCTTTTTATGGTGAAATGGCTGTTTTACCAACATCACCGCAATCTTTTTGCATCTAAAGCGGATTGGGATCTAATAACTTCGCCCGTTTTACAACTTGTTCCTTGCGAGACGCTCTGGCATCCAATTTCTCTAGTATTGTCTAACCTGATAGACGTGAAGTTCTGGAAATTCGCTGTAAATCTGCTGAACTTGTACGTGGGAGGTGCTTTCATTGAACGGAACTGGCAAAGTCCGACTGAATTGCTTCGATACACGCTGGAGATTGGATCTCTTACCAACCTGGCAATCGTACTGGTTTCCATCATTGCGTCGTTTGCATTACCCCAGGTGAAGCTTGACCTGCCTCTTGACGGTAGTTACACCATTTTGGTCGGTTTCCCCATAGTGTACAAGCAATTGGTCCCTGAACTCACCCTTTTAAAAACTAAAAACATTCCAATTCTATCCAAAAATTTCAGATTCAAGCTGCTACCGATTTTCGTGCTTTCGGTTACTACGATCTCTCAAATAATATGGTTTCACCATTTCTCACAGCTTCTCTCGATCTGGGTCACCTTTGTCACTTGTTGGGTGTATCTTCGTTTCTACCAGGTTCTACCACCGGCAATAGCTGGCACGGAAACCAGTGCTGTTGTAGGAGACGCTTCTGAAACTTTCCAACTCTTATATTTTTTCCCAGACATTGTGAAACCCATTCTAAGGCCTGTGTTCGATTTCAGTTATCACATCTTTTGCAATGTACTTAGATTGAGGCAGCCATTTCAGGACGATGAAATTTACGCCGGGAACGCATTGGCAGAGGGTCGCGGTGCGAAGAAAGTTGGAGGACGCGTTGAGGAAAGGCGTAAAAGATTGGCTTTACAAGTGTTAGGTGAACGATTACAAACAGAGTCTTAAATGATGTATGTACAGGTTTACTTATAGACGCTTCAGAATGACATACTCCTCAGGCGGCAGTCTCTAATGTACTTGTACTCACAAGAGAAGAGTTAGAAGCAAATTCGGGCGTATATTCGCCTACTTGTTCCAATTGCAATTCAAGCGCTGATTTTTTGCCGGTCTTTTTCACGAAACCGTCGTGACCTCCGGAACGCGCCAGCTTAATTTGCTCCAAAAGCGGATCGTTTTCTTTTGTGAGGTACCCGTTATTGCTTGGATCACTGTAGTATTGTATGTCCTTCCTTCTAACTGGACGTGCTTGTAATGGAACCCGACCTCGATTTTCGAGAAACCACTTTGGACTAAGATGTGCTCTCAAACCAAGTTTATTGAAATATCTAGCAGTGAAACTACCACCTGCACCTTCAATGGCCTTAATTGCTTCCCTGGATGCTCTCGATGCCTCGATCTTCAGAGGCAAGTTGAAAATTTCCTTCCCACCTGCCAAAATCTTGACACCATCTTTGAAAGAGCCCGTGACAAGTCCCAGTTGCTTCATTTTCTTCATGTCAAGCACTTCGTCGGGGCCCAAATCTAATCTTCCCTTGCGATGAAACCACATAATACGCTCCAAATTGAGCTCTTTCAACTCTAAAGAAGTCACATTGGTGAATCCCAATTTCGGGAAAAGCTTGTAAATCGGAGTTTGACCACCTTCAAACCATGATTTTACTTTGCCTCTAGCTTTTTGACCCTTTTGACCTCTACCAGAGGTCTTACCTTTGCCTGAAGACGGACCCCTTCCCAATCTTTTATAGCCTTGTGTAGCACCTTCTGGAGGCGCTAAACGTGACAAGATGGACACCTGACGAAGCTGGCAAACTTGAAATCCAAGTCTGATTCGTAAGGTCGCCTCTCGAATGGAGTTGGCCAAGAACATGTTCACTGTGAGATGTCTATTTTGAATTCAGGAAGAACTACTGAGTTCTCTCATCTAAACTAATCCTGGAATAATCGTAAAATTTTGGACGAGAGTCACATGACGTTTTGGTTTAGTTATATACCCAAAATTTTCCAAATGTTGATAAATTAGCTTCTATGGCCAAGTTGGTAAGGCGCCACACTAGTAATGTGGAGATCATCAGTTCAAATCTGGTTGGAAGCATTTTATTTTTGCAACTTTGCCCTTATCGACTTCGAATGAAGACATGCAGAAAACGAACCTGAAGTGTTTCTTACTTTTACAATCGTATGGTGATTTCTAGTATACAAGATTATATTATTGTTGAGCCTTTTGCGCGACTCAATCCTGTGCGGGTGTGCATATGTTGTGTTCTTGTCGTTTCGTGTTTCGACTGCGGCAATTGATCATTGCCTGCATCTTTGCAAACGGGGTATATGTGGCGTGGAGCGTAAAATGCAGCATTATTCGTAAGGGTCTATGTTCGTGCTGATGGGTTTACAGGTTGTCATCCTCTTTATTGGAATCCTCATCAGAATCGGGGTTCACGATTCGCAGAGGACGAGCTTGTGCCTGAGGAACGACATGTGGTAGTGAACCGTTACTGAGACGTAGTCGGCCGAAATTGTCTGCGAAAACGGCAGAAGGTCGCAGTAGGTCTTCGCTTAACGAGATATCTTCGCCTTGTAACCGTTCTGAGGGGACATTGCCGCCTGTGGAGGAACCATCGTGGTAAGCATCGCCAAACGAGTAAGGTTGATGTTGTTTGGTTTCTTCCATGTCAGATTCTTGCTGTTTTCTGCGTCTCCACAGCAAGAAGAAAACGATTGCCGCGACGAGGATAGCGCCACAGACGACACCTACGACAATTCCGGCTATGGATCCACCGGACAACCCCGATTTACGCTTTGTGTCCTTGGAATTGGCAGTTTGACCCGTCGGCGTGGAATTTACCACTGTAGTGGCAGTCACTATCACCGTTGATCTACCACTGTTTGACAGCGTCACGACCGACACAGACGCCGTAGTCACAATCATGGTTTCTGAAGATGATCCCGTTGACCCGGATGACGACGATGTGCTTGTGGAGGAGGAACTTGACGATTGCGTTGATAAGGACGAAGATGACGACGACGAGCTTGTGCTAGAAGGAGATGACGACGAAGAGGTGGTGCTAGATGAAGATGACAAGAGAGACGACGACGACGACGACGACGACAACGACGAAGACGAAGGATTTGATGTAGACGACGACGACGAAGATGAAGTTGAACTTGTCGAAGAACTCGAACTTGACGACGAAGAAGTTGTCGAAGAACGCGAGCCCGAGGACGACGACCCTGATGGCACATTAGTGCCTTGCAAAACCAAAACCTCCATGTATCCGGAGCCACCACACGTCTCATAGGGCCATCCGTCACAATTCGTGTTGCATTGGGAAGAATCCTGTGAAGAGATCGAACCAAAAATTGATACCGAATTACCGCAATAACAAGTGTCACCGCCCACAAGCGCGACCACCGTACTACCCGAACACTGCTGCTCGCAGTACGATCGCGACTGGTACTGGTACTGACCCTTGGATTCTAATGAGGATTCCAAATCAGACGCCTTGTAGCATCCGAGATCCGTGTACGTGTTTGCACCGAGTACGCGCGGTACAGCGGCGCAGAAAAAAAGAAGGAACCCGAGATGAACCATGCCTACTCCCTTTCAGCTGCTTTTCAGCTGCAACCGTTCGATTCTGATCACTTGGACGGCTTGGAACACTGAGTTTCTTGATGTTTCAAGAGAACTATGTCGAATAGCTTTTGACAAGAATAGCATATTGGAAATCCTGTAGAACGAAAATCTAAGTCTTTGACCCGGCTAACCCGGGTAACTCCGTGGAACATCGTTCGGTCGGTTTTGGTTGCTGTAAATGGAAACAGAGTCTTGAATTTCGCGATCCGGTTACCGTATCGGGCAATTGCCTGTGGATATCAATTTTTTCGGTGCATTTGAATGATGGAATTGGAAAGAGTTGGCGAATGAGCAGGAGGTCCGGAGCGTGAAGTAGTTGTAAACATGAACGGATGGGGCGCTAGTTTAGTGATCCATTACATGGAACATGGAAGGGGCTTTTTGAAAGAGAAGATCACGTGACTTGGATTAATTGTCACGTGACTGCGTCAATTCGTTAATGAAACAGAAGAAAGATGCATAAGAGCGAGAATCGTGCGATATAGGATCGTTGTGCTTGTGCTTCTTGTTGACAGGTATTTGATATCGCTGGTTTAAATGACCAGTATGCGACCCCGTGGCCTGGGTACAACGATAAATTCAAAATGAGTGCACACAAACGAGCCGAACAGAACGAGCGGGGATCAGAATCCAAACCGCGTCGTTCCGTTAGTGCTGGTTGAAACGGCTAATAGGGACCAATACTGTAAGATGTCTGTGCTGAGCTTATAGAACATATCACGTGACTGCTGTGACAGAATCAATTTAATGACTTGGTGGGTCATATTAGAGCGCCTTGGAGCTCAATCAATTACGGAAGGCATTCAATGCTTGAAGGGTCTCAAAAAGCTCCATTAGTGAAGAAGATGAAGCTTTTTTACCACCTGCATTCTCAAAAGTAGAAATTGGACAATGGCTGTGTAATAATGGCCTCTTACTCGATTTATTTTCAACTGTCCCCGGAAACTGAGCTAAAAAAGCAGTTATGAGTATCGTTCACTTTCAGTTAAATTTTGTACTCTGATCCAAACGCAATGGTCAGAATCATCGGCTTCCAGGTGCTTTTCTGCAAATTCTGTCACCGTGGCAATGTGGTCTTCCTAGATGTGAGATAAGTCCGTTCCGGCACCCAGCGTGAATATCATTTCCGTCCAACCTCAACCCAGCCTTAGATCAATCTGTTGAGAATCATGTTCAGTTCGTAGCCAGCATCTATTGCGACGTACCCTCGATTTTCAGCGTCGTTGATGACGGAGCGTCCATGAATGGCTCTGAGTCAATATTCACCAGACTTGCCCAGTTTTATCAACTGCTTCTCGTATAGCATCTGAATACCGCTTGGTACTTGAAGGATGCATCACTGGATTTCTTCTGTTTTTGGTAAAGAAAACTCTGGTGAGCGGTATTCTGTGGGTATAGAGTTGTAAGTTGCAAGCTACAATCGACGTGTCTTACGTAGATTGGAAAACAGTGAAACTCTACCAGCAGCGTCATGCCTGATCAGATGCACGTCCCTTTCAACATTTCCGTGTCCTTTTTCATTCTCTTTTCAAAGTTATGGGCAACAGAGACAGCTAGGAGAAAGGAACCTCTGGTTGTGCACGCACATGCTTTTCGGTTTCTCGTGAAATAGACGGTATCGAGATTTCTGATTCTTGGAATAGGAGTAGATTCGGCCAGGTCGTGCTTCAGTTACAATCTAACCACCAGTGCCTGAATATTAGCGAATGATCTTTTTAGTTTTTCAAAGGCGCCTGAACATCTAGAGTTGAAAATCAAGAAAGAAAAAGGTCAAAAACATAAAAGATGGCTTAACTGATTTCAAGTTTCAAGATGATTGAAGGCATATACGCCTGTTTTATAGAGACATGGAAAGCCCCCTGCGCTTCAGGTTGGTTCTTGATGACTTTCAAGTTGTTGCTCAGGTGTAGAATGGATCCGCATTCCAGACGATAGCTTTTAAACAAAACCGAAGCTCACGCTTGTTAAAGGGCTGGCTTATGATAATGACAGTTTAGTGAATGCTGATTAACATAGTTTCTTCGTGTTCTTCTCAAAATGTAATTCATTCAATCGTCCTCGTCTAAGTGCCCACCGTATACTCAGAGAGTCCATCTGGAAAATGGTCGTTCACTATAAAATGGGCCCAGACAATGGAAAGCAAACCAGTCATAAGAATAAAGGTCATGCTAAAAACTTTCCATCTCATTCAAAAGTGCTACCATAATTAAATTAGATCAGCTACTACTACAAAACGTAGAGTTTCCATACAGATTGAGAAAATGCAAAAAATCTGGCGCCGGAGAGATTCATCTCAGCATGCAACTGCATCAAAACCCGACTTTTAGTTGAATTTTTCATCGCAAAAAAAGTAGTTCGGTATTACCTAGAGGATGGGCGAATATGTGTTCGAAATTTTCTGCATCGCGAGGATGACATTTTCGCTTACAGAAACCCAACAAGCCCAGGATTTTAACATCTATGTCCTATGGAAAAATTTAATAAGATTCTAGCTATCAATATGATAATAATAGGCGGGCCTTCTCGTGGCACCGTTTTCCTTATTGTTTTGGGTTTCTTGTTCCTGTCAGAATTCATTTTGTAAATGACATGTAATAGCGAGGAAACAGAAAAATCAGAAAAGATTTCAATTCCTGATCGTATCTGGCAAAAAATCGCGAATTCCCATAGTGAACCCTTTAACATCGGCTTGATGCCAAATCGGAATCACTTTATCTTTTCAATCGAAATTTCCATCTCTTGGTCCCTGTGCCAGGTGAATATAAATTAGATGCGACTTTTTGTCTCTACAACAAGTATTGTTTTTAAAGCTCTGTTCTGAAAGTGCCAATTCTTTGAATAAAGTAACAAGATGCTTCCCGAGAAACAAGACGTCCACATTGAATTGAAGAATTTCCAAGCCGGCTCAGTGTCTTCATTCCAAATGGGCGAAAATGACAATGACAATTTAAAACCATCTTAAAGCAAAGAATTGAAAAAGAAAACTTTTGCCTCGACAAGTTTCAATAACTGGAATTGGTGGTGCTATTGGAACGGCACTTTTCATTTCAATAGGTAGTAAAAATTATTTCTGGTGGTCCAGCGTCATTGCTGATTGCGTTTTGTCTATGGTCGGTTGTTTTCATTGGGCTTTCAATTTGCATGTGTGTGATGGTCACCTTTTTGCCCGTTTCTGGATCATTTGTGCATTTTACCGAACGATTCGTTGATAGATCGTGCGGGTTCGCTGTTGGATGGACTTATTTTGTATGCCAGGCAGCCAACGCTTGCTTCGACATTACAGCGGTTTGCTTGGTCATAGAATTCTGGACAGACAAAGTTCCCAAAGCCGCTATGATTTCAATTCTGATTGCATTGTTCGCTGTGTTGAATTTAATTTCCGTGGTGTTTTTCGGGGAGGGCGAATTTTATTTCTCAATTGGTAAAGTTATCCTGGCCATTGGCCTGATTCTGTTCACTGTGGTAGTTATGTCTGGTGGGAATCCTCATCACAAGGTTTTGGGTTTCAAGACTTGGGAAAATCCTGGAAGTTTCGCTGAATACATTACAACCGGAACCTCTTGTAGGTTTAATGGATTTATGTTGTGCTTGGTTTTTGCCCTGTATGTCTTCTGGGGTGTCGATTACTTGGGTAACGCTGCCAGTGATAGCATGAACCCCAGAAAAGTCATACCCAGGTCGTTCAGAGAAGTTTTCGGAAGATTGATCATATTCTATATTGGAGGAGCTCTTTGCGTGGGCGTTTTGATTCCATATAATAATCCTGATATGATAAAGGCAATCACCAAGGGCGCTGCTGGTGCCGGGGCCTCTTCATACGTTTCTGCCATGAAAACTTTGGGCATCGGCGTTCTACCACATATTGTCAACGTATTAATATTGACCTCGATTATCTCTGCAGGAAATTCTTATATATTTTCAGCTGACCAGAGCACTGTATCGTCTGGTACTCGAAGGTCAAGCTCTGGCAATTTTCCGGAAAGTAACTAAACGCGGTGTTCCAATTTATTGCTGTCTTGTAGTGCTTGTGATATGTGGCTTAGCATATCTTTCCGTTTCCAACAACACTAACAAAGTCCTGACATGGTTTTTTGAACGTCGAGACTGCGGCAATGGCGATTGTTTACATCTTCATATGCATCAGTTATTTGCGATTCCGGAAAGGCTGTCTAGCGCAGAAACTCGATATGAGGACTTTACCTTATCACAACAAATATGCTCACTATCTGGGATGGCATTCTCTATTTTGGTTTACCCTGATACTTTTTGTGAGTGGGTACACGGTGTTTTTGGATCATAATTGGAACTTCCAGAGTTCCGTCTTCTCATTTTTCATGGTACTGTTCTTCATTGTCTTCTTCGCTCACAAGGTGTACCATAAAACAAGGTTTATCAAACCAGGTGAGATGAATTTGGTCTCCATGATTGATGAATTGGCAGAAGAGGATCAATATTGGATTGAACATCCACCCAAATTGAACTGGCTTGACAAAGCTTTCGGATTTTTGTTGTAACATGTGCATGCAATTTATCAGGCAGGTCCACTGGAAATAAAATTTGTATTCATATCTTAAATTTGTACAAGATGGATATCTTTGTAATTTGGTTGAATCGAAAATTTACCGGGTTCTATGACCTCAGGTATACGTTCGATACCAACCATGTTCGTTGAAGCCTTAACGACATAAGACCTCGGAAAACTCTACAGTCTAAGAAGTTCTACTTCAAATATCAAGTCAATATAAATATCACCTCAAGATCAATCGTCATGGCAATTAGTTTGGATTCATCAACATTTTCATTATGGCTTGTCAAGCTCGTTGTCGTTGCTATGGTGAACATCCTACTTTAACGTGCTAAACTGACGACAGATAGAAATCAGACAAACAGGGGAGTTAGTTCCCTAAAACATTGATCAACGCAAAGCGTGATAAGAGACTATTATACGTTTAGTGCGTGATTTCAAGCGAGTAAATGGCGTTATGCCGATGGAATATAGATCCGGTTTGATACTAACTATCAACACTCAGGCACTAGTTAACCCACGCAGGGAACATATATATCTGGGACAAGATTTGAAACGTCTCGCTCAATAAAATACCGAGCGACTTAATTAATTTGGTTGACTCAGTTGAACCAATTGTTTTCCAACGACGATGCAGGAACTGACGGCCTGAAAACTTATGCCAGAATTTTGAAAAGTGCACTTATTATCGCAAAGTCTTGAAAGCTGCTTTATTTATATAGTAAGTTAATTCGTTGATATGGTAACATTTACTAAAGATGTTGTGGTACCTAGTAGCATTTTTCATATATCCAAGGCTTAGAATATTGCTCGTATTTTCATCTACATCAGCGTACACGCTAATAGATCTTTATTTAAAGGCAAAAAACTGTGTTCGACGGCTACCAATACTATGCTTCACCATTAATTCGCCCGCTGGAAACATTGACATCAAATCTACTAGGCTTGTGAACTCCCATCTATACGAGTTGATTCTGTCGTTGAGAACCACTTCAGTACTTTAGCAAACAGTCTAAGTTGTAAAAAAAGGCGGTCACAAGTGAAAGGGTTCTGCATTAAGCTCACCCCACTGTTTCCCGTGACAAAGACCCTTGAGGTGGTCGATATCATTGTCTAAATTGGGTTTAGGATGGTCGAGAAACAAAGATATTGAATGTGAGTATATGTTAGCACCAAGTGAAGTCGAAATGGCGCCTCTGGATCTTTTCTTGACCTTTGAACAGTATCTCCAGATATGAATTTTAAGATTGTGACTGCGACAATTTTGGGCCTCGTTGCTTTGGGCCAAACTGCACCAACCGTTTATACCAGTAACGCTACAGACGCAGATGTTGAATTTTCCGATGACGTCGTTGCATGGGGGAACCCAACATTCCCATCTATTTACCATACATGCAATGACACCGATATCAGGATGATCAAGAGCGCTTTCATGGATTCATTGGAAGTTTCTGCGTACGCAAGAGATAGATTGCTCAATTACGGTGCAGATGACCTATTTTTCAATAGGTGGTTCGGGAACGGTAGTTTAACGACGGTTTTAGGTACCTTGGATCATCTGGTCGAAGCTTCAAAGGACGGCATGCTTTTGAGATGCGACGACATTGATGGTCTTTGTGCGAAGAATCCAACTACGTACCCAGGATATCATCGTGCGACCGAAGACAAAGAAACGGTCATTTGTGACTTATTCTACCAGACTAAAAAGCCACTTTCCAGCATCTGTTTCGAAGGCAATCTTGTAGATGTACACCCAAAGCATTATGCTGGTGTCGATATGCTTCACCGTTACTTACACGTCTCGATGATGAACCTAAACGGTTACATCGCCGAGTTTGCAGAAGACTTGGACGAAATTGTCGAGTACGCGCATTCGAACACTACTTATGCAGTGAGAAACGTTGACAGCTACTTGTACTACATGGCCGATGTGTATAGTTCATCTGTCATCGAAGGTGGCTGTTTGGGCAAACTTTAAAATGGACCTCACCAATTTCGATTTCGATAAAACGTAAATAAATTAGTTCGTATATTCACTGCAATATAAACCCTGCTTATAAAATCTGTTGACATTTGCTGAGTTGTAAAGGCGATTGGATCCACACGAATCGATTTGAACCTGCAAGGAGTTATGCTCGCTTAGGTCACCTGTCCACATCTATCCTAGGCCGTTTCTAACGGCCGAAACGCAAAGTCTTCAGGGAGCCGCCATAAGGATGCAAGCAGATTGGAGGAAAGCACTGATTACTGGCATTATATTCAGCTTAAGGCCCGAGAGCAAGTAACTCTAGAGGTCGAAGCGATCACGTGATCGAAACGTCAGAATAAAACAAGACCAATTCCAAGATATATTCTGGCCAAGTGAGCTCATTAGAACTGCCGTGGGTATATTCAAATTGCAGGTGATTTTTTGCTGGGTTAAGACTGGAGTGACCCGTTTAAGCCAATATGATTTCATTCCCCTCTGCGATTAAAGTTGCGGAAAGCCATCAGAAGGCCAATTGCGTCTTAGGTTAACTTTCAGGGCAACATAAAAACCCTCAGTATCTCAGGTATAGAAAGCCTCGGGAATAAAACCTCAAGGGTTCTCGTCTTTTGATAAGAGGATAGGCACGTGATCACGGTGACACATTTCACGCGGGTATATTACTAAGAAGACGGCAGCGAAGACTAACAAACGTGAGGAATGCGCTGCTGTCCAATTTTGAATGTCTACAACTTTCTGGTGTAACGTATCGTTTTCAGTCTTTGCAGCGGGACTCATCCTCGTGCTCCATTTCCGATAAAGTCACGCCTCAGTGAGCTGGACAATTCCAAGGGGAGAGGGAAAGCACCGCGCCCCCAAAAATACCGGAGCACACTTCAGTGCCCCCACTAGCTTCTCGCTAGCGTAGCAGGCTCTAATCATCGACGTTAAAGATATGGTAGAATGAGTTTCTCGTACAGAACGACCGAAAAGTAAGCACCTGGAATAGCCACGAAGCTGTTCAACAAGCCCGGTAGAGTAAGTGTCCGTAACCAGAACCGTCCCCGTACTACTCTCACTACAATCGCTGCCTATTTTCATACGCTGGGAGTCCCCTCATCGACGTAGATTCACTTTTCTAGCACTGTATCCGGGTAACGTTTGCTTGTAGTATATGAAAAAGTCATTAACAACTAGCCATCTCATCGCGATGTTTCAGATGCCCGTAAACATGTCCTCTTTAAAGCAATTGAGCCGGTCAGGACCGCGCAAACAGACCTATACGCCCATTTTGAACAATCCGTTTACACAGGAAGCTCACCTGTGGCCCCACATCGAGAACCATCGACTTGTGGCGGAAGTGGTGAAAAGTCACGTGACAGCTCCACTTGCCCTTGCACGCGATCTGCGACAACAGGCGCCCTTTGACGCGCTTTGCGGGTTCAATAGCATCGTACAGCACCTCGAAAACCCTCCGCTGCCGACCAGTCCTGTTTTTTTATTTGTGTGCAACAAAGACGTCAACTCCGAGATCCTGCTGGCGCAAATCCCAATCTTGGCCCGCGTGTCGCGGTGCCAAGTCACTCTCGTGGCACTCCCACGAGGATTCGTCGCAAATTTCGACGCGTGCGACCCACATCACGACGGATTTTTGCTCGTGATCGATAATGACAAATTTGACCGCCAAATCGCAGCCAAACTACGCCAAAACGTGCCGGAACCTACCATTTTGCCATGGCTACAGTACGAACCTGCCAAGATCTCACTCGTGGCATCAACGACACCTGTCAGATCGAAGGGAAAGCCCGTACCCAAATCGCGATGAGGATGTTGATGATGCTTACCTAAGCTGGAAAATTTTCTAGAACAATAACACTCTGCATATATAAGGAAGGGCAAGCAGTGATCGATGCGGACAGGGAACTCAGGGACTAGTAACTCCAGCAACTCCAGCAACGCATCATAATGGTGGTTTTGAATCCCAACAATTGGCACTGGGTCGACAAAAATACTCTTCCCTGGACCGAGCGGTACATGGAAAAATTGGAGATCGAATCCGAGAAATTCCGCATCTTGCGAGTGGAACAGGTGTCTGGCGACTCAAACGTGTCTCAAAGGAAGGGTAAAGTGATCTGTTACTTTGATTTGAACCTGGGGTTCCAAGTCGAAGTTCTGGAAGAGGATCAGCAAGTAAGTGAGGGCAGAGTCACGGTGCCGGAATTCATGCACGATGAACAAGATTTTTTAATTCAAACGGAAGGTTTTGGTGGCCATAGCAGGCTGGTGGAACAAGACTTTGTTCCTTTGCTGCGTGCCGCTTTGTGCCGGTATCAAGATGCCCTCATTGCAGAACACAGCACAGACCTGCAACAGTAGACGTATTTTGAACGTGCAGCGGACGGCCCACAGCTCACGGCTTACAGCGCCCTGCAAACAACATCGTTGGACCATCATCACAATCATCATACATATAGAATAGTATCAACTGACAAGTTTTAGTAGACGTAAGGAACGATCTTGTATGGCACTTGCGTCTCGTACTCGTGCCAACTGGCTCCGTACTTGACCCGGCACTTGTGCTCGTCACGGGCCTGGCGGTGCAAGAGGAGCGTTGCGAAGTATGCGAGGTAATAATAGGTCAGAGGGGTTTGAAACCCAGTAGCCAAGCACCAGCTGAGCGCGATGAGCCAGTCGCCGAAATAGTTGATATGCTGCGACTTGGCCCACCATCCATCACATAGCAATTTGGTACCGCGCGTGGTCTGGATGCTTTTTAGATGAGGCAGTTGACCCTGTCTGAAAAGAGATTTTTGTTTGTTCGCAGAATGGAATATGTAGTAACCGAGAGCCATGACACCCAAAATGGCAGCGCAGTTATGGAACCCCAGAGCGATTGGAGAAACACTCAAGTAACGCGCTTGAAGTGAATAGGTGAAAGGAACAAGTGTGAGGTCACCGAACGCAAGCATATAGCCGAATCCGTCTGTTGTAATATCCATCATTGTAAGCACTCCTTCTTCGTTGAGCACACCGTCGAAAATGTAGAAACCCTGTAGCGCGTTCACGAGCAACAAAGCGTCGTTGATCTCGCCAGTCTCAAGGAAGTGGTGATGCAAGCAAGCAAGGTTAATCATGAGCCACAACAGCATTCCTGGACGTAGCTCGCAGAATAGTTTCACGTCGAGTGGACCCAGCCGTGGGTTCAACTCACGCCCGATAAACCAGTCGTAAATCGGGTTTCTAGAGTTTCCTCCCAGCGCCAATATCCGCTCGCGAGTGCCGAGTCCATTGGATCTCGTCAGGGGCACGAAACTGAACAAATAGCAGACTGTGCCAAGGATAAACGAAAATAGCACCGTAACAATACACAGATCGACATGATGTTCGTACAGGTATTGGAATTCGGGCATTTGGCCGCCCGTCAGTTGCCATCTAAACGCAAGGATCGCCGCTAAAACACCGATCAGGGACATCCCATTGATCTTGTAGTTCAGCTTCGAACCATCTCGCAGTTCAACGCCTTGCATCTTGCGCCCAGGTAGAACAACGTCGAAAACAGCCAACATTGCAAACCACGCGCCATAGTAAGTCCATAGTTCACCGTTCGTCAAGTACCAGCGCAGAGGCTTGATATTGTTCCATAACTGTGCAATATCGAAATTTTGGAAAAATCCCACAACGTAATAGTCTGGTCTTGCCATTTGATTGAGCACCACGCATACTATCGGTAGGCCTAGCGAAATCGCAAGAGCACCCGACACACCATTGAACTCAAAGTCCTTGGTTCTAGGATTGAGTGGTCCGCTCGAAGAGGCCATTTTGTCTTGAATTCCACTAACAAACAGTAGCTCGTAAAAGGTCTTCTTCTCATCAGAACCCATTTTTTAACCTTCTCTGCAACGAATACAGAAGAAAAAAAGTACCTTAATTTCGTTTAGACAGCATCAACTTCCAAACGACGATGCGATCCTGACAGAGAGATCAACATTGCTAAGACCCTTTTTTACCCCAACTCCGGAATTGACTCTTTCATCAAAATGTCAAAGTTACTCCGTTCAACAGCTTACTTGCCTGTAGTGAAATAATATAAAGTTTATTCATAAGTTGATCCTACAGATGATCGCGCCTACTGGTGATGCTTGTAGGAATCGTGGAAATCTTTGGCAGCAAAGATGGCTTTGCTGCCGAGCTCCTCTTCAATTCGCAAAATTTGATTGTATTTGGCAAGTCTTTCAGAGCGACATGGAGCGCCAGACTTGATTTCACCGGTTCCAAGAGCAACAACCAGATCGGCAATAAAAGAGTCCTCGGTTTCACCGGATCTATGAGAGACTAGTATACCCCAGCCAGCATCGTAGGCCTCTCTAGCGGCAGCAAAGGATTCGGTCAAAGAACCAATTTGGTTGACCTTGAGCAACAAAGTATCGGCAGCTTTTTCCTTGACGGCTCTTGCAATCAACTTGGTGTTGGTGCACACCAGGTCGTCAGCCACAACGGGAACTTTCACACCACCGGCAAGAAACTTACTCCAGGACTCCCAATCGTTTTCCCCAAAGGGATCTTCCAAAAACGCCAAAGGGTACTGGTCAACCAGCTCGTGGTATTTTTGGGCTAGTTTCTCTCCAGAGAGCCACTCAGAAGGAGAAGAATCCTCTTGTTTCTTGAAATCCAAGTCATACTTGCTTTCTTTACAAAATTGAGACGAGGCCGCGTCCATTGCGATTTTGACCTTGCCTTCGTAACCGGCTTTGTTGATGGCCTCAACAATCAGATCTAGGGCTTCCTCGGCAGTAGTTAAGTTTGGAGCGACGCCTCCTTCATCACCAACATTGCCTGCGGATGGCCCATACTTTTCAACTGCGAGTTTCTTCAAGATGTGATAAACCTCAGAGTTCCAGCGCACGGCCTCAAAGAAAGAAGGTGCGCCGATAGCTCCAATCATGAATTCCTGGAAGGGAAGCAGGCCACCGGCATGCTCACCACCGTTTAAAACGTTCATAAAGGGAACGGGCAGAACGAAGGGCTTATTTGCATCGTGACGGCCTTCAAAGAGGTCCCGCAAATGAACGTAAAGGGGAACGCCTTTTTCATGGGCTCCAGCACGGGCGACGGCAAGGGAAATGCCCAAAATCGCATTAGCACCTAGTTTGGCCTTGTTAGGGGTGCCGTCGGTTTTGATCAGTAAATCGTCAACGGCTTCTTGGTCTGTAACCTTGAGACCTGACTTAACAAGTACAGGCCCCAAGACATCGTTGACGTTAGCGACCGCTTTGAGCACACCTTTACCACCCCAATGGCTCTTGTCGCCGTCCCGAACTTCGACGGCCTCGCTGACACCGGTGGAGGCTCCAGAGGGCACGATCGCTCGGAACAACCCCCCCTCAGTGGTGATTTCGACTTCGACGGTTGGATTACCGCGTGAATCATAGACAGATCTGGCGTGAACTTTTTCAACGGACATGGTGTGTGTGCGACGTATCAATCACAGCGAAACCTACCGTTGTTGGTACAGGCAGATTCAGTTTAAACTCCGGCTTGGCATGTTATTTTTATACCTGCTGCCAAGGCTCCTAGACTTGCCAAGCATCCTAGCAAAATAAAGGGGATATGATGTAGCTCCGTTGTTTCGTAGACGCAATCGCCCCTTGCTAAGCTCTCAGTCCTTACGAGCAACGGCTAAAAGTGTCACCGGCTGCATCGGCAAAACTCGTATTTTATGACATCACAGCACACGGGTATGTCTAGCCGCTCATCTCAGCTGCGCAGGGACAGGCCCATGAAGAGCGGAAGAAAAGAACATTGAAGTTGTAGCACTAATGCTCGTGGATGTTTTGTCTTCCTGCTTTTCACGTATTGCCACCTGCGTCAGTGTATTAGAGGGGGGCTGCCGGATTACCGGATTGAACAGATCTGGTCTGCTAGGAAAAAAGTGGCAGGGAGTTGTCAAGGAGATCTCTCCCTGTTCCTCTCGCCTTATATACTCCAATTTTTCGAGGGTAGCGGAAGGGATGACAAATGTTTGCTTGGGGGTTTTGTGCCACAAAAACCGGCGAGAGCGGGAAAACGTTCGCGGCTAAAAAAGGATATACGTGTAGAGTGATTATTGGCATTATGTCACGTGATGACAAAGCCTTTTCAGGTAACTAAGTACGAAGGACGAACTCGATTCTATCTCTAACGCAGACGACCATCAAGTCAATAAAATTCAATTGTAGGACTCTCAAGTCACAGAGTGCTGCTTCGTCTATTTCGCTTGTAGTGCATAGCGACTGCAGACCGGCGGCGGCGAGACCCGCGGGAAATGGAGCTTTATTATGGGTTCTCGATCGAAAAGGTCGGCTCACAACTCGAAACCAACCCAAAAACGTTCAAAAGTGGCCAGAGTCAATGAATGAGCGTCGAAATGCCTGTGGGATTGGCTATAGTATCGCAAGCGGAGATGAAACGACACAGATCGTGATAGACGAATATCACGTGCTCTTTCTTGGCAAAGAAGCTTAACTTACGGACCGCATTGAGATAACACCCTGACTGAGAAATCTCGCTTCTCGAACTAAGAATCTCTCGCTCATCCGACAATACAAGCTCCCCGTTTGTTCTTCAGCAGCTTTTTAAAGCATGGAACGTGTAGATTCCAACGCTTCCGCCGTTTCCAGAACGTCACGCATCACCAGGGCTGCTTCGCTGGCGTCCAGAACATCTTTGGCCACGAAAGTCACACGCGAACCGTCTATCCGACATCCACGCCGTGCTTCCAGGGCCGAACGTGTCTACGGGTTTAGTTACCTCACGGATGAAAATAGCAAGCTCCTTCTGTATTTGGGACTCACCACCTCGTGCATTTTGGGCACATACACTCGACTTGGCCTCTCCAGTTTGACCAATTACCAAGGATCCTTTGTTTCGGGTCCCACAGTGCTGTGGCCCAACTTGACCGCGTGCATCGTCATGGGAATGCTGCAGACGCTCAACAAATTTGCTGTGATTTCTCCGGTGCTATTCACGAGTCTCACCGTTGGCTACTGTGGCCAGGTTTCCTCATTTTCAAGCATGGTACTCGAGATGTTCGAACATGCAACCAACCAGGGCGCGAAACCGACCCATTTCCCGAACCGCGCGTACGGCATTATGGAAATGCTCTCGGTCATGTTTGTGCACTTGTTTGTCTCGTTCAGTGGCCTCATATTCGGCATGCACCTCACAAAAGAGCTGGGCCGATTTATGGAGCGTGAAAAAGAGGATACCGTGTTTGCGATTCGTCTCAAAAAACTCTTCACTTACTGTCAGGTCGTGTTTTGTCTTGCAGCAGTCCCTTTGCTTGCACTTCACATCGTCCTGGCTGCCGTTTACGGGAACTTTGCCCGTACTTGGATGCTTTCGGTCATTTTCGGCATCCCTGGCGCTTTTTTACGCTATTTTCTCTCGCGCTGGTACAACTTGAAGATCAAGTACTTCCCGCTTGGAACATTCCTCGCAAACGTCTTTGCCTGCGCTCTTATTGCCGTTTTTACCTTGGTGCAACGCGGGAAGCTTAGAGACGGAACTACCATTGCCAAATCTGTTAATACGTGCCGCATTGTTACCGCACTTGTCAGTGGCTTCTGCGGCGCGCTTAGTACCATCAGCACTTTCATCAACGAAGGTTACAAGCTTCCTTTCTGCAAGACCCTATTCTACTACACGGTGTCGCTGTTTGTCTCCTTTTGCCTCATAGTCGTGATATTGGGCTCCTACAGTTGGACTAGAGGACTCGCACCTCCTATTTGTTGAACAGCACAGCAATCGTTATCAGGAGGCTTAACATTTTGATAGACATACACATCTCCGCCCTAAGGGGATACTACCACCAGCTTAATTTATGGCCCTTTCTACCTTAATATGAACAATAATCTTCCCCCCCCACCAGCAACACGCCATTGATTATCAGCCGCGGGCCATCTCCCATGAAAAACATTCCAAAACGCTGAGGTTGATAAATAGCAACATCTTTTTCACGCTTTCCTCGACGCTCTCTTGCTTTATCGCGAACCCTGCGCTGGGCATGACCTCGGAGTTCGAAGAGATAGAGTTGCAAAACAGAAGTATTCCACTTGCCCCGTCGATCCACATGCCGTAGCCTATTTTTGGCCCACAGAACGTCCTTTGCCGTCTGGTGGTCTTTTGACACCGTTTTTTCAAGCGCGAAACGAATTCGGAAAGCGAATTTCCGGCATCAAAGCACAGAAAACAGTCCCAGAGCCTTTGGAGAACCTTTTTGCTCAGTGCCAGAGGGGGTTCGCTGGTCCCGACGGTCATATGCCAGTCATGCCATCTGGACAGAATCTCGAGCACCATATCGTTGACGTAAGCTTCTACGATCTCGATCAGAGTATTTACCGCATCTAACCGCCGTTTTTTGCTCGTAGTACCAAGATACGCACGAAAACTATCTTCAAACCGTAATATGTAGTCGAGAATCAACGTTTTCATGTCCTGGCGTTCCGACTTGGCAATTTTGGAAGTCCCTGACATTTGTGCGAACTGCAAAATCTGCGGGAAAACGGAAACTTTATAGGCACGAGCGCCTGGTACTAGCGTAGTGTCACCGAGACCACCGTCAAGCCCTTCTGGTGAGATGTCAAACAGGTTTTCGTACCGCGCAAACACTCCGCGCCTCAGAACGTCTTTAAAGAGCTGCAACGGTCTGCCACATGGACCAAAATCGTACGTGAGCTCTACGTCTCCATTCAAAAACCACAGCAGGATACATAGGTTGTGACATCTTCTGATTCCGCCGTTTTCAACGGTGCGCCGAAACTCCCAAGGCGGAAGTTCTTCAAAATTGACGGTTTTAGGCTCCTTAAAAGCCGACAGCGCGCTGCTCTCACGACTCGAATATAATTCAGATAATTCCATCGCTGTTGCGCTGATTATCCTGGCAAGTTGCCTCTAATAAGCGGTGGCCAAGATCCTTGCTTTTACTCTCGGCGGCTAACCCTTTTATACATCCACTAGATATTATTATCACTGTATACGAACAATATAATGTCCGGGTAAAATGGTGTCAATTCCGTCACAAGTGACTTCTGCAGCAATCTCTAAAGCTGCACTGTACTGCTAAAGCTAGGGCATCTAATGCTGGATCAACAGTATATGTCTGAAATAATAAGGCAGATGGATACGGTGAACAAGATCTGGGGTTCGATCCCTGAGGACAATTTTAATCAAGTAGTGAAAGACGCTCGGAAATTGGCAATCGATCTAGCGGGAAACCACTGCAATCAGGACGAAAAACGGGACAAAATGCTGGAATACGACAAATTGGTCGGGATTCTGACAGTTTGTGTGAATCAAATGCATGGGGATGTGGACGTCAAGTTGGGCGAGGACTTACAAGTTAGCTTTAAGCATGGGGTACAGGCTACTGGGCCATCTTTTGCAGCTCACGTGTCTGAGCTTGTTCGAGCCGCGAACTTTATAGGTGTGTTTGAGCGTCGGTTCAAGGAAACATTAAGGGCAGAAGCTTCCAATTCTAAGGCCCAATTGAGCCGGCAGCTACAAGAGCGGATTGCAGAGTACCAAAAGGCACAAATGGGTGATACGGAAAGTATTTCGGAGGCAGGGTCGTCCGTGGGGAAGAAGGAAGAGCCCAAGAGCACACGTGACCAGCTTTTATCTACCAATCAGAGGATCACTGCGTCGTTGATGCGATCCAACAACGTCTTGAAGAGTTCCGTACTACAGAGCGAACTGAACATTTCGGAACTAGAACAACAAACGCACTCGTTACAAACGCTTGGGAACCGGTTTGATGCATTGGGTGGAATCTTGACTACGTCGTCTACAATGATCAAGGCCATCAATAACGCTAGTCAGCAGGAACAACGGCAGATCTACGCCAGTCTCGGGTTTCTGGTGCTATGTATGAGCTGGGTGCTGTGGCGGCGGATTTTCAAGGGTCCTTTCAAGCTGATTATTTGGCTGTGGTTCCGATTTTTCAGATCTGTTTTGGTCACGCTTGGCGCATTGCCTGGGCGTCAGCGCGCCAGGGCATGCGCCGGGGGGTCATTGTCTTGCGCGTCGCTGGTTTCGCATACACTTGGCTCTGTAGTGTCCAGCGTGGCCAAAACCGCTACCACAAGTGCGACGGATTTTGCGGATCGTTTTGGCGGGCTCGAGACTGCCATCGATCTCGCTTTCGACAGCGTTCACGACGAGCTGTGAGTAGGTGGTTTGCCGCGGGGCGCAGCCGCCTAAGAGGTCTACGTGTCTACAAGCGCGCAGTCTGACGTACTGTGGCCCAACTAAGAATGTTGGATTAACCAGAAACAAAAAAAAAGCCAAAGCCCATGTGAAAGCCACTGTTATCGGCGGTAACTGTTACCGACGGGACATGCTGCCAGTTACATGAGCCACTCAAGCAAGTGTGGGGGGAGCAGGGATTTGCCCGCTACCACACATCAACACTTTCACATGCTCGCTACCCGCAAACAAGAAGCCAAGAATCCCCAGTAACCGTTCGCACCCAGACGCGTCGGCCACACGCGGCTGTCGTAAGCTCGTCCACAGTCTCTACAGGCCTTCTCCGCCATCCCACGTAAACTTTTTTCTGCAAAGGTTGCCTATTTGCTCATTTGGGAAACAACTCCACAACCGAACAACGAAAAAACCTTCGCCTCAATCGGAAAAAGCAGCCCAAAATCGCACGAATTGAAGAGCGGAAATATTACAGCGACTGCGGGGTCATTTGGACCGGAATACTGGGCGCGGCGCTCTGTGGGTTGGCCTTTTGGCTTGCAATTTCAGCCTTTGTCACGTTACCAGGCCTGTGTACTCTATAGGTCTTTCTCTTGTAGATAAGAAGGAAAAAATTTTGGTTTATAAAGGACAACTCCTTTTGAAAACACCTTTCAAAACAAGCGAAAAGACAGGCAAGAAAGGTCTGACGGGGGGAAATTCAGGCTAGGTTTGGTTTGAATCGGCGCTCAAAAACACTTGGAACACTTTTTTCCTGGCGGAAAACGCTTCAAAGCTCAATTTTGTTTCGAAAACACAGTTTCGAGATCTAAAGGCCAACAGGTGTAAACAGCGATAAAACCGCGAGAAACTGGCAGACACCATGGCTGCTGAGTCCAACTTCACTGGGTCGCACTCGAAAGAGACCATGCACCAGAAGAGACCTCAAGAAACTATGGAAATGACCGAGTCACGTGGATCGATGGACTCTGCTGCGTCGGTCGACCGGATCGTGATTAAACCGGTCAACGACGAAGACGACACCTCAGTGATGATAACGTTCAACCAACAGGTATCGTCCTTCATCATCGTCTTGACGTTTGTGGCCTCGATTTCTGGGTTTCTCTTTGGTTACGACACCGGTTACATTTCCAGTGCTCTGGTATCCATTGGCACGGACCTCGACAACCGTGTCCTGACATACGGCGACAAAGAAATCATCACTGCGGCGACATCGCTTGGTGCCCTCATCTCCTCGATTGTGGCCGGTACCGCGGCTGATATTTGGGGTAGAAAGCCATGTTTAATGTTTTCCAACGTACTTTTCTTGATTGGCACGATTTTGCAAATTTCGGCTCACTCGTTTTGGCAAATGGCTGTTGGAAGACTTATCATGGGCTTCGGCGTCGGTATTGGTTCTTTAATTGCGCCTCTTTTTATTAGTGAAATCGCTCCTAAGATGATTCGTGGTAGACTCACCGTGATCAACTCGTTGTGGTTGACCGGAGGTCAGCTAATTGCGTACGGTTGCGGTGCGGGTCTCGACAAAGTGCACAATGGCTGGAGAATCCTGGTGGGACTTTCTTTGATTCCCACCGTTACACAGTTTGTGTGTTTCTTGTTTTTGCCTGACACGCCTCGTTACTACGTTATGAAGGGTGAATTGGAGAAAGCTGCACACGTTTTGGGTAAGAGTTACCAGGACGCGCCTAGCGACTTGATAGACCAAAAAATCCATGAACTCAGCGTATTGAACAAGACGATCCCTGGTGACACCGTGTGGGCACGTGTGTGGAACACGGTGGTCAAGATCCACACCGTTCCTGCCAATTTCAGAGCTTTGATCATTGGTTGCGCCTTGCAAGGTATTCAGCAATTCTGTGGTTGGAACTCTTTGATGTATTTCTCGGGTACTATTTTCGAGACCGTCGGATTTTCCAATTCCACCGCGGTTTCGATCGTTGTTGCAGGCACCAATTTCATTTTCACGCTTGTTGCATTTTTCGCCATCGACCGCATTGGCCGTAGAGTCATTTTGCTGATTGGTTTGCCCGGTATGTGTGTTTCGCTGATTGTTTGTGCGATCGCGTTCCATTTCATGGACATCAAATTCGAAGGTAACGGTGCAGCCCATGTAGGTAACGGTGGCTTCAGCGCCTGGGGTATAGTGGTCATCGTTGCAATCATCGTCTACGCCGCGTTTTACGCTTTGGGTATCGGTACCGTGCCATGGCAACAATCTGAACTTTTCCCACAGGCTGTGAGAGGTGTCGGTACGTCGTACTCGACAGCCACCAACTGGAGTGGGTCGCTAGTCATTGCCTCATCGTTTTTGACCATGTTGCAAAACATCACACCTACGGGGACGTTCGCGTTTTTCGCGGCCTTGGCTTTCATCTCCACGATTTTCTGTTACTTCTGCTACCCAGAATTGTCAGGACTCGAACTAGAAGAAGTACAAATGATCCTTGCAGACGGCTTCAACATCAAGGCCTCTAAAACGCTAGCTAAGAAGCGTAAGCAACAGCTGGCGGCCCAGAGGGACGCCGCCAAGCGCGGTGATGACTACCATCACAACAAACCTTCTGAAGAATTGATGGAGTCGTAGGTATTCGTGAACGGAGTCATAAAAAATGAAATGAAAACAAGATATTGAAAATATAAAAAACACCAGACCCGAGACATCTGTTGACGCAGGATCTTTATGCTAATTGCTTCAAAATACACAGAAGAGCTACGGATTTCCGTGTTTAGTGCCAAAATTTGACAACGGTCGGTCAAAAACAAGATTGAATCGGCTTGGATAGATTTGTTTAGACCTATGCGTTTCCAACGCATATCGCTCGCTCTTAGATGTCAAGACCCGGACTCGTAAGTCGTGGTTCGGACTCTCATTGACTTGTAGTTGTTTAAGTTCATAGCTCATTAAGTTCACGTGATACTATTCAACTTTTGAGGTGAACAATTTTTCGTGAAAAGAAGAAATGTGAAAAATTTTAGCAAATAAGCGATGAGATGAGATGAGATGAACTAGAATCTAACAAACTTGAGCGGATCAGTTTTATTGCAGAAAACATCTATTAATCAATTATAAAGGATGGCAGTGGCTGGAAAGAACTTGAAGAAACGTAATCTGAATTCCGCGGGTCAAAAAACGGCGAAAAAAGCTCGAATTTCCGTAGAACAATCGGAAGATGAACTCAGTGGATCTTCGTCAGCGTCGGAAGGTGAAGATCTCGAGCAAGCGCTGTCGGGAAGCGATTCTGAGCAGGACGAACTAGATCTTTCGTCTGATCAGGACGAGCTGGATCAATCGGGTGATGACGAAAGCCAGGACAGCGTAGATGGCAGTGATGGTGAGCAAGAAGAGGGCAAGAAGGGTAAGGAATCCGGAGAAGGCGGGCAACACACGGAGCAGAGAAAATTGCTCAAGGAACGAAAGATGCAGCGTAAATCTGGTGCGGAAGTGCAACAGATTAAGTCACTGTGGGAAAGACTTCGGGTGAAAAGTCCACCTATGCCCAAACCTGTTCGTGAAAAACTGTGTAACGAAGTTTGGGAGCTGTCGAAGGATTGCATTAGTGATTTGGTTCTAAAGCACGATGCGTCGCGTGTGGTGCAAACATTGGTGAAGTATTCTTCGAAAGAACGTCGTGAGCAGATTGTAGAAGCCTTGAAGGGCAAATTCTATTTGCTGGCCACGTCTTCTTACGGCAAATATCTGCTTGTCAAGCTATTGCACTATGGATCGCGAACATCCAGGCAGGCTATTATCGACGAGCTTCACGGCAGACTTCGGAAACTAATGAGACACAAAGAAGGTGCGTATGTGGTCGAAGATCTGTACGTGCTTTACGCGACTCAGGAACAGAGAAAACAGATGATCAAAGAGTTTTGGGGTGCTGAGTATGCTGTCTTCAAAGATACTCATAAGGATGTAGATATCGAGCAAGCGTGTGCAGTGAGCGTGGAGAAGAGAAACATAATTGCGCGCAACCTTGTGGGCACGATAACGGCGTCTGTAGAAAAAGGTTCAGCCGGCTTTCAGATCTTGCACGCGGCCATGAAGGAGTACGTGACCATTGCAAACGAGAAGGAAACTTCAGAATTTATCGAGTTGCTCGAGGATCACTACGCGGAACTGGTACATACTCCAGAGGGTGCAGAGGTCGCTTGCACGCTTACTGCGAAAGCAAACGCCAAGCAAAGAAAAGTGATCGTCAAGGATCTGAAGGACCATACTGATAATTTGATCAAGAATGAATATGGTAACGCCGTGTTTATCACCGCTTTGAACTGCGTCGACGATACGGTGCTGATGTTCAAAGCGTTCGCACCAGCCGCCAAGGAAAATCTTGCGGAATACGCCGTGCACAAGTACGCCAGAAGACCTTTCCTCTACATTTTGCTCGGCTTAGACGGCAAATATTTCTCTCCCCTAGTCCAAAAGGACCTAAACAGATACAGCCGGATGGCCGAAGCCACTTCCAAAAAACCAGCTCTGCAGAGGAGACACGAACTCTTGAAAAGGTTTGCTCCCGTGTACCTAGAGACCATCTCCGAGCATTTATCGACCATATTGGATGAAAACTTAGGAAGCCAATTTGTCGCAGAAGTGTTATCGAGCGATGAACTTTATGAACAATTATCGAAAGACGATGTCCAGAAATACCAAGAGATTGTTTCGCAGATTATTGCATTTTACAAAGGTGACATATCTGAAAAGGCCCATCCGATCAACACACCATTCTCGGCGAGACTGCTCAAATCTTTGATTCAAGGAGGGAAATGGGATTCTAAGGCCAGAGAATTCATACCTCTTTCAAAAGTGGAGGGCCTTGGACAAGATTTCGCACAGAGATTCTACGATGACATTATTGACTCTAGTAATCTACTCGAGTGGATAAACAATAAAAACAGTTCGTTCACGGTCGTGGCTCTTTACGAAGTACTCTCCAAGGACTCAAAATCTGGGTTTTCTAAAGACCTAAAGAAAATCGCCTCCAAAATTACCGACGATGAGCAAAACAAAGGCGCTCGTTTACTGGTTAAATTACTAAATTCAAAGCATTGATTAGCATGATCTATATCGATCTTACATAGTATACTTATAACTGCTCTTAAATGGGTACCGAATGAGTACCAAATGGATATCTCTATCCACGAATATCATGGAATCTATGATCAACGATAGGTATATCAGAAACTCTCATTTAATGATAACCAAGAATGGGTTCGGAGGGCTCAAGTGCCGATGGTTTAGACGACAATGGCAAGCAGATTACCAGCTCAGAGTCCAATGTTCGAGATAGAAATTTGAATAACGAAATTTTACCAGAAACTGCACCAGAAACTGACCTTGAAAAACCGAATGATAGCGACAGTTTATTAGTGTCAGAAGGTCCATTGGAAGTTCGACCACTAATCCAATGGCTTCCACAAGAATTTGAATACAGTGCGTTTGATGCATTTGAGCATAATTTGTACCTAGGAACCACCACGGGCGAACTTTTGCATTATTTCGAAATGGAGCCCAACAACTTCATGCTGGTATCGCAGACCAAGTTTAATGACGACAGTAACGACCGTGTTGAAAAAATTCAAATTTTAGCAGGTACAGAAAGATGTTTAGTTCATTGTGGGCAATTTGTCAGGTGTTTTTTGTTACCAGAGTTCGCTCCAGTGCCAAATGCTGTTACATTTAGCAAGGTCAACGACTTTACGGTTCCGCAATTGAAGAAAAAGGCCGCGCCGCATTGTACTGTTCATATCTACGATGACAAGAGCCTTAAAGTTGTTGCCATTGGGCACGATGGGATTTCGGTTATCAAACAGTATAAGTTTGCCAATGTGCGTAAGGCCTGTGTTCACGGTACGACCGTTGTTGCGGCAAAGGGACTAAATTACGTGATTTTCGATCTCCAAACTAAGAGCGAGAGTCCCTTATTTCAAATAAGCGAAGCCGATACCCAACTTGAACCTCTAGTGGTTTCGTTCAGCGAGAATGAGTTTTTAGTGGTTTGCGGGAGTCATAAAGATGAGAGCTGCATGGCATTGGTCATTAATGATGAGGGAGATATAAGTCAAGGTACCATTGTTCTTGAGAAGTTCCCACAAAACGTGGTGGTGCAGTACCCGTACGTGTTTGTTGACTGCGGCGACGGTTTAACGCAAGTTTACCAACTAGAGATCAATTCAGAGCCCAAAATTGTCCAAACTTTCCGTGCTTCTGGTCGGCTTCAATGTCATATAGCCAAGGTTTGCAACAAGTATTGCGCTAGCAATACAAAATTCACAAGCGAAGTGACTGAGAAACTGAGAAAGATCCCGCTTTCTAAAGGGAACCATGAGTTTGCCATTAGCCAAGAGCAAGAACACGTCCAGAGCTTGGTAAAGCTTGGCACATCGTTGTGTGCTTATGGATCGAGTGGTATAAACCTCATCTTTACGTCCCCTCGCATCTTAAAATACAATGATTACAGCTCTTCTGCGCTAGACGAAATCGTCAAAGATCTGGCGATTTTTGAGAAATCTACCCAGAGAGAGCAAGTTTATCATCGGCTTGAATTGTCATTTTTAAGAACCCTGCAGCTGTTGCTGGTGCTGCTACATTGTACTCAGGTCGACATGGATGTAATAAAGGAATGGGGCCAACACCTAGCCACGATAGATGGCAGACTTTTTTTGTATGTCTGCAACGTACCCATATATGGTGACCTTTGGACTCATAACGGCTTGAAAGTCTTTATTTGTGAATTGCGCAAGCTCAAGCTGAAGCACAAATTTGTCGACTTCTTGTCAAGCATGCTATCTTTGAGGTCATCGGTACGAGACATTTCTTCGAGCCTAATGAAGAACAAGGAAAACATTCTTAAGAGTTATGACCTCGCAATTTTGAAAGAGACTTTGGATAGGAAACTCGAAATAGACGTGCTCAGTTACGACAAATCTAGTATACCTCAAATTTTGGAATTACTCAACCGAGACCGACGAGAGAATTGCGACCTTCTTTTGGCATTTTATAGGCGCTCAAACCGCCTCAGGGAATGCTGTGATCTTTTATGGGACTGCCAACGATATTTGGAGTTCTGCGACTTTTTAGCAGAAAAGTTCGATGATCTTCAAAAAAGCGATTCTTACAAGACTATTGACTTAGAAAAAGACATCATACGTTTATTGAACCTTGAAAATGCGGGAGACGAGAGACAGCAAATAATTAATTCGGTAAACAAGCTAATAACGCTATTCGACTTAAACACAAAAGATTTACTGTCAAGCGTAGAAAGTGGTGAAGTGAAGGTTCTCTTGCTGGAAAGTTTAGGAGCATTTGACATGAACGACAGAGGGTTTTTGCTGGACTATTATTTGGCCAAACTTCAAGACGGTATGGAGCACACCCATTTGTGGAATTTTTTCGCCGAGGTAACAACATCTTATTCTCAAGATCTTGACAGCATGAAATTGAATATTGGTGATTATTTGAACTTTAAGATTGAGCGGGATGGAAGATGTAAAGAGCTTGTCTCTTTAATTGGCAAAATAAAGGCGATCTCCTCTGATGAGAATGTGGATCTCACTCAACAACTATATGATAAACTGCAGGACTTTGACATTGGAAACATTCTTACTTTTCTACTTATCGATGAGAGCGCTTGGCAAAAATTTTTGGGATCCAGAATGCTGGATATTTTCTTGACCGTCAATGACTTTGCTTCGATTGAATCATTGGCAAATGCTTCCAATCTTGTCAAAATCCTCGAGCATTATATCGCACTTGTAAAAATTGACACCATCGCAATTGGTGCAGTACACAGGCTGTTGTTGGCAAACATCGCGTTGCTCAAGAACGATGAACAAGTCATTCAAATTATTAGAACATTACCTTCCGAATACGAATTTTGCATGCTGTCCGATGTGTTGGTCCCGATAATATTGAAAAAAAAAACTATGCAGAGGAACCAGGAACTTGTAAAAGAGGCCTTAAAATGTCAATTGAGAGCCACAGACGGTGTGCTTAAATCTTTAAGTCTAAAATGAATTTTTTTACATACTAGAGTTTTATATACATGGAGTTGGGTAAAGAGCATCTAATTTAGTCTTTAAAGTTCCGAAAGTGGTTTCAACCCCGAGCAAACTTTGTGGATTTTTTGCTGGGTTAGAAAATCCATATTACTCTTTTCCAAACTGAGCTTGACGATTTGTGCATTGCGTGCAAGTTCCAATTTTTTGTCTTGGTTCTTGGTTAAAGTGTCAAAACTCTCTTTTGACAACGTTTCAAGAGTTTCATAATCTCCACCAACGCTCGCTTTAAATTCTTCAACGTTTGGTTGAACGAAGATGTTTTTAGACAGTTTCTCTTTGGTAAACGCTACAGGAGCAAATGGAGCATACATGCCAAAACTTTTTGAGCTAGGGGCCAGTGAAAGGTTCATGATTTCACCGTCTTTAGCACCTGAAATTCCCATGTTTAATGACCGATAAAGTGGGAAATTCGATTGTTTGAGTAAATTAAGTCCAAAACCGATCTTTCTGGAAGAAGAAGAATTCGCGAATCTGGGTGAATATTTGAGCAGCGACAATGGCGTGGGATCTTCCGGTGCGTAATTCTCCGAGACTTGAAAACTTGGTTGCTTCAGAATATGTTGAGGAACGCCATTGTTTTGTCGTTTCGTCAAACCAGGAACGGTTTTCGTTCTTTTACGTTCAATTCTGGCAGCAGCGGACTGAGATCCACGACTTCCGACTTTGCGATCCTTGACAAGCGAATCCATCGCGTCAAACACAGAATCCTTTGACGAATTACTAGCAAACGCAGTTTTACCAGATTTTTTTGCAAATTGAGGTTGATTATTCACAATTGTTGCATTTATCATTGGGTTTTGAAGCCTATCTGCGCCTTTTTTGAAGTCTCTTGGACCTGTTCGACGATGTGATGACTTTTGAGCTTGCATTCTCACCGGCTTGCCATCATTAGATCTGTTTCTTCTGACATTGTTTCTCAAAGGTGAAGTCGCTTTCCTATTGGCCGTTTCTTTCACCTTTTCAAGGACATTTTTCAGGAATTCTTGTGAGATTGAACTGCTATGACGCTGGCCAACTACTCTAGCGTTTATGGCACTTCTATTGATCATCCTGGAACCTCAATCAACCTACAAATGTGTCGCTTCTTGAGTCTTGATTTCTGTCTTGATTACCACCAAAATTTTTCATTTCAAGTAGATGTCTTAGAACTAGCACATCTATACAGTAAAGTAATTAAAAAGCCAATAAAGGTCTAAATTCTGTCCAAATTCGATCAAACATGGCTTTCCGCGTAACGCAAATCTTTGTAGAGTATATAGGCCTTTTCCCCTCGAAAAAGCCCTATAATTGACCAAAACTCGACTCAAAATTCTAGAATTAATTATCGGATTTTGTATGAATTTTTGACACCGATGAGAGCTGATTTGGTCGTATTTAAATCATCTTGTATGGTATATGCATTTTCTCTAACAGTGTGGTCAATTCTTGCACCTTTTTCGGGGCTTTAGAGTCTTTATCTCCACCCCTTTTAGCTTTAATAGTCACCTTTTCGATAAGTGAGATGGGAATATCAGTAACACTCAAGTAGACGTCGTTCAAGGATTTGAATAGTGTCGCCTTTTCAAGTATGGTGTCGCGCTGAAGATAAATGTGGACGTTACTAGAATTTCTCATCCCACTGACCACGTTATCATCAATTCCAGTGACACCTGGAGCCAAATGAACATGGTTTCGACGCATTTTCTTAATATAGCCGGTTTCCAAAATTACAAGACAATTTGCCACGTTGGTTCCATGGATTAGTTTTTCTGGCAGCTCCTGAGGATCCGTGATAGGTACCAGGACAGATTTTGTTGGAACAATTTGTTCGATAGAATGGCCCTGAGTCGCACATATGAGTCCAACATTGTTGACCGTCTTCACATGAAATCGTTTCTTGGAGTTTGTCGCGACAACTCTGTCAACGTCGAGCTTCGTGGCGTTTTGGCTTTTCAACCTGTTATGTGCAAGTAGAACGTCGATAGGAACGTATCCGTCGACGTCTATGGGAAGCCCTTCCTTGATGGCACCATGTCGTAGCAAATATGCCAATGATTTGGAGATTTGAGTGTCTCTTCTGTCTGAGTTCATGGTCGGTCGGCTGTATTTGTTAAGGCAGGATTGAATCTGGAGTCAATGTGGTCGGCGTAACATCAAACTTCTTGGCTCAAATTCTTTCGGGAAAAAAACGTTATCACACCACCGTCGTAGGTTTTGGCTTATTACCGTCTTTCAGCGCACGTCATTTCAACTACACTACATATATGGAAACCACTATAGATATATATACAGGACCATCCCATGTCAAAGATCACTCAGTTGACAAAGGCGTTAGTCGTACAGTTGCTTCCCACCTCCGCAGCAGCCACCACCACGAGCAGCCAAAGTCTTCTTAGTAACTTTAATAGATTCATTATCACCAAGTTCCGTTTCGCTATGTATATTCAGATGATATTGTCCAGATTTCGAAAGTTTGCCCTGTACCACATTTCTTCTGAGAAAGGCAGCAATATCGTTCAAATCCTGAATCTGCTGTTCACTCGTTTTGGAAGGTTCCGGGGGATTATGCATCCCGGCTTTCATTTGAGCTCTTGCAGCGTTCAACATACGAGCATCCCTCCCGAACGCGATTTTGGTGGCTCTTAAACCGTTACGATAAGCACTCAACGCCAACTGGGCCTGCGAAGCTCTTGATGATATGCTCATGGGTTTCCAGAGTGGGTCTCCAAATGAGGGTTTAGATGGTTTCGATGTTATCACCTGGTTAGGATTTTTCAGTTTCTTGTATCGTTAATTTGTTGTCTCATGGCATCACTACTTAGTAAAGAGAGGGGAAACATCAAAAAGAGCGAGAGCAGAGACGACATGATATACTCTCTGAAGCCGCAATGTTTGGAAATCTATTCAAAATTTAAAACAAGTTTTTTTGACCACTAGAAGTGTCGGCTGTGTATCATGGAAACGATCCTGAGTGAAATTCCGACGAGCAACTTTGATCAGGCTCTGTGGCATATATAACCATTTCGGATCCTTTGAATAACTTATAGCCTTCTGTGATGGGCTCGTCTTCTTTTAGGGTGTTTTTTCTTTTTGGTCTTTCAAACTTGAAATAATTCGAATAAAAAGAGGCTAAAGAGAGCTCTAGCAGGTTACATCTACACCATGAAATCTTCGACTAACGCATATGACGTGGGGTTTGGAATGAAAGAAAACCGCAAGAAAAGGAGTGAGACTACTTGAGGGAAAGAGCCTACGGGAGATGATATCGGTAAATGAAGTCACGTGATCACAATGACAGAATAATTCACGAAAGAGAGGAGCGGATGGTTTGGATAGAGTTCATGGGGAAGCAACATATCCCAATAATCCTAATACTTGCCACGTACATTTATGAAATTAGACCATCAGTGGTTTGCCTAGGTCGGATTCTCAGCATTTACCTTTCTAGAAGCAACGGGCGTTAAAAAAGTATAGTATCGCAAGTAGAGAGACGATGCAGCCTGTCTCAAAACAACCAGATTATTTAGCAAAAGACGCAAAATTTACTTATTTGTGGGTGATGTACTATAATCTTAAGAAGAGCTATGAATGAATGAAGTAGACCAATTCCGAAGACTAGCCACTACCGACGATTGTAGTCCTCAGTAGAGAGAGAACTGGGCCTCCAAAAATAAAGGAAAATCTGATCAAAGCGACCGTTGCCGTAAACTCTGCGTCGATGTTCACGAATAGGTTTACGTTGACGTTCACGTTGAGGTTTGCTATGTCGCTCTTGTAACTGTCATCGCAACCACGTGATTACTTCGCTGAGTTACGATTATCCTTGTTGCGAGCAGCATTGCAATAAATAAAACAATATTATCAATGCTAATATCTTGTGCGAAAACGGAACACGCGAGAGACTAGGACGGTCCTTTATGGTCAGTCTGGGGGATCTTCAAATCACATTGTGTTCGTTCAAGGTGATTGAATGTATTTCTTGATATATTCGATTAAATGATTGTTGATTTACTGACAGCACCGCTCCTCACTGCCTCCTCTTTCAAATTCGTCCTCTACTACTTACATCACCAGGCCCCAAGTCATTCTATCGAAAGTTTTACCTCCGTATTCGCCGAATTTCGCTTACTTTAATGTGGCATTTCTGCGGAAACGAATTATAGCCCTTATGAAATATCAAAGCGCCTCTGGATTCAGAATCCTAGATCAAGTGACAGTCCGTCTTTGAACATATTTGGTGGTAATCACAGAGATTTAAGCCTGGGAACAAACGCCAGAGAATGAAGATGCGTGCATAGTGATAATTTAAGTTCACCATATTGGCAGCTACATTAGACTAACAAGCTCGCTGATGCTTTACTGTAAATCGTCCGTTTCACTATCACTTTGTTCTCTTTTTTTTATGTATTTTGGTTATATGCTGCCCACTTAGAGTGTTAAGAGACCTCCAGCGTATTTGATTGCCATACTGTTTGCGGTTCATAGTATCGAACTTGGCGAAAACTGACATTAGAGGCAGCGGACGTCGTCGCATAATGGCAACGTCGAGATGGCATTTTTATAGTTTCTGTAGGATTAACAGCAAAATGCGTGAGTAGCGCAAACACATTAGTGCTTCGTGAAGGAAGGCCCTTTGCACGATAGGCCGTGCTGCCACCGTCGCTGGCTTTGGTGTCTTTTGGATCGCAATCTTCCTTATGAAAGTTCACGGGCCAGGAAGCGCAACAATGGGTACCTCCGTGGAAAGGAGATCCCAGTTCCATGAGTTTACCATTTGAGGTAAATGGACAGTCTTCCGCCTTTTCCTGTGGGCCTCTGCTCGCATAAACTCGCCATTGAGATTCAGGTTTGTCACCAGAACGATGGAAACACGTCTTGACTTTGTGGCGTATTTTAAGCAGTCTTTGTCGTCCACGCGAAACGGGAGCGACAGGTGCTTGTTCGTTATCGATATCGTAATTGTCTGGAGACTTGGATGCACTGGAAAGTGGTGATATTACTGCGGTAGTACCCGATGTTTGCACGTACCCACCAAGCTGCAAAAGTGTGTCCAGCTCATCCGTGTCGAAACTATAATTATTATTGTCCTGGCGAGAGTATAAAGTTCCCCAGGGCTGCGCGTCGCACGATAGCCAGCTTCGGAGTTTGGCTCGGAACTGCTGTTGGGCCAAGAATTCGTCAACGTCCAATTTAAGAGATTTATGGACGGTTGAAGTCATCCAGGGGCCTGGTTGCAACTCTTTCAAAACTCAGGAACTACACAATATCTCAATTAATGAGGAACGTATTTTATTAGGCTCAAAATTAACCGTTTTCCACCGGGAAATTTTGTAGAATTAATCTCGGACTTTGAGCCAAATTTTGACAAACGCTAAGGGTGACCGGGAATTATCTCTATGGATGCTGTTGATAGGGTTCGTTTTAGCGTGCACTATATGCTTTTGAAGTTTCTCAACTTTTTAATTGGAAGCTTTCGTTCTAAATTATATCTAGATCAGTAAGTCCCCTTTAGCATTTTGCTAGGCATAATGATCTTAAAAGTAAGAAAACTAAACGCAAACGACTGGACGCATTCACAGGTTGAGCTGCTTTTAAAGCATTCTGTTTCGATTTATGGAGTGGAGCTAAATTAAAGGGCTCTTTTTGCAGAAGAAACGGTCAAGTTTTGAAAAAATTGAAGAGGTCTTTTTAAACACCAAATCTGCATGTCATTCACATTCGAAAAGCCGTTAATCCCCAGTGATGAGGATCAATTAAACCGAAGTGACGGGAGATCACGTCCACATAATCACTTGGTGCAAGAATCGTCCGTTGCTTCGGTTCCAGCGCTACTGCGAGGGCAGGAAAACTTGAAATGGGACAGACACGTTTACGGATATAACTTGCGTAGACCGTCATTGGGAGAAAAAGCATTGACAGACACGAGCAACTTCATTGCCATCAACGGTGATTTGGTTGATTCTCCTGGGAGAAAGAAATCTGCAGATACTTCGGGTTCTGGATTGAATAGCATTACCAGCTCGGAAAGCGAGAACATCCTAGAGAGTCCTTCTGTGGGAGCAAATATGAAAGGTATACCCGTTTCCGATACCTTGAAGGCTAGAGAAGAAGAATGGGCTGACAGGGGAGCAGCCAAAATCGTTCAAGAGGTGGTGAATCCTCAGACCGGTGTGGCTACAAAACAAGTCATCAAAAAGGGCATAAAAGACTTCAAGTTTGGAGACGTACTGGGAGACGGGTCGTACTCAACGGTAATTTTGGCCAAGTCTAATGATAGTGGCAAGAAATACGCGGTCAAAGTATTGAACAAGGAATATCTAATACGTCAAAAAAAGGTCAAATACGTCAACATCGAAAAAAACACGCTTCAAAGACTTAATAATAGTAGAGGGGTCATCAAACTTTATTTCACTTTTCAAGACGAAGCAAGCCTTTATTTCTTGCTCGAATATGCACCCAACGGAGACTTTCTGTCTGTAATGAAAAAGTTCGGCAGTCTCAGCGAAGAGTGTGTTTCATATTACGGAGCCCAGATCATCGATGCTATAGATTTCATCCATCAAAAGGGCGTTGTTCACAGAGATATCAAACCTGAAAACATACTCCTAGACAAAGAAATGAAAGTCAAGCTGACTGATTTTGGAACGGCCAAACTTCTGGAAGAAAATAGTGATACTAAGACTTATGACTTGCTAGAGAGATCCAAGTCATTCGTTGGAACTGCCGAATACGTATCACCAGAGCTTCTGAATGAGAACTACGTTGATTACAAGTGTGACATATGGGCCTTTGGATGTATAATATTTCAAATGATTGCGGGGAAGCCTCCCTTTAAAGCTGCGAATGAGTATCTGACATTTCAAAAAGTAATGAAAGTGCAGTTTGCCTTCACGGCGGGCTTCCCGCTAGTCATAAGAGATCTTGTTCGGCAAATTTTGGTCAAGAACCCGGACTCAAGACCCAGTTGTCGTGAGATCAAACGGCATCCTCTTTTCAAAGGCCTCAATTTCAGAGATGGAACCTTATGGGAGGCGCCAGCTCCAGAGATTGCGCCTTATAAGGTCACTGCAACAGCAATGCAACCTGTTCCAGGTCTGGGAGATTCGAAGAGTCGCTCCGCAGTGAGCCTCGCTAAACAGACCAAGAGCTCCAGCCCAGGATCTCCGATTGTATCTTCCACACCTCCAAATGAAACTAGAAGTCACGAACAAAAACGTCCACCTTTGGATCCAAGAACTTCTCAGATACTCGAGAATGCGAAAAGGGAGATTCAAAATAGACGCCAAAATACGAGGAGAGTCGCTTCGGCGGCCTCTGCCGCTGCTGCTGCTCTCACGAAGAAATCGCCAGCATCGTCGCCTGCGTTAACTTCCACAGGAGGAAGCTCAAATGAAAATACCCCAAGGAAAAGTACATTACCCAAAGCTCCTGCCACTGCGCCCAGTCCTAAAACCTCTAGTCCTTCGCAATTCACCACTAAAAAACCGATTTCGTCCAAGGCTGTCGAAGAGCTTCCGCCAATGTCCAAAGTGGATATTTTGTGGTCCTTTTACCTCAAGAATATAAACGAGAGAACCATAAAGATGGGGGAAGTTGAATTCGGCACGTTGAAAACACCTCTTTTCGAAAAAAGATTGAGCAAGATGAACTGTACGCTCGTAGATCCCTACAAGGTTGCTCATCGAAGCACGCTGTTATCACAGGTCGCAAGGTCAGGTGGGGCCGTAACGGGCTTTCGAAATGACAACTCTAGTACTAATTTGACGGAGAATGACTACTACACGGAATTTGGGATAAGCGAAGACACGATCTCTGAGTCTTTCAAAAAAACCAGCAACGATGATACCGACGGAAATGGAAAGTCCATGTTCAAGAAACTTTTTCATGCTAAGGCAGAGGAAGCGGAAAAGGCACCCGAACTTTTGCCACATGGGAACCTTTTGAGGAGGGTCTTGGTTTTGACAACTTTTGGGAGGCTACTTGTATTCGTTAGAAGATCCAAAGTTCAGCCGGAGACAAATCTATTCTTCGACCTTGAATATGATATTCAGCTGTCTCAAACTGGCACTAAAATCAAAAGTGTTGTTTTCGACGACCAGGCGAGCTCTGCTCCAACACAGGACTATTTCGTAATAGAAACTCCGTTCAAGACATTCATAGTGAGCTGCAAACCTGACGACGCTCTGAGCTGGTTAACAGCGGTAAACGCCGGTCTGAAATCCAACCAGGAACGGCTATTACAGCGTGCCAAAGAAGAAGAGCCCAGCCCGTTGGCTAACAAAGCCGCCAAATTGGCTAGCCCAAAGCAGGAGGCCGAAAAAGACTTTGGACATAGTAGCGAGCTTCATGTCAAGCCTTCAAGGCCGGTTCCTACATCAGGACCCACCCACGCCAGTCGTCCCGCCAGTAAAGGATCTGTAACAACGCAGAACTTTCCCTCGGCAGCTGGGAACAAACCTGAACGGTTATTTGATGCATTCGTGAGTTCAAAAGGGAAACATGGAAAAAAGACCGCTAGACCCGTTCCTGCATCCAGCAAGCTCGTGAATGGGCTACCATCGATGCCGGGGTTCCTTGGCCCTTCTTCCGATTACAGGGAAATAGACGAAACTGGCAGCGCGCAAAATTCGGCCAGAAGATCTCCACCAAGCAGAATTCTACGGATGACATCTCGCAACGAGCACACGCTTCGTAAATGAAGCATCCATTCAATCAATTGCAGATCCTGGAACGATGGGGACTTGAGGACTTTCCCAGGAAACCGCCGACGTTCTTGCCGCTCCTCGGCATTGTACGGGTGAACTTCCAGTGGGGCTGGGTTACCAACAACGATGAGCAAGGTTAGCCCGTGACAACCGTTCCGACTTGAAAAGCCGGCAACCCGAGGCTAGCCCTCAGGCCAGCCCTCGGGCCAAGCGATGCTGGGGGGTAATGGCCTCAACTCACCAGGGTCCGTCGATCTCCTTCACTTCGCCAATGCAAAGCATTGTTGATCCGGTGCCTTCTACGAATATGCACGTTAACGGCTTTCGACATGACCGAACAACAAAAACAAAAAGCCCAGGCTGGCAATTCTCAATGGCGAAAAGAGTATCATAGTTCTGTCACCAGTAGCGAGGTTGCCGATCAATGAGCTTGCGAGCACGCGACGAACCACTGGTCTCCCGCAGCTGCAGTCACCAGAACCCACACTTCCCGGTGTGATGCTGCCTATGCCGAGGATCTACAGCCGCAACGGCGACGTCTGAGTTGACGAAGGCAAGCCTCATGCGTTCGCCTAACTCCAACTGCGCTTCTTCTCGCTATTGAGAACTCAATCCGATATTTTCAGCCGAACTGCCTGAACTTCCTCGCTGTTACATTCGAAAAGCAGCTACCGTTCAGCCGGCTTTGCAAGATTTTCACCTTTGCCCTACGAACTGGTTTGGGTCCCACTGGCTGCAAACTTTGTCTGTATCAGGCAAGCCAGGTGCCGGGAAACCGTACGGCAAAATTTTCCCATACCCGAAGTGAGGCGTACAACCACTGTTTTCGTCATATCCCTTCTCGGCTCTTAGTTTGCCTAATTCAATGCAAAGCCGTTAGCTCGGCATGTTGTTAACACTTGCCAGGCTGGCAGTCTGTTTGCATACGTAAGCACTCTAGTTGCCATGCTTACCGGCAATTAGGCAGTATATCGCCTTACTGGCTTGGCCACACTGGGTAATAGAAGCATGCCATTACGGCATTGAACGTGTTCCTGTAGGCACGTGCCTGTAGGCACAAGAACATTTTCCGTGCCTGTCGGGTTGCAGAAGGATTGACAGAAATAGAAGCCGAGCTTGAGGCGTCTACCCAGCTATGTAAGGCTCTGCACCGGTTGTCGACTGTTAACAGGTTTGCAAAGATCAAGTTGCCGACGGACGTAAATTTCGGCGGTTGCTAGGGCAAAATGGCTTCAAAAGAAGAAAAGAAGGAGAAAAAGAAGGCTTGACAATGGGCATGACGGCTTTCGACGTCCTGCGCACGGTGCGGAGCGCTTGCAGGCGCTTGTTCTGCTTCTATCGTCATGAATCCGTAAGGAAAAGCGCACGGTTTTGCTGCAGGCAGTCATTTTTGTGTTCCACGCTTTTCACTGTGGGCGGGTCGTTTTTCTGGAAGAAAGCGACTATGGCATGGAAATTTTCTTTTTGCTGATAGCCGATAGTCCATGCACATATAAACGTGGGGATCTTTGGCGGGGAGAGTATTCTTGGTCACTTCCTAAAAGTTGTTAACCAGCTTTCGCCTGTCCAAGACTGAACCTCGAGTTTTAGAAAGACCAGAAAAAAATATGTACGGCGAATGTTACGTTGATTTTGGAACTCTTGTTCGCCTTGTTACCGCTTCCGGTGTTGAATATTTGACGGACCTAGTGGCCACGACGCTAAATCACAAGCCTCGTGAATTGCCAAAGGCCACGCATAAAGAGTAGGTTGCCATAACTTTATCAAATGGGTCTAGCTGCAGTTTAGCAGTGATCGGCCTCGCATGCATGAGCTCTGCTAGAAAGCACGAGTCTCTCAAAAAACTATTGGGCATTCCAGGTTAAGACAATGGGACGGTACAAACTAATTATATATTCGGTCTATGTAAGGGAACAATATAAATTTAAACAGTGCATTTTTTATCTTTACTTCGCGGACGCTGTATTGCTTGCATCGTCAGAGCCCGCTTCATCGTCCGTTTCGCTTTCGTCGCTAGAGCCTCCTTCTTCTTCGTCTTCAGAGTCCTCTTCTAATTCCTCTAGCTTCACATTATACCCTTCCTTTTCCAGAAACTGCGTCACTGCATCGGCTTTGCTAGGATGGCAGCTCATAAATACTGCACTAGACGCGGAAATGAAAAGAGGGACGAAGTAATCTTTCATCACTCTTTGTAGATCCTTTGCAGAGACTGTGTTCAGTCTTTTAATTAAAGTGTGGTTGTATTTGGGACCCCTCTGCTTACAGAAATCGTCCACATATCTCGTGAGCGCACTGGAGAAATAGTCTGGTTCAGAAGTAGCAATCGAATTGATTACACTGCTCATAGCGCCTTTCATCAAATGGGTTTCGAATTCGGTTTGGCCCGTGGCTAAGGCATTAACGATTTCTCTCGCTGTATTGAAGCCACCAATTACGTCTGCTGCTCTGTAAACGACGAACTCAAGCACATCACATTCGGCTAAACGTAGCATGCTTGCACCGTAAGCCATACCTGCTCCCCGAATTCCTTTCCAAAAGGGACCTTCAACGCATTCAAGATATTGAGCAGCTAGCGTGATAGCGGGAATGTCTGGATGATCATAGGTCAAACCAATGTGAGTCTTTGCTACTACAGTCATGTAGCTAGACTCGGATGCTGGTGTTGTTATTAGGTAGGCCGCTTTCCCCGGATGCTGTCCAAGTTTGGACAGAGAATTTATCAGGCGTGGTACAGCAGGAACTTCTAGCGCATTGCCTGATGTAGAATATTCGGGCGTGCTTGCAAAGATTTGCCAAGGACCATACAGATCTTCTAACTTGTTCACATCACCAAATATCAATACATGGAAAGTCTTGAAATCATTTCTCAGTTGTTCTCTTACGGTTTCGAACATAGGCAGAACTGTGGATTCATAATCTCCATTCTTAATTCTTTCCATGATATCTTCCAAGAAAGCTTGGGCGAACAAGGCATCTGCGGACTTCTTCATAGATTTGCTGGAAAAGAAGTTTCTGTCCATGATCGAGCTCATCATTATATCGCCTTCACGCTTGAGTTCGACGATTGAGCTCAGATATTTTTCCAGTAAGACCTCTACTCTTTCTTTGTCGAAAATCATATCATACAAGCAGTGCTTAATCCACTTCACGGCGTCTTGATACTGAGAATTCCTGCAACTTATTTTAAATTCAATAAGATCGGGGAAGTCTGATGCCATACCAAGACCAATCTGGGAATCGACAGTCTCCTCCTTTAAAGTTGCAATCACATCATCAAATTTGACTATGGATCCATCCTCGTTCTTCATGGGCATGGAAAACAGTTCGCATAAAACGTGATATAATGGCAAAAGCTTAATATCAGTCAAATTAGCAGTATTTAGCAATACTCTCAATTCAATGAACTTGGATGGCAATTGTTCAAAATGAATGGCAAACGGGAAATTTTCAGGTCTTGAATTCCTCACCTTTCGGGCAAAACCATCATTTTGATCATTGAACCTTGATTCAAAGCTCGATGCACCCTTAGTTTCAATGAATTTAACGCTATCCTGAAGGTTTTCAATAGCAAATTCATTTAGAAGGTCATTCGGTATTGGTGTTGAATTATGCTCCACTGCCTCTTTGAGTTTTTGCTTGATTTGTTCTTTACCTTGAGAGCCAAGCTTTTCGTCTATGTCCTTGATTCTTTCCGCCTTGTCCTTATCCATCTGGGTATACATTTCGGCACTTGGCTTACCAAGCACAATGACGGGCTTGTTGTCCAGAAACGTTACTTGCAATAGGTCTTGCCATTGAGCTTGGGACCACTGGCTAAGTAGGTCATAATCGGCAAGCGTAGCAAGCGAGGATTCTAGTATACGCCCATCTTCGGGACCATATAGAAAATCAGTAATGCAGATTTGACCCAGAGTGGTGGCACCCATTTTCTCACATTTCAAGATATATTCCCATTTCTCATTTTCCAGGACTTGCTTCATTCTCTGTAAATCAATCTTATGGGTCTGCAAAATATTCAAAATCTTGGTTCTTGTAGCCTGGAGTTTATCCGCGGGGACACCATGGAAGTTCAAGTTGAGTATAGTCCGCATGTAGTCGTCGGTCCAGTTTTCGGTGAAATTAGAGCAAGGTTCTTTGACTTCGATGAGCTCTTTATTGAAAGGCGCCAGTGACGTCTCAGTAAAATAATCCATGATGAGTGAAACTGCGAGGTTCTCGGTGTGGGATTCATAGAATGGTCCAATCCACGATAACAAAACCTCACCTTGAGTTTCATCCGTTTCAGGGAATTCAATCAGACTCTCGGAGATCTCGGATCTTGTAGCCGGAATTTGCGAGTTTTCGCTGTTTAGGAACGGACGTTTACGTTCTTCCCGGGCTGCAGGCAAAGTGGCATCGAACTCTTCGACAAGTTTGACAAGCTCATCTTCAGGCACATTACCCGAGATAATCAAGCATAGATTATCAGGTGAGTACATGTCCCTATGGAACTCTCTAATTTCTTTGTTGGTTAAATCGCGAAGCTGAGGCGTCAGTCCGCCCGTTTCAGACCTATAACCACTACCTTCTGGAAACAATTGACGCTGTTTCTCGAGCATTGTGATGAACCAACTTTGAGACTCGATACCTTCCATTTCACTGAAAACCACGCCTTTCTCTTGCATGTCGTTCGGATCGAAATGGTAAACTTCGGTCATACAAGCTTCATCGGTGATAGTTGGATTTAAAATGTGATCCAAGTACACTGGTAGCAATTTCTGAAAACCTTTCCAACCAGCAGAGGTTAATGTATAGACAGTTTGGTCTGTAGCAGTCCAAGCGTTTGTCAAAGACATACACAGATTTCCTGCAGTGTCCAATAGGCCCTTATAAGGATGTTGTTCAGATCCCATAAACACAAGGTGCTCTAGTGTATGTGGGACACCAGAGTCAGTAGCGCACTCTGTAGCTACGGCAAAATATCCTTGTACCAGAGGAGACGACGTGTTGTTAATGTGCACTAATTGCAGCTTTGTTCTTGGAGATATGAACTTGGTAAGATGGTATTGCGGAGCATAATCGACTTGGAATGAAACCAACTTTTTAAGAGCCATTTTAAACCTTGGAATTGTCAAGTTTCGTCAAATCCGTGTGCTCATTATGTGTATGTTAATTGGTAAAGCATTTGACCATGACAGTAAGTTGTTTTAAAAAATAAAGTGAGACAGTAGGACACCAGGGGCTGACGTCAATGAAGCTGAAATCCCCTTGCGACAGCCAGCTCATACTGTATGGTCATTGCAAGCTGAATCGACGAGTCTCGGGATTCTGCCCGCCAAGATCAGTATCAGTACACATGTATGCCTCTTGTATACCGTTAAAACTACACTACAAGACGCTATAAACTAATCAATTGAAACCCTAACATGAGTACAAACCTGACCCACACGCTAGAAAACCCCTTCCAAACGCAAATTCAGATAAAGAATACGTTTTTCTTCCCACTTTAATCAGAAGTCTAACGTCTAAAAATAGTATGTCATATCATCCTTGAGAAGCGCCTGGAAAGAGGTGCAATAATGACCCCATATCGTCCGATATGAATGGCAATTGTTACAGGATAGTCTAGCGCGTTCGGTCGGTGATTCTCGTGATTTGACGTTTGGTTTCTTGTTTAATCAAATTTGATTGAGGTATGAACTTCAAAATCATTATATATCGACATTTACCCGGAGGTAGGTTGACTAGTGTTAGGGCTTCAATGAGTCATTGGGAAGCGTTGCAGTAGAGTTGAGGGGATCTGAAGGGGCTGGAATGTAGCTCGAGTCTTGGAAAGTATTCGAGTTTTATCAGGCTCTAATTTGGTGGTCTGGAAGGCGCAGGACGTTGATCTGTAGAGTAGCTTGTATGATCTTGAACAATTGAGCGATGAAGTGTATTCGGACGGAGTTTATAAGCCTGTATGCGCCGAGTATGCCCTCTGGAGGAAGAAAAGACGTCTCGTCCCTTTTGCGGGCCTGACATGGAAAATCCGCCAAAAACCCGTGGAGCTATATTAGGATTGCCTTGCGGGCCTGAACGAGTTCTTGGACGACGTTGTAGCGCATGACGTAGATGCCATCGACGGTGAGTTCGACTTCCTCTCGCAGTTCCTGGATGTAGACTGGGTAAAAGCGCACTCCCTCGTCGTTGATTTCAAGCGTTGGGTCCGTGTCTGGGGCAGAACGACCAAGGTCGGGTCCTGTGACGCGCACGAAGACGAAACTGGCCAAGTCGGGTCCCTCTACCATTGGAACACTACCCTCATTGTCGTCGATCGCTTGTAATTCGGGTGGCATGTGCTTTAAAATGGTCGAATTTAAAAGTTTGAGTAAAATGGTGAAATGACGTTCGTGGTATTCCAGTTCTTTGCTGGAAAGCAACTCTGTGAGCGGCACAGGCTGCTGTGTGTCGAGTTGCCGCAGGTACAGGCTGAATTTGTCGACTTTGGAGAGTCGACACCGGATATAACTTCGAACCACAAATTTAAGCCGTTCCAGATCTGCCTCCATGCACAACAGAGGCAGCTTGTTCGCTACAGCACTCGCCGCGTCGCGTGTTTCGTCCTCGTAAAACCCCATTGACACGCATTCGATGTGTTCCATCTGTTGTTGCACTCTTCGCAGCGTGCGCGCCATCAGCAAATGTGGATACGCCAGAATCTCGGGACACATGCGCTCGTTGCGCCACGCAACGAGCAGGTCGTTGAAATCTTGTACGGGAGACGGTGGCGCTGCTGTTTGTGCGGCTGCCGCTTGCTGTTTAGCGACTAAGTCTCCCACTGCATCGCTGCCCACTACAGTGGTGTCATTACCTTGCGACGTAAGCGTTTGATCGACGGCGGTGGTGTCTCTATCGAGTTCTGCAAGGATGTCGTCGATGTCAATGTCCATGGTCGTGGTGGTAGTCTCGGTACTGGTGCCGGTGGTTTTCCACTTCTGTTCAAGAGATGACGTGAAAACTATGAGACGCGCCTGGACAGAGCAGACATAGTAGATATAGACAAAGACATGGATACAGAAAGATTAGGTATCGGGAACTGGCCAGAACAGTCGCCCCCCGCTAGGGCTTGTGGCCAGTCCGTGAGATCGTTTCCGGCTTTTGACATTTCCGGGCAGACCGTTTAATGTTTGTTAAAGGAACTGTGACATTGCGACGAAAACGTAAAAAACGATGACCAAAGAATGATACCACTCACGTGACAACCGCACCCGTACAATACGACTTACCCGGGTTGAAATCACAAAAAAATCCTTCCCCGCCAGGACTCGAACCTGGAATCTTCTGGTTTCAGAAGTGGATACAATCGTAGCCAGACGCCGTGACCATTGGGCCACGAGGAATAGGATTGTGAAATGACCACGATATCTGAGTTTATATGAGCGCTGTCGCAGGACCATTAGTCAGGTGCCCGTCTACACCTTACTAAGATATACTAAGAAGCAGTAAGAGGTAGTAATAGGTAGTAATAGGTAATGAGATGAATATGTGGCAAAAATCGGCCTATAAAGCCAACGTATAGGTGTAGATCAAAGAAAAACGAGGTAGATTGTCGTAGAGCGACGTAGAGCGGAATAGACCGGAGAAGAACGGTGTTATCTTCGTTTAGTTTCTCTAGTTTAAGAAGCTGCCACTGTCTCGTGATCGACAATTATCTGGTGAAAATCAAGAACTAATAAGAACTGGCATCAGCAACCTAGACCTTTTCCAGACCACACACGACCTACATCATTTGCCCGCAACTGTTCCCCCCATGACCGAGATATTCTCCCCCATCGAACAGGCCATTGCCTCTTTCCGAGCCAACAAATTCCTCATGGTGTTAGACGATGAGTCTCGTGAAAACGAAGCAGATCTCATATGTGCGGCTGAAAACGTCTCTCCAGAACAAATGGCGTTTCTCGTCAGACACTCTTCCGGCTACGTGTGTGCGCCCATGACGAATGACGTCGCCGACCGACTCGATCTCCCGCTTATGCGGAACCTGGAGTGCACGTCGAACGCCGACGACCGCCATGGCACCGCGTACACGATCACGTGCGACTTCGCCGATGGCACCACAACTGGCATTTCGGCGCACGACCGAGCTCTGACGTGCCGCAAGCTTGCCGAGCCCGCGTCCGGTGCGCTGGATTTTTTGAAACCGGGTCATATAGTGCCTCTAAGGGCTGTCCAGGGCGGAGTCTTACAAAGAGGCGGCCATACTGAAGCCGCGGTCGATTTATGTTTGCTTGCCGGTAAGCAGCCCGTGGGCGTTATCTGTGAGCTTGTCCGCGACGAGGACGGCTCCATGATGCGTCTCGACGATTGTATCCGTTTCAAACATCAATTCGGCATCGAAATTATCACCATAGAACAACTTCAAAATTATTTGCGCGAGTTGCGCGCATGAGCGCGCTTGCGCGCACAACCCGTCTGTAACTGATCTATATCACTAAAGCTAGCATCTGTGCGATTGTATCTCTGCCTTATTTAGTCCTGGGTTTTGGTGGTACCGACCTTGGTTTTTGACCCCACACCAGCTTATGTGGTTTCATAAATTTGTCCACCAAAGCATCGTCCACTTTGGCTCTGCGTTCCTGAAACTCTTTCACAAAAACTTGCAAAGCCTCGATACACAGCTTCTTCATTTCTCCCGACAGCAGTTCTCCACTCTTGTACCTGTCGTAACATTCTTTCAAGAACGCATCGTCATCTTTGAAAAAACTTAGGTATTGGTACGCAACGTCCACGTCTGGGTTGCCACCCAATCTGCGATGATCCTCGACCGACACTTGGCCACCGGAAAACGCGTATTTGTTCACTTTTTTTTGAATTTGCTTGGCAGTGTCCGTTAGGAAAATGGCAGTCGTATCGTCAGATGCACTCATCTTGGTACTGGAGCCTTGCAACGCTGGAAAGAACTGGGCATGCAGTAGCGCGGGCTTCGAAAACTTCAATTTGTCCGCCACATCTCTGCACACTCTAAAGTAAGGGTCCTGGTCTATCGCGCAAGGAATTAAACATGGTGTCTTTTCGGGAAGTCCCAATACATCCGGGAACGAACTTGGGAAGGCAGACGCGATTTGGATCGACGCAAAATGGAATTTACCGATACAATCAGAATCATTGAACCCAAACACAGCTTTAGCGGTGGACCCAGTGATTTGTCTGGAAACCCTCACAACGTTTTCGTAAAAACCGCCTCCCATGTATTCCAAGTCCGAAAAGATGAAGGTGTTTTCCGGGTTCAATCCAACCGCGATAATATCCTTAGCATTCTCCCTTGCAAAACGCTTCACGTCCGAGATCGTAAGCTTATGTTTGAAGAGGAATTTTTCATCGTCGGTCAATTCAATAACAAGCGGAACGTCGAACACTTCTTGTAACCATTTCGTGAAAACGAAAGGAACCATGTGGCCCAAATGAACGGAATCTGATGAGGGGCCACGTCCGGTGTACAAGAAAAAGGGTTCACCATGCTCGTACAAGTCCAAGATCTTGCTGAAATCTCTTTCACTGAAAAACAAACCTTTACGCAAGAAATGATGCGGTTTTTGACCCGTTATTTGCTCAAATCTCGTCAAAGTTTCCTGGGTGATTTGCTTCGTACCAAACTGTTTCACCAGTTTCTCATAATCGATCTCTTGGGCAACACCATTTTCGTCAACGGCACCTTCAACGTCCCATGGTGTGACTTTCTGGTCTTTCGTTTTACTGGCTTCAATTTCGTCTTTAACCGAGAGTGTCTGGACTCCATTTGTAGCCTCTGAAGCCGACATTCTGCTCGAGTACCTATGGATTACTTAGAAAGCCTATGCGTCTTGCAATCTGTTTGCGAAGGTTGGTCAGACGGTGATGTCGTGATCTAATTTTTTTTTCACTCCATGTTGAGATTAGTCACTATATGATAAAACTGACTGACAGAGCTCAAACCTCGGCGGAGTTTGAACTCGAACGTATTCGAGGCTCCTTTCAAACCCTTCGCTACTCTGCTGGAAAAGGATATCTGTTGAAGATTTTCATCCTGAAAAATGGCGCCAAAATTGTAATTCTAGGCCGAGAAATCGTGGCGAAAGGATTTATGGGAATACGGGGCCTACAAAAACTCTCCGCAAATCTATATTGATTTAAGGGAGTATCTTTAGCAATTCACGTCGTCACCTTGAGTTTTGTTGTCTGGCTATCAGGATGTCAAAATGAAATAATTTCCAAATATTTGTAGATATCTTTGATTTTGAAATAGCAGGTTTCTATTCAAGTTGATACAGGCAGAGAGGATTGTGCCGACAGTGTGAAAGCACGTGAAATTGTCTTGAAGCTTTAAAACTCCGAGTAAAGGCGCTTGTGCCAAGATTTTCGGCGCACTGTGGAGTTGCACTCAACTTTGCTCCTTTGATGCTGCAAAAAGCCTTAGAGGACATCTTGAAACCTCAACAATTAATCCAAAAACGTACGCTTCCGGCATAATCCGCTTCACCTCGTACTTCCAAACTCGACGCAAACAAGGTAAAACACCGTTTCCATTAAAGTAAGTCGGAAAAAGTCTAGAAACTCAGAAAGCCCTCTTAGGGAATCCCAGCAGACGGCCAAGCCATCAGATCATAGTCAAATTGTCTTGATTCTCGACTAACATCCCGTAATTCATTTTACCCATGAGTCAAGCTGTCACGGCCGGTAAAATGATGCCGAACGGGGCAAAAGCTCCCAAAAAACAACTTCCTGACTCCAAATCTTGAGAAAAACACGCTGGTGTTATTCTCCACTTCTGAAACCTTACTTGTTTTGTCTTTTCCTTTCTTCCATTTCTCATGTCATCACATGAAAACGACATCTTAGATTGACGAACTTTGACAATTAAGGAATCCCATCTCTATCAAAACTGAAGAATACAAAAGCACTAAAAATCGGCATATAGCAACTCTTACAGGACATAATGAACCGTATTTTTGGATTGGGTGCTAAAAAAACTCAGGATCAGCTTTTCCAGGAGTCCAATAAGGCCATGAACGAAGCTCAACAGTCGATGCAACAACGAATATCGCAATTAGATACTCAAATATCCCAATTGAATGTTCAACTGCAGGCCATGCAGCGTAAGATTTCTACGACCAGATCTGCTGCGGGACAGCAACCTCTGAGAGCCAGGGCTTCGAAATTGCTTAATAAGCGGAAGCAACTGGAAGCGATGCGAGATTCATTGGACTCACAATCTTGGTCGATGAATCAAGCACAAATGACTAGTGATAACTTAAAAAATACCATGGTCACCGTCAACGCATTGAAACAGACCAATAAGGCTCTGAAATCGCAATACGGTAAGATAAACGTCGAAAAATTACAAGATATGCAAGACGAAATGTTGGATTTGGTTGAACAAGGTGAAGAATTGCAACAAGTTCTTGCCATGGGCAATGGATTGAATGATCTGGATGAAATAAGCGAGGGTGAATTGGATGCAGAACTTGAGGCACTTGGCGATGAAGCATATGGTGCAGAATTTGACGCAGACGTGGAGACAACGGCGATTCCGTCGTATCTTTCCGGCACAATGCCTCAATTCATAGATGAAGATGTGCCTCAGGAGAAACAGGGCAACCTTGAGACCGCAACGTGAAGAGAAAATGCAGCTTGCATGACTATGTAGTATATATCACCAACTCAAGTTTTTTAAGCCAACTTCTTGAACGCCATAAAATAATTGCCAACGTCGGTTTGATCATGCAAGATCCAACCTTTGGCAGGTATGTACATAGTTCCTTTGCATTCCAACAACTTGTGGGCGGCCGGATACTCGTCTTGGAACCATTGCGAGATTTCTGCAGAGTTGATGTATTTGTCGAGATGATGCGTCCCGCGCGGCACCAAACCAAGCAGATTTTCCGCAACGAAAATCGTGGTAAACCATGACAATGGACCTCGATTGATGGTACTCAAAACCAAAATTCCGTCCGGCTTCACTTTTTGCCAAGCGTGTCGTAAAATGGCAGCGGGCTCGTCAACATGTTCCAACATTTCAAAACAAGTCACTATATCGTATTGACCTGGCACTTTTTCCAAACTCTCCATTTTGTATTCCAGTTTATCCTTTAGCTGGGGGTCGAGCTTGCTGTGTGCTTTGGCAACTTCGACGCACTCGGGCGTCACATCAATTCCCAGGACTTTGGACACGTAAGGAAGCCTAGCGGCACATTCAGCAAAAATGCCACCACCACAACCAACGTCAAGCAGCTCTAGACGCTTTTCACTGAGTTTAGCTTGCAAATCTTGAGAAATCTGTTTTTCAATCGCTTGCGAAATTGGTTTCGAAACCATATCATGATAATTGTAACCGGGAATAAACGTTTCAGACCCAACTTTCAGCTGTGACAAGACGACCTCACGCACGAAATCCATCCTCACCAAATTCATTTTATGGAGAATCCGTTGTGGACCACGCACGTCCCACCAAGTTGGTGCTAGTTGACCAAAATGAAGTATTTCTTCAGCAGACGATGCAGTAGAAGACGCCCCAGACGACTGTTGTCTGATAAAGGACCTGAAAGCACTTCTTCCAACCCAAGCAGCGATCCTACCACCATTCACCCATAAGTTAATCATCGTTCAATTCCGATATCCAATTAAACCCTACTTGCTCTCTAATTGACCAGAATAACGGGAAAACCAGTACAAAGAGCGCAAGAAAATGCTCCACGATTCGAACTTCACACTCTCAATCCCAACCCCGTACAGTTGACCCAAATTCTCACGTTTAACGCTTCGTTTGAGCTCCATCTCTTTTACCCCCATCCCATCATGAGTTTCTCGATATCTTGAATAAATATCCGTTTATACGAATATCAAAGACATTCAAGATGACCCACTATCATCAACTATCACCAACTTCAAGGTACGAAAAGAATAAAGGAAAAGAAGCTCCTAAGATCCCTAAGGCCCCAGTTGTCCACTGCAATTTCGGTTATGTCTGACTCAGAGGAATTGCTTATGACGAGCAGGTCTCGCCGTCAAAATGCGGGCAATAAAATGCAGAAATTGCTGGAACAAGAACGACAAGAAATGCAGGAGAAAACTGCCGGTTTAGACGACGATGAGATTAATTTATTGTTCCAGGAAGAAGAAGACGATGCGGAGTTTGAAGTAGAACTCAAAAGGAAGAGAGACGACGACGACGTTTTCACAGAATCGGAGGAAGAAAGCGATAATCAGGACGATGAAGATGCGGGAGAACGGGAATTGGAACGGCAGGAAAAGAAGAAGCGGAAGTTGGCACTTAAAAGAAAAATTCCGGTAATTAGGAAACGTGTGGTTGATGAGAAGAAGTTGAAACCTCAGTACGTGCAACCTAAGGCTGATAGTCTCCTCTTAGATTCACGCCGAACGTCAACAAGACGTTCTGTCATAGCCAACAAGCTTCAAGTTTACGAAAAACTGGCATTGGCCGAGAAGAAACGTAAGCAGATTCAGGACCGGCTTCGGAAGAGTCGAGAAACCCAGGAAGAGAAAACGTTGACACAGGAGGACCGGTTACGAATCGCAGAAGAGACTGAAAGATTGAATTTACAGAGTCTAAACAAATTTAGAGAACAGGAGATATACCAGAAACAAACGCGTATAGCGATGCAACAAAGGCGTAAAATCAAGTTTGCTGTGGGTGAGATTGTTATGCGAATAAACTCTTTGAGTTGGAGCGTGACGCCGGCTATGGAGGTTAAAGACAGAGAGTATTGGGACCAGCAGCTGGCCAAGAGGCATAAAAAGAAAAGGTACACTAGAAGGCGTAAAACTGTGAAAGAGGATCCGAAAAGCACTGCCAAGGAGGCTGACGACCCTAGCGCGGTTTCACAAAATGGTTCGATTGCAAATGAAGAGGTGAAAAGCGAGCAAGCTCCGATCGGCGACTCCAGGAGCCCAGACACTGAAGATGACGCTAGTAAATCCTCTGATCCTCAAACAGAAGTTCAAGGCCAGGCGGGAGAAGCAGGCGATAAAGAGATATCGCAGAATGTTTCATCTTCTCAAGCTAGGGAGGAACAAATGAATGCTGCTGATGCTGCTAGCAGTCTTAACAGCTCGGTTGTCAAAAAAACCGCCCAGAACGCCGTCAATGGCCCTGATGCAGATAACAAACAAGCCGATGACAGCAATACGACGCGCCAAGGTAAAAAAGTTGCGTTCGCCGATGTTGGTGAAGTTCCACAAGAGCAAACGACCATCTTAGAAACACTTCCCAGCGCAGAATGCGATCTGCCAGAATTTGCAGATATGGACGATTCCAAAAGAGGTAGCTCCAAAGAAGAAACACCAGGCTCGACAGAACCATCGACGCCCGAGGAGGTGGAAGAAATATACGAGGGTCCTGAGCAACTTGTTGGCAGAAATTTTTTGACCCTGTATTCGTATCCACACGAAAATCTGAGAGTCAGTGACCTGAATTCATACATCCTTGGCCCACAATGGGCGCAGCCCTTAAATTCCAGATCGGCAGACGTCGAGACATTGGTCAAAATTGTGAACCCATCGGAAAGGCTTTGGGCAGAAAATGAGGACGAATTTAATATCTTGGATATGTCCATTTTGGATCGGTTCCCCGCATTTGGAGAATTTGATAAGGTACCGACAAAGGAGATCGTTGAGGAAACGGATAAACACTTAGATCTGGAACTCAAGACACCGGCTCCCACCGGGGTCTTTCTTCCCAATGGTTTAAGAAAGAAGTGTATGATGACGAATAGGGACTGTCAATATTTTGATCCGAAGAATGGTGTTCCTTACTCGGACGTGGAAGCCTACAAAACAGTGCAGGAACTTCAAGACCCAATTGGCGATGGAGGAACTTCCGAGAATCCTTTACCGCGCTTCAAATGGTTTGGATTTGCCCGCGGGGGCATTTATCTTGACGTCAGACGCCGGCCAGCCAAAGGAGTGCCAGAGGGCTTTTAAAAACGGTTCACTTAATACTTAAAATTTCCTAATGCAAGAGCGTAGTGTGCTGAATGTCCTTTGAAGTGTCGAAAGCCCATAAGTCTTTCTAAGGAGGTTGTATTTCGTCAAACCCTGATTTTTATCAGCCTTCCAATGACGGTCGAGATCGTGATTATAATAACGCCAAAATGGTTCGCCAAACTCTAGAGGTGAAATGAGTGACACCGACTTTTGGTTGGCCTGTCTCAAATTGTTGATGTAAAGAAGGTTCCGAGCTCTCGTCATCCCCACATAAATGACCTTTTTTTCTAAAGGAAGTTTACTGTTGGCTTCGCCCATCAAGAAAACGATGGGAAATTCTAATCCTTTTGAAGAATGAATTGTTGATATTTTCACAATACCAGCCTGCTTGTTCTTGGCTTCTTTGTCTTGCCGATGACATATTATGCCTTGATCAAAATAAGTGGCAAGGAACCACTTCGGAAGGCTCGTACCTTCAGGTTTGCTATTTTCGCAAAGTTTAATAACTTTAACCATTTGAATTATTCGTTCTCTTAGTTGCACTTTCTGCTCGCGCTGCTTGGAATCCTCGAATGAGTACCCAATCTCTTGGGCAATTCCAATGAGTTCAGAAACCAATTCAAGCGGTGTCATTGTGGCTGATTGCGTAGAATGAGCGGCAAATTGCATTGTTTTGACGACGCATTTAATCTTTTTCCTCTGCGATGGAGTTAATCGCCATTCAGATTCGGGTGTATTGGAAATGAGGTTCCAAATAGAGCATTTCATGCGAGACGATTGGTTAAACAGAGTTTGAACCGTCTGGGATCCAATTCCTCGCAAAGAACTCAAGACTATGACCGAACTGAAATCGGTGCGATGTTGGGTCAATGGACTCTGATCGTTAGTCTCGTCAGAAATCAAAGTGCAAAACCTCAAAAGATCAATTAAAAACTTGATGTGTTTGTCCTCAATCCAGGCCGGCTGGGAATTGAGAACTTCGAATGGAATTCCGTATGATCGAAGGAATTCACTCACCGATTTGGCCTGAACGTTTGTCCTAGTCAAAATTGCAATATCGGACAATTTGGCCGAACAACATACAAGCTGTGCAATTTGATCCACAATCCATTCGAGTTCCTCTACTGGATCCGAGATATTGACGAAGAATGGCGCTATACCACAGGGCGGCTTGGAATGCATAAACGAGGTCGATTTCGGATTTGCTAAAGTTCGAGTTCCTGTCATAGTCTCTGCCAAACTCTTGATTTCGGGCGTGCACCTATAACTATCCGGTAAAGAAAGAGTCTCAAATGAGGACGAGGGTCTTGCGGACTCCAAGGATTTCATCACCAGTTTGTTGTTGCCCAGGAACCCGTATATGCTTTGGTTGGGATCACCAAACAGAATCAACTCTTTATTTTGTGCTACTTTTTGAATTAACGGTGTGAGTGATGGGTACAAGTCCTGGAACTCATCGATAATAACAACTTTGTACTTGCTTAAAACATCATTTGTGATTCCTTCATTGGAAACTGGATCTTGCTCGCTTTTGACATGCAAATAATTCGTAGCTGACAGTATTAGATCATCATTGGTAACAACTTTCGAGTCTCGTAAAATGGCCATTAACGATTCCATGAAGGAAGTCTTGTTAATCGCAGTTCGACGCGTTTGGTAGTCTCTAACAATTCTTTCGAGTTCTCGCGGTCGAAGTATAGAGTTTTTACCACCCAATTGGCATTGGCCTAAGTGCAAATCGGGAGGTATGAGCTTCAGAAGCCCTCTCCATCCATCTTCTTCTATAATATTCACTATACCCTCATTTTCCGTTACTATTCTGCTGGCTAGGCCATGTATGGTGAAGACTGCAATCTTGGAAACGACTTCATTAATCTGAACTTCATTCTTGGTATCATGGGGATCGTTTTGGAAAGCATCTAGTAACTTATCAATGATATTGTCTACTGCTTTGTTGGTCAAAGACAGTACAAGAATCTCATCGGGTTGGACTGAGCCTTTCGCTATAAGTTGTCGGATTTGCAAAAGCAATGTATGCGTCTTACCAGAACCGGGGCCTGCCACTACTTTTAACGTAGATCCAGGACTATAAGGATGTTGTATCACTGCGCATTGGGACGAACTTAATTCAAACATTGATGAGAACGGAAAAGCGTGGTTACAACCAGCAAAATTGTTGTTTTTTGAACTGGAATAGGCGATCGCCAAAGTACCTCTGAAATTGAGCCTCTGGGTCTCTTTGCGTCTGAAAGTCCTATTCTAAGTTTAAGTAGAACTATCTAGTAGATCGATATGAAAAGTTACAAATATTTGAAAAATTCAAGTAGCCTTACTGAATGCTTCCACCAACGTGTTGAAATGCGTCTTAGTCTCCTCAAATATGATTGAGTGCCCCGAGGCATCTCCACCATTTTCCATGCTAATATGCTGTTGTTGAAGCGCATTAAGCAAATAGGTATAATTGACAGCCAAAAATTTCTCAGGTTGAGCTGCTTTCTTGCTGCATTTGGTCATAACGGTCTCAAAGTCGTTTCTGATTCTTATGATGGAGTTGTAGAGTGGTTCTGACCTTTCGTCAATGGATTCTTGATGACGCAATGAAAGTGTCAATATACTGGTCAAAAATTTGGCGAACTGAACCGTGAGTTCATGTGGAAGTGCAGAGGTCCCCACAGCGCCAACAAAAATTGGCATGTTCCGTAAACTTTCGCATTGGAAATCTACCAATTGTTGAAATTTGGGCCATAATATGATGAGTTGTTCACCCAGAAAATCATCAATAACCGGGACACGCCGTCTTTGAGATTCGAATTGTAAATGATGTGCAATGCGAATGCAAATCAATACTCCAAAGATATCGAACGTTGAAGATATCAATTGTTTGGTGAAATGATTCGCCTGTTCGAATGTGGGTTTGAAAACCTGTTCCAGTATACCTCGCAAGTCCTCTACGTTATTATTCACTCGAAAGAAATCGTTCAGGAACATGAACTCGACGGCACAATTATCCAGTATAGCTAGACTCAAGTTTTTGAAGCCCTTCTCCAAGAAATTCGCGACATGGTTATTTTCTGCAATTTGTGAAACCATGACCGTGTTGTCCTCTTGCGTCAAAATGGATATTCGCTTATCGACTTGGAAATATTCATTTACGGTGTCGTTAGTGGCCGCAGTAGAACCAAACGGTGACTTGGGTTGATTTTTGCTGAAGAAACCAGTGATACCGAGGGAATCACGTCCGTTTACAGGTGTCTTGCTGAGTCCCTGGCCTAACGCATAGTGAGAGTCAATGGGGACGTATTGCAAAATGGTCAAAGATCTAATGTAACGTCCAAAGTAATTCTTGTAGTACCATTGCATTGTATATGCGTAAGCCTGTCGCAGTTCCAAAGCCAGTGAATAATTGTATTTGACGATAAATTGGAAGATTTCTGCCACTTCGAGTAATTGGGTTTGAATTTTCTGCGACGGGACACAATTTGCACTTCTGAGGGCTTTAATGCGAGCCACGATAAACTTTTTACAGCGTTCCAAGATCACAGTTTGCAATATGTCCAAAGTTTGCCGTAGTTCTTCAAAATCCGATGGAACTTCGTCAGCAGCTTTATATTTCACATAGATTTCCTTCTTATCCTCTACGTAGGCGACATTTTCCAGCCATTGACTCGAGATATGACCTGCAATAATTTGTTCAGCGACTTCAGGCGATATTATGAGATCATTGACTATCGGACTGATACTTTTCAGTTTACTTGAATTTTCGACCAAGAGCTTGTTCAATTCCGATGATTTGCTTCTTATAGAGCTCAATTCCGATGTCAATGACTTAAGTTTGATGTTAAGGTCATTGTAGTACTGTTTAAGAGGCGGAATCAGATCTTGAAGTGTCTTGATTACTTCCGTATGTCTCTTATCCAGTTCATTCAACTCTTTCAATAGGGCTTGATTAACTTGCAATTTTGGGTTTCCAGAATGGGCCAAAAATTCCGTATAAGCGTCGTAATCTTCGGTTTCTTTATGGCCATGAGCCTCGACACCAATTATCGAGCTTAAAACGTTCATTTAATCGTCTGTTCTCTTATTTTCCCTTATTGTTCAACTAGGTCGTCAATTTCTTCTACTAATTAATATGGTCTTCCCAATAACAACATCTTGAGAAAATCCCAAAATACAAAAAAACAAGCCCACTAAGTCTATAAAACCTTCATATTTAAGCTTTACGTGTCCTTTATTTTACTGATTTTAGCTAGCATTCCTGCCAATTGCAAATAAGTTCCCAGACCTTCTAATACTCGCATATGGGCAAATCCAATCTCTCGAATAATTTCAAGTCTGACCGATTCCTTGATTTCGTCAATGTTTTTGGTGACTCTAAAACTCGTGGTGATGATGTCAACGGCGGAATAACCCTTTTCCCAAAGACCTTTGAGAAATGCAAGTGAATCGTCAAGCGATGCGGCCAGCAGCATTCGCTTGACCATCAATGGATGCGGCGAATCGACGATTTTGAATACGTTATCAGCGTTCACGAGACCAAAACCAGCGACAGTGCTTTGCAAATTGTTAATCGCTTGGCGCATGTCGCCCTCTGCTGTGAAAATGATCGCCTCGAGACCGTCGTTGGTGTATTGAACATTTTCCAATTTGATGATTTCCAATAGTCGTTTGAGCACTTGTTCGTCTTGTAATTTTCCGTATCTCAAAATGGCACATCTACTTTGAAGTGGTTCGATGATCTTATTCGACTGATTACATGCAAACGCGAATCGAGTCGTGTTTGCATACAGTTCCATTGTTCTACGCAACGCTTGTTGGGCCCCGGCGGTCATCGAGTCTGCTTCATCGAGTATAATGATCTTATGACGACCTGGTGGTAAACTGCATTTTTTCTGGGCGAATTGTTTGATTTGGTTTCGCACAACGTCAATGCCTCGATCGTCCGAGGCATTGAGCTCCAAAACGGCTTGCGAATACGAATCTCCCAGTAATTCGTGTGCCAAACAACCGATAGACGTTGTTTTACCAATACCCGGCAATCCACTGATAATCAAATGTGGCATATTCCCATCCAAAGCGATCTGCTGTAACCGTTCAATTGTCTCTTCGTTACCCACTACATCTTTCAAAACTCGAGGTCTATACTTTTCAACCCAGGGTAGCTCGAGATTTACCACCTTTTGAGACATTAGAAGAGCGGTTCTGATGATCTTTTAGTTCTGTCTTGTAGCAGGAGTTGGTGACACTAGTCAAGAAAGGTTAGGTTTCTTAAAGTGAAAAATTTTGGTAAAGAATTGGGAAGCGATGAGCTTGTTAAAAACCATCAAAACCAGAACAAACCCCAAGAATCTCATTGATTTAAGCATGTCAGAAGAATTGAGCCCGCCGGAAACCCCGATACGCAATTTTTCTGGGTCTCCGTTGCCTCCTGTACCGGAAGGTATGTCCAAAAAGCAGTGGAAGAAGATCTGTAAAAGAAAGAGATTTGAGGAAACCAAAGAGAAGTACTATGAAGTGCGACGCGAAAAGAAATTGAAAGCGCGTCTGGCGCGGCGCGCGAAAATCCAAGAGTTTTTGGATCGAGGCGAAGAAGTGCCGGAAGAATTGAAGAGAAAGCCACGTAAGAATTTGAATCAACAAGACTCGGGGATAAAGATATTGATAGACTGTTCTTTTGACGATTTGATGAATGATCGGGAGATCGTGAGTTTGAGTACACAATTGACGCGTGCGTATTCGTGGAATAAACGTGAAAATTATTTCGCAGACGTGAAAGTGACGGGGTTCGATAAGAGACTGAAGGTTCGGTTTGAAAAGGATTTAGAAAATTCGAATTTTGGAGAATGGAAGAATTTCGAGTTTGTCGAGAATGCGACGTTGCCTACGGAGAACGCGATTTATTTGACGGCTGACGCTGATGATACAATTGAAAAACTCGAGCCGGGTGTCACGTATATTGTTGGTGGTATTGTCGACAAGAATCGGCATAAATCTCTGTGTTACAACAAGGCCAAAGAACTGGGTATTAGAACGCGGAAGTTGCCCATTTCCCAATTCGTTAACGTGCACGGGAGACACGTGCTAACGACGGCACATGTCGTTCAACTTATGCTCAAGTATTTTGATCATCGCGATTGGAAGGAGGCTTTTGAGAGTGTGCTTCCACAGAGGAAGTTGGAGGAAACCACTGAGGGTGTGCTGCAAGGAAATCCGGGAGACGGCTCAGACCAGAGCGGCGAGGAGGACAAAGAGCAGGACAGCGAAGAAGACATAGATGACGCATAAGCTGCGCACGACTGTAAATACGTGTATACAGTTTAAGTCGCCTCGCCTCCTAAGGTCACACATAGACCGTCTACAAATCCGACATTTCATTGTTTCCTATGGTAAGTCTAACAGGCACACAGGCACCAACGTTTATGCAACATGCATAGAATAGTCCTTTCCGTGCATTGAATTTCTAGAACAAAATCGTTTCTTTTTTGATTCTCGTCGTTTTCACGCCGCAATTTTCTTTTTCAATTTTTTTCCGTCGGCTTTTTTTGGAATTTTTTTTTCTCCGTTCGTTGGTATGACCCATTAAGCCCATCACAGCTTCTTTGCAGAGAGCACGCTTGCTAGAAGTCATTCAAGTGAACACCAAAGACGTATCTGACACGTTGTTTACCGGTTTTGTTAGTGACTGAACGTATCTGATTGAATCAGCTGAAATTGGTTTATCCAAAAATGATTCCTATAGTTTTAGATGCGCAAAATGTTAGCGGTATTGCCGGGTCAATCTCCATTGCATGTTGGGTGATCGTTTTCGTTCCACAGATTTATGAGAATTTTTATAGAAGATCTGCCGATGGGTTGTCGATGTTGTTCGTGGTTCTGTGGCTTGCTGGTGACATTTTCAATCTTTTAGGTGCGATGCTTCAACATTTATTACCTACGATGATTCTTCTTGCTGCATATTACACCGTTGCAGACATAATTTTATGGTTACAATGTATTTGTTATGGAACCGAACAAAAAGTTGACCCTGTACATTTGTCGCCTGCCAATCCAATCAATGAGAGTGTACTTGAAGACGTTTTCAACGAACACCAACCGTTGCTGAGGTCTCACAAGCATAATACGGTTCAAACTGTTTCGGAGACTGCAACAGAATCATCATCACAAGTCAATGTAAGGGCCAATGGGTCTGCCTCTGGTTCTGGCAGTAACACGAGAAGAAACCTCTTGAGAACCGTAGTGGTGTTGGGTGTCGTGTTAGGTGGATTTTTGTCCTGGTATGTTTCCTATGCGAATAATCCAGACCGTGTCCCAGAAGAACCAGATTTGTCCATGAACTGGCTCGCGCAATTTTTCGGCTACCTCAGCGCAGTGCTGTACTTGGGTTCAAGAGTGCCCCAGATACTATTAAATTTCCAAAGAAAGTCCTGCGAGGGTATCTCATTTTTGTTTTTCCTGTTCGCATGTCTTGGCAACATTACTTTCATTTTGTCAGTTTTGAGCGTCTCTGTGAAACCCCGATACTTATTGGTCAACGCCTCATGGCTCATCGGAAGTATCGGTACCCTTCTCATGGATTTCGCCATTTTCCTACAGTTTTTCCTCTACGAATCTGAATCAACGCCCATGGATGACGAACCGACGGTATGAAAGAAAAAGAACGAGACCCCACCACCACGTCCCTAATAACACTGTTTATATATGTGCAGCACTACGCTGCTAATTCTATTTTGTCGAGACGTTGGGTCGTCACTTTCTCTAAACGTCAGGCGTCACACTAATAATCGCTTTAATGAAACTTGTCATTGTTGTGTCAAGGCCACAAAAGTTTTGGGAAAGATATAAAAGACGTTGTCGCATTGTCTTAAAGACATTTCACCCTAGTGAGCTTCATCTTCTTTTTTATTTAAGGCCGGGACCAGAACTAGCGTTCATTTTATTAGAATACGATGCCTTTACTGTCTGTGAAGCATTACAACACCGTATCGGAGCCAGATATTTTGAAAATCAATCCCGATGAGATCGCGCATTTTAGTGGTCAATCCATGCGGGTACGCGATGACACCGAGTTAACTTCTTCTGATGAGGAAGAAGTGGAGTTATTAGATGGTGAAATTACGAGGTCTGGGAAACGGTCGTGGTTTCAACAAGAAAGCAGACCTCACACTGCCTCATCTAACCCCAAAGCTAGTACCAGGTCAAATGAACAAGGGACAAGACCCAAAAGCTCATCCCCGTTCAAGCGAAGCCTTAGCGCATTGTTCAAGAAAGGCGAAGATTTGGACAGTGACTTTGTTGTTGATGACCCCACGTCCGTGGCTCCGAGAGAATCAAACGCTTCAAAATGTGCCTCGGACATTACTATCGACAATAATGTCCACTCTTCTCGGTTTTGGAGATCCTGGAAGATGCGGCATCATCAACATCATGAAAAGCCTTCGTTGAACGCCACAGCACCTCTTGACAACCAAGAAGAGATCGAGAATGGCCGTAAGAATGACATAAAAGCGGCGACGCCAAGTGACAGTGTCCGTGGGTCTAACAAGGCAAGACTTATGGAATTGGAAATTGACGACGATTTGATGCATTTCGATCGTTTGGCAGCAGGTAATCGTGCCAAGTCTACCGAGGATGAGTCTAATGAGCGGAACGACGACAAGGAAGCTGAAGACTTGCTTTGTGAAAAATCCGTGAAAATGTCGTCTCCATTGACGCCTGTCGACGACGAAGCATCTTGGGTTAACTCTAAAAAGGCTTTTGATTTTGGTAGTTATGAAAACATCTACCAAACTTCAAAGGCCTACATGACAGAATCATTTGAATTCGATTCTCTCCCGTTGCAAAAGAATTCTCGTACTTATGTCAATTTTCTGAGTATCATTCAGCTACTTGATGGAGCGCCGAGTGAAATCTTGAATAAGGCATCACTCCTTGATTTTTCCGGATCACTATTGCAAGTGTTGCAAAAGACGCTTCTTAGTGTTGGTGGTCCGCAAAATGGTGTCACGCAGGACAAAGTTGTGGAGAGCAATGTCAAGAATGAACTTTATTTGATGGAGGAGAAATATGAACAAGCAAAACAAGAGCTTTGCAACGCCCGACTTGACATTAACCGTCTAGAGCAAGAGATGGATGAAACCCAGGTTTTATTGAAGAGAAATAGAAGCCATGCCTTATCGTTGGAACAGGTTTTGGAAAAAGAACGAGAATCATGGACGGCTTTGGAAATAGGATACAAACGCAACATTGACCAAAAAATAACTGAAATCAAAGTCTTAAATGAGAAACAAACGCAGTTAATAGCTGGCCATGCTATGGAGAAAGACAATCTGCAATCGATGTTAAATGAATACAAGCAAGAACTGAAGAATTCGCATCAAACGCACGAGAAATTGGTTGATGAGTATGAGCTGCAAACAAAAGAGTTTCGCATAATTACCAGCCGTTCTACGACTCTACAAGAGTCATGTCAACAACAACAGCAACTCGCGGAAAAGGCTACACAAGCGAATCTTACGTTACAAAAGGATTTCCAGAGAGAGAGAAACAAAGTCCTGGATCTTCGTCGTGACAACAGACTGCTCAAAAAACAGACGGATTTGCTCACTGCACACAAGACCAATGCGTTGCAATTCATGGCACAAATTATGATGTCTTACAAAAATGTCATTGACAACCAAACCATGAAAGAATACGATGAGTATCTCGAATGGCTCAATAAAGACCAATTTTCGGACATTTCGATTCTTAAGACCAAGAGAGAACTTTCAGACGCGGAACTCAGTAAACAATTACAACAGCAGCGTGATAAAGTTGCCAAATTCTATCATGATTTTGCTAAAATAAAAGTTTTAGACCAAGTTTTCTCCAAACACGTATCCTACATGCGTTCGAACTCGTTCTTGTCTCAACAACTAAAGGGACTGCGTAAGCAGATACAGGACAATGAAGACTACATTAAGCGTCTTTTGAAAGATTGCAAGACGCAAAGGACATTAATTTCCAAACAACACAGCCGGCTTTTGAACAAGACATCACCAGATTCGGCAAGTGCAAACGACAACAACAGTAAAATAATACTTAAACCATAAATTCGGGGCAAGAAACAAACATCGCATATCATTTGACTGGCTATAGATGAATTTTTAAAAAAATCTGTTTTAATATATTTTAATTTCATCAAAAATCATTGAAATTTCACGCTAAGAAATTGCTTTGAATGGTAAAATCAAGCCTATTTGGCTCTTAAAGTGACTAAATTTTAATGCCTTTTGTCTTAAATATCTATACTCAAAGGAACGGTTCTATCTGTTAATGGTGGTGTAATCGATACTTAATCGATCAAAGGTCGTTCTAAAGAGAACGCGTGACCAACTTTAGAAGATTTGAAGATCACGAAACGCGTAAAAAAAATTACGCGTCAAGGGTATTCATCAAACTGTTTGACAGATTTCAGGATATCGTGGGACCTCTACTGAGTTCTTAATTGATAAACTCCAGATGTCGTCGTCGTCTAGACCTGAATTGAAATTCTCCGACGCTTCCGAAGAAAGGGGCTTCTATAAACGGTATGCAACGCTTCCGGAAAAGACATCGGAGACGATTAGAATTGTGGATAAGGGTGATTATTACACAGTTGTGGGCCAAGATGCTTTGTTTGTCGCAGATAGTGTTTATCACACAAATTCTGTCTTGAAAGATTGCCGTATAGATAGCAGCACAGCGAAACAGATCAAAGAACCATTGAAATATGTGACAATATCCCCACAAGTTCTTTCAGGATTGCTGAAAACGTGTTTATCAGAGCAAGGTTACAGAGTTGAGATTTATGATCGTGCGTGGAAACTTCTGAAGACTGCTTCTCCAGGTAATATTGAGCAAGTAGACGATTTGATGAACTATTCGATGGATTCTTCGATAGTTTTAGCCAGCATCAAATTTCAAGCAAATGCACAAGAGGGCAATTGCGTACTGGGGATATCTTTTGTTGATAGCAGTTCTTCGAAAATTGGCATGTTGGATTTGGTCGACAATGAAGTTTATTCTAATTTAGAGAGTTTTGTCATTCAAATGGGCGTCAGAGAGTGTCTACTTCCTGACCAAAGGCACAATGAAAGTGTTGCCGCGGAACTAAAGAAAATGGTTGGCGTGTTGGATCGTTGCGCTTGTGTGACAACATTTGTGAAGAGTTCAGATTTTTCTCAAAAAGATGTCGAGGACGATCTTGTCAAGTTGATTGGAGATGAACTATCATTGTCGCTAATGAAATTTTCCAACCTGGCACTAGGAAGTTGCAACGCGTTACTCAAGTACCTCGAACTCTTGACGAATCCGGCAAATTATGGTAAATACGAATTGGTGACCCATTCCCTTTCGGAGTTTATGAAACTGGATGCATCTGCTCTGAAGGCTCTTAACATTTTCCCACCAAATAACTCGAATTCAAGTGGGCCGTCCATTACACAAAGTTTATCTGGCGGCGGTGGCAAAATTTCAAGCATTTTCCAACTTCTCAATAAGTGCAAAACCGCTGCTGGTGTGAGACTATTGAATGAGTGGCTGAAACAACCTCTAACAGATCTTGAAGCAATTGTGAAAAGGCATGATCTTGTTGATTTCCTCATTGATCAGCTGGAACTAAGACAAATCCTCCAAACGGATTACCTGCCCGCAGTACCAGACGTCCGCAGACTCACGAAGAAATTGAACAAAAATGGTAACCTAGAAGATGTGCTTAAAATCTACCAATTTGCTACCAGAGTCCCTGAAGTTGCACAACTTCTTGAGGACTACTTGAAAGATTTAGGCGAAGATTCGCATGTTCGAGATCTGGTCGTACAGACCTGGCTTGAACCACTTAATTCACACGTTACGCCGTTGGATAAATTCAGAGAAATGGTCGAGACAACGGTTGATCTTGATGCGTTGGAAGAAGCAAATGAGTTTATGATTAAAGTAGACTTCAACGAGGATTTAGCAAAGATTAGGGCAGAATTGGATATTTTAAAGGACAAAATCAAAGCAGCGCATTTGGACGCTGCCGAAGACCTTGGGTTCGACCCTGAAAAGAAGTTAAAGCTCGAGAATCATCATATGCACGGATGGTGCATGCGGCTGACAAGAAATGATGGCAAAGCTCTAAGACAGCACAAGAAATATCTAGAGTTGTCCACCGTGAAAGCTGGTATCTATTTCAGTACGAAAGAGCTCAAGTCTGTTGCTGAACAAACAGCGCTGCTACAAAAAGAGTATGACAGGCTTCAGGAAGATTTAGTCAAGCAAATTGTCCAGATCACTTTAACTTACACACCTGTCTTGGAAAAACTGTCTATCGTGCTAGCCAATTTGGATGTTTTGTGCTCGTTTGCGCACGTTTCGTCCTACGCGCCGCTGCCATATGTAAGACCCAAAATGCATGGGCTCGGAGCACAGCGGAAGACCGAACTGATAGCCTCCAGGCATCCCGTCTTGGAAATGCTGGACGACGTCACATTCATATCCAACGACGTTAAAATGGAAAGCGGGAAAAGTGAGTTTTTGATCATTACGGGTCCTAACATGGGTGGTAAGTCGACTTACATCCGCCAGGTGGGCGCTATTTCTCTAATGGCACAGATTGGATGTTTTGTGCCATGCGAAACGGCAGAAATAGCAGTGGTCGATGCCGTATTGTGTAGAGTCGGTGCCGGCGATTCTCAATTGAAAGGTGTCTCTACTTTCATGATGGAGATGCTAGAAACGGCGTCCATCTTGAAAAATGCCACGAAAAACTCTCTTATCATTGTCGATGAGTTGGGACGCGGTACCAGTACTTACGATGGTTTCGGGCTCGCGTGGTCCATATCCGAGCACATCGCTTCCAAGATCCACTGTTTCACGCTTTTCGCGACCCATTTCCACGAGCTCACCTCTCTGGCAGACAAGATCCCTACGGTACAGAACATGCACGTCATAGCTCATGTTGAACAAGCAAGCGTCGTGTCTCACAGCGCAGACGACATAACTCTTCTCTACAAAGTGGAACCTGGGATTTCGGATCAATCATTCGGTATTCATGTCGCAGAAGTAGTCCAGTTTCCAACCAAGATTGTGTCCATGGCCAAACGTAAGGCCTCAGAGCTTGAACTACTGAAACAAGGTCCGGAAGCAATCAAAAGGCAGAATTGCAGTATAGAAGAGATCGCAAATGGTACTCAAGTCGTGAAAACCGTCCTGAAGGACTGGGTCGCGCAGGTTCGCGCAAAGAACCTTGACCGACCTGACGCTCTCTCAGAAGAACAGAACCAACAGAATATTGTCGATCTACTACGACAATTGTCAGACGAACCCAACGTGAAGGACAATGTCTTCGTCAAGGAAATCAAAGAACTGCTCATGTGATTGCGAATCTTGTCGTCGTCGAGTTCCCCGGACTTCATTTTTCCCTCGTTGGTAGCTACCATCAGGGGTGTTGCATCTTTCGGAGTCGAACGGTTTGCGATTGCATAGCTTGTTACCATACACAACTAGGTAGTCTATTGCAATAGTTGTTGATGTATTATTGCAGTAGCGCAAAGAACCGGTAAATGACAGAGAAATGGTGTAAGTAATATCTTTATTAACAAGATTGAATAATGAACTATATAAAGCGGTCCGTAGCGATTTGTGTGGATATCATGAAAGATTAGTTTTCTACTGAAAGCATAACTGACAGGCCAAGCAATAATGCTACACCCTAGAAACACGGAAGTATTCTTCACGCTCAACAATGGCGTTAGAATGCCAGCGCTTGGTTTAGGTACCGCTGCAGAACCTCCCAAAACACTTCCACCTACAAAACAAGCCGTCAAGGCCGCTGTTAAGGCAGGTTACAGATTGATCGATACTGCTTGGGCCTATGGAACAGAACCTTACATTGGAGAAGCATTGAAGGAACTATTCGAAGAAGGCGTGGTCAAAAGAGAAGACCTGTTCATCACGACCAAAGTTTGGCCCACACACTGGGATCTCGTTGAAAAATCGTTGGAAGAGTCATTGAAAAGTTTAGGAGTAGAATACGTTGATCTTTTGCTCCAACACTGGCCAGTGTGTTTCGAAAGAGTTTCCGATCCCAACGGAGTCAACGGAATTGCACGTAACCCAACCAGTTCTGACGGTAAACCGCTTCTCAATAAGAAGGGTGACCACAAAGAGACCTGGAGGCAGATTGAAAGCTTATATTTGAAGAAAGACCCCAGAATCAGGGCAGTCGGTGTGTCAAACTTCCCAAGTGAATATTTGGACGATCTTCTCAAAACTGCCAAAGTTGTACCCGCGGTCAACCAAGTGGAACTTCATCCACAGTTTTCGCAATTGAAGCTTCGCGAGACATGTAAAAACCATCACATTATACTGGAATCGTATTCGCCGATGGGGGCTAATGGAGCGGCATTGACCGAATTATCAATAGTACAAGAACTGGTCAAGAAATACGACGCCAGTCCAGGTGCGGTCTTAATCTCTTACCATGTGAGACAAGGTGTAGTGACGGTGCCACTGTCTCAGAACCCAAAAAATATTGCTGCAAATGTTGAACTTGTTCCCTTAACGCAGCAAGACATTGATGCCCTCAACAAGAACGGTGAAGAACATATAGTACGCTATCGTGACGAACAGTTTGCTTATCCTGTTCCAGGGTTCCGTGAAGGTCACGAGCGGGCATAAGTACATTAGTTGCTAATTAATTTCAATTGAATGCCATATTATGAACTTTTTGGCGTTACGTTAATAATATGAAAGAATAGGATTTGCTACTGCATGTAGTTAGCAGGTAAACTGAAATCTCTGTCAAACAGCATATTGTCGAAAAGCTCATCAAAATTCAAAGCATCTGATGTTATAGGAGGTATGATCGAATCATCCTGGTAAGGCACTATGGGTGTGCTGGCAAGGCCATTGGAATCTAGCCCAATAAAAGCTGGCTCTGGGAAAAGGGACTGGTCTACAGTTACTTTCGATTTGCCAGCGTGGGGCACACCCGAGCCCACTTTCTCAAGGTTCTCCTGAGATCCTATGTCTCCCACACGCTGCTCTTGGGTCCTTGTCAAAAGGATAGGCATCGAAGAAGCAAGCGTTTCTATGTCTTCGAATTCAAGGTCGTTGAATAAATTCAGCATACGCGGTACTCTTTTCTGAAAGGACTCACAATTAGTCTTATCCAAGTTAGCCGGTGGGTATTGTTCCAAATGCCGCCGCAGCGACGCAACGGACGTGTTCTTCATGGTTTCAACCATGTTTCCGAGGTCAGATAGCACAGACTCATAGACAGAGGGTCGAAATTGATAAACGCGCGCATATAGGTTTCGCTTGTTAAAGCATCTGATACACAGTATCAACAGAAATGTGTAGACAAACATGAAGACGTTGTACTTGATGTTTTCGGCTAATTTTCGCAAGGCCTCTCCCCCTCTCAAACTCTCATGTAGATCGCATAGGAGCTTGATGTGCTCCCCAATTCGAGGATTGTCGATATGCTTAATACTCCATAGAAGTAATACAAAAGCTCCAGTGGAAAAAGTGTAGAAAATCCTATCCAGAAGGTTAGGCACCAAAATGACTTTTTTCCACATGAGAAGAATCTTGGAGGTACTATCGAGAAGCTGTGACCTGTTCTCATCACTCAAATCGGCAATGTCGAATCTGGACAGATGGTGTGCCTCTGTATTGTCCAACAGGAAACTGCATGTGAACAGACTAACCATGATTACCAGATACAGGTGTTCAAAGTGAATGTATAGGATATTCACAGCAGCAGAAGCAAGCTCAAATTCTGAAGGTGGCGATTCACGGGATCTGATAATGGCCAGATATTGTTCGTAGGATTGGGCGCTATAGGCGTACGGCAGCGATTTTTCCCATTCTCTAAGCTCTCGCTTGATCTCAAAAACCCGTTGAATCATTTCATCAAAGAGAACACCATTGGTAGCTCCAACAGAGAAGAAATATGAGTATATCATATGAGATATCTTTGATAATTTAGTTGAGTAGTAAGATAGTCCAAAATATATGAGCTCAAAGTCGCCCAAAAGTGAATTCAGTGCCACCGACACAGTCTGGGGTGTTTCTGAATGAGTTGTTTGATTGTCCTGTTTGATATAATACTCGTTTATGAATTCCAGATAGAATTCGTCCGTTAAAACATCCGTGTCATTCCAATCGAGAAGAGGTTGCTTGGAAAACGACAAACACAATTGGGCATCCAACGAAACGCAACGCGACCATACAGCCATCCTTGTAACAGCCTCTGAGTACGGCAGGTTTTTGAAAGACTCCCTTTGATTCAACCCAATGAGCTGTGCAAATCGTACCGCGGTGCAAAAAATGTTGTAGCCCAATTCGGAGCTTATTTCTGAATTAATATGCTGATACAAGAGGAGCAGGGCTTGTATCGACCTTATACCATCACAAATCAAAGACATTTTATGGAAATAGAACATGGAATTCGCCAACGTCTTTTCCTGCAAATCAGAAAGTCTTGCTTCTGTATCTGGTGCGACTGTGTCCCTTGTGAGATATTGATAGTTTTGGAGGTCATAATTGGTACTGGAACAAAGCGTGATGTTTAAGAGAAGAAGTTCAGAATAAGACATCTTTCCGCCGGCAAAATATCTATCGATTAGTAAGGTCAATTCTTCACCACGCATAACGTTAAAGTCGTTTTTAAAAATCACTTTGGCAAATGATTCTAGTACTCCTGAACATTCTGCCCTCGAAGGAAAGGGAAATGGAGAAGTATTTACAGAGTTGACGTGACTTGGGAGTTCTATGAGCATTTTCATTTTGGCAATATACCATTTGGAAGCACACAACAGCACGTTTTTCAAAGGCATGAAAGTCTTCAGCATGTCAGGTGAGGCGTCGGAGTTATTTGGCATAACGGTCAAGGGCTCGTTTGCATCGCCACCGCTTCCAACTGCGGCTTTGCCTAAAACGGAGGCTGTTTTCTCTTTAAGCCAAATAATTTTTCGACGGGTCAATAAAGAGGTTGTGTATCGTTTACGTTTGACCACTGGAGTTTGCTTCGGGGTGGCGTTATCATCAGTAGGTAAGTTCATCTCAGATGCCGCTAGCCACTTGATCAGAGTCCCCAGCTGCGCTTCCAAATTGGCCAATTTAATTTCTACCTTTGAAGGGTTCCCTGTTGGCTCGTGCTGCTGCGAAACACCTACAGGCTTGATACCCGGTTTTGACCGCTTACGATCATTCTCTTGTAATTTCCCATCTTCTAATTCTCGTCGTTGTCGCTCAAGTTCATCATGATGGTTAAAAGTGCAAACCATGTTGGATTTGGTGCAATTGTCACATTTCCCGGTGATAGCGTTTATGGGTCCACATCGTATTTTGCGTCTACGACAGTAATCGCACGCCTTAGAAACTCTTTTCCGACTTCCACCAGAAACTAAGTCCATTGAAGGATCCGCCATCAACGAAAGATCTAAAAGTGTCGGGTGCACATTTCATGTGGAATGACGACTGATGGTCAAAAGAGACATCTTGATGACTATTGGACATGTCCGGGTAATCATGGATGGTCACCACCCAATTAAGTCGACTTGAGATGGTTCACAGCAGTTAGGCGCCAGCGAAATTTCAGCGCCGTTGAAATCTAGCCGTGCATCTCCCATAGCTTCCATTCACAGAGCAATTGGGCGTTTTCATTTGGCAACGAGAGAGAAACCCAAATTTCCAAATGGCTTTTTGAAAGCTTTTAATAAATCAGCAGTGACCAGAAGATCCCTGGTGTGTTCAAGCTGAAGCTCAGACGACCAATCACAGGTCTCTGCTTCCATTTCTTCGACATGCTTCTTCGCCTTTCTTGGTCTTGTCGCTATGTCGAAAATCCGGCATTGTCGTAGAACCTTTTGAAAAATCGTACTACCAGAGACAATTGGGCCAAACGTGTGTCGAGCTTCTCGGCCTAATTCCGAGCTCCTAGCCTAACCCCAATGGCGGGATATGCGCGGACCCTTCAGCGACGAATCCTTTATAGTTGGTTTCAATTTATTTTGGTGATGTGCTTTTGTACGAATTATTACAACACTCTCCTCAAAAATCGGCCACCAAAATGCGACAGACGTCCACTAAAATCCCTCAAAACCGTTCTCCTGTAAGCTCCATACTTTCCTGGACTCCACTACTGGATAATTCGAGTCCCGTTAAAATCTTACTGATGTCACTTTGTACTAAACTGTCATATTCCCCATATCTCCCCATAAGCGGCTTCCACACACAACTTGGGTCCGCCAAATCCTATTTACATCTAAAATCCCTCCTCTGAATTGCACCATAGCGCCATCTGCTTCCAAACTGCTTCAGCATAAACTCGATTTCCACGTGACTCGTATTGTCATCACTTTATACGAAAACCCCATTTACATTTCTCCGGCGGCTAACAAACGCGACTTTGAACTCACCAAACCAAACAAAGAAACAAGAGCCCTTCCTTCATGTGAATTGTTTTCATAATGCTCACTCACGCTGGCCTGGCTCGTTACATATTCGTTGACGTTGATATCTCTTAGGCTTGTCTTTCGTCACTTTGTTGTCACATGCCCCACATCGTGGATGAAATGCACCCATATTTTATCTAATAAATTAATAATCTGAACAAAAACAAGAATCTCGTATTGCATGATATCGCCAAGTTAATCTGGATAAGAACGGAGATGAGGCCGGAGATGAGACTAAACCATGGACCAACCACTTTTTGAGAGTCGCAATGTTGTCGAGACTGCTCGGATTCGGTGGTTCGCTGTCTAAGAAAGATTTGGGGAAGATTGAGGAAGTTGTGGAGGTCTGTAGCGATGATTGTGGTGCATGTTCGTATGACGATAACGCAGAGGTGTCGAAAGCCGAGGCCAATTACTCTAAATTGAAGATCGATATGGATGGGGCGTTGTTTGGAAGTTCCAAGAGCTCCAAAGTTCATTTCATAGTGCCCACTTCGCAGACAGACTGGGCACACGACGCGTGCAGTGAGAAACGCGGCAGTGTTCAAGACAAACTGGCAACCTGGATTGATAACAACAAGAGCAAGTTTACGAAGACCAAAGCCGCTGGCGACGTGTTACGCTGCAGTGTGTCGTCGTTGCCCATCGATATCATGGACCTGGATGTGATGCGGGGCGAGAAAAACAACATTTTGGTATTGCCGCACTTCCTGTGGATCCAAGACGTGAAAGCGACGCAAATTGGGTCCCTATTGGATGAGTACGTACCACTTTTGGTGGACAACAAACGCGACGAGCTTTTAAGCAAAGAAAACGTCATTGAGGCCAAACAAGAATCGTTTATGTTCCTGTGTTCCCACAAGACGCGTGACAAACGTTGCGGTGTCACTGCACCCGTATTGAAGCGGTTTATGGACCAGGAATTGCAAACTCATGGCCTGTACCGAGACGCGTCGGATTTTTCACCCAATGGGGCGACTGTGGCGTATATAAATCACGTTGGAGGTCACAAATTCGCCGCAAACGTTGTCATATACTTGCGGAAATCGCATTCTATGGTCTGGCTCGCGAGGGTGTCTCCGAAGCACGTCAAAGCTATCGTTGACAACATTATTCTGCCCGACACACCGAAATTGCCATGGCCCGAGAAAGTTCGCTGTGTGGAAAAATATGGAGAGTGGTGAGACTCGTTTATAAATCAGATATAGTGCGCTAATGGTGCAATTAGAGTTCATCATGGGGCTGATCCCGTTGCAGAAGTCGCTCGACGATTTTCAACTTGAAAGGAATGTTGTGGGTTTGCAAGTGGGGCGCGTCGTTGTTCTGCATGATACTTCTGAGTTTATCATTTTCTAGAGTCAGATCTTGGATATTTTCGACGTATTCACGAGTATTATCACACTGCAAATCTAAACCGCACGCTTCTCCACCAAGAACCTTATCAATCAATTCGTTCTCTTCATGATCTTTGATAACTTGGTTAACAAATTTGGTTAGATTTGGCAATTCCCTGCTTCCTTCAAACTCAGCGACTCGATCCAAGTCTAAGTGCCAGGCGGGATTGTGAGACCTGGACAAAAATGTTTTAAAACGGGCCCATAACGAATGTGGTGGTGCACCACCACTGACGGAAGCTTCTTCTTTATCTTCGGTAGTAATCTTAACAGGTCTAATCACTTCAACCATGGGGAAACCAGGCAATCTGTGGCAAATCGTAGAGCCAAACGTTTCACATTCGACTTCTAAAAATGTCACATTGGAATTGGCATAAGCTTCACTCAATTCTTCGAACACAGGTGCCAATCTTTTGCAATGTGAGCACCAATTAGTGTAATATTTAACAACCGTGTAATTACCACTATTCACAGTATCGTAAAAGAAGTCCAGAGAATGAACATTAAACACTTGAGCCGCAACAAAAACTGGGCATATCAGGGCCAAAAGAGCCGCTCTTATGTACATTTTCTTGGTGACCTTTCCGTCTATTCTAAGTGATTAGTTAGCCAAATGGCGAAATGGCGAAGATGGGATGGAACTCGTCCAATACGACTATCAACATATTGGTCCATTAATGCTTAAACAACCTATATAAGACGAAGATATCGACATTTCCTAGTCGTCGGTCATTTGAAATTCGGTGAGATATTCGCTTGGATCCATTTCCATTAACTCTAGAAAAGCCTTGTTGTATTCGTCAGTTGCCTCGGTACTCATGGATTTCATAATTTCATCGGAAAAATCTTCTGGTCCCATTTGAGACCAATTGTGTGCGATTTCCACTTGAGTTCTAGTTTGTAGTCCAACCTGAAACACGGCTCTGTTGACCCTTTCGAGTGCCATTGTCGTTACAAAGACGTGAGATCTCCATAAGACGCGAGCCATGTTATCACATTCGGGTTTCAACATCTCGTCAAAAATGGAACAGAACTTGTTGAAAACTCCTCGAAACGAGAAAAATTGACCGTCAGGTACTTCAAGAGTGGTCAAATCCAAGTCGAAGATGCCTTCGTCTGTAGAAACGATCAGTCCCTTTTCGAATAAAGTCACTTTGTAGAAAAGAAGTCCGTATAACTCGGTCAAAGCTCTGAAAGGTGCAGAGTTTAGCAGCAACACGGACAAATTCGTATAAGGCGTGAGATATCGGTATTTGCCATAGATCATGGTTGAATGTAGTTTCCGATCCATTTCAAAACAGCCTCTAACCGTTGTAACCGCTAGCGAAATGGACAAAATCACGTATTTGATAAATCCGTTTTTCGTCGCGGTCTTCATCTGGCATTCCAGCATCCTTGTTAAACTGAAACAGTTTGCGACTATGGCCAGCAATTGGGATAAAATGGAGATATCGAACAAGTCGACCTCTTGGATCAAATCGACATCTGTGTAGTAACGAATGGGCCGGAAATGCTTTTCGATGAATGTGGTCAGGTTCGAGACGAGGTGGACAATTTGAGGAGTTTCATTTTTGTCGTAAAGTGTATGCATGGTCTTACGGGCAATGTGGAGATAGTTTCGGAGCAGGCCCTCGCGAGTCTTGGATTCGCAGGGCAGTCTGTTGTCATCATAACGGCAAGAGTCAATGATCAAGGGGAAACCTCTATCAAAGGAGACATTTACATCCGCAAACAAAATCCAGTACCACATGGAGTGTAACGTTTCAATTCTGGTACCGCCTCGTAGTTCTTCATTGGCGTACAAGTTATCTATGTCCATGTGCATTCCCAGCGAAAGCGCGGTAGCGCATAAATTGGACACCAACCCCCACATTTGAGCACAATTTTTCTCAATGTGGCCATTGTACAGTTTGAGAATATAAAGCATGAGTAGGAACTGCACACGCTCAACACACGAGGTTTCAATCGCATACCAACCGCACAGGAAAGTTATCAGTCGCTCGAATGAAGGCGGTATGTCGGTCTTGTAGTAAGTTAAGCACAGCACAATGAGCACAATGGCGGGGGCATAAATGGTCTTATCATTGCCCGATAGAAGCATGACAATAGGTTTACCTTGGACCGATGCATCCGTAGGCAAGTACCCTGGTACAAAACAGCGCTCGAAATCGGCCATTACTTTGGCCTCGTCTAAGACATGGTAGTGGTCGTGTAGCGGGCTCTGGAAGAAAAGTTGTAAATGGTCTTTGATAGTGTCGAAAGTCGGCAAATCCGCGACAACCGCATCCAGAATCGAACCTGAAAGTGGTTGCTCTAGCAAGGCTTGATCAAACGTGAAAGGTTGCCCTTGGACAACTTTCCAAGTTTCAACTTCGTTTTGCACCCTTTGCCACACTTTGTTGTACTCATAGATAAATTGCTCTCCAGAGGCCAACATTGCGGCTCCAATCGAAGTGGCTCCACGTAACACGATCCCACCTTGTACGTCTTTAAGCGTGCGAAACGAAAGGAGCTTGTTACCATGGCCGCAACTGGGGTTTATACTATTGTGATCCATCCCCATTAACGTTGTCGTTACCGGGTCGCACTGGAGGCCACTGCACGAAGTGGCAGCTGCGCTGCCGATGCTACTGCCACCGCTCGCGGTACTGCCCGAACTCGCCACGCTACCGGGGAGCCCGTGGCCATCCGGTTCGTACGGAACAGCATCTACGGCCGTATCTGCGCAATCGTCTAGCGTCGTGGACGCTAGTACTCGTTCGAGTTCCCGGATTCTTTTCATGAGCGCCACGTTCGGACTGCCACTGAAAAGCTCTTCGGAGGTCAACTGGAAGTTGAACCCGTCTGTGTAAAAACATTCAGGTAACTTACGCGCTTTACAGGACCCGCACATTGGTTTTTGCTGGTCACATTTCAATTTTCGCTGTCGACAAAACGTACAAGACCTTACCGTCTTACGTCGACGACGAGCCCCAGCTGACTCTATTTCTAGATTAAATTTATCTTTGCGAGCTATACCCATGATGATCTTGGAGGCGAATAGCGGTAATAAATTGGGTGGCGAACCTGCGCTGCAGTGGTTGGTAGAATTCCAAACTCATCGGAGTCGAAGATGGCTTTATTACAACAATAATAGTGGTTAAGGAATGTCCGCCTTAGAACCGAGAAGGAATTATAAGGGTCTTGTGTCGTGCATGGTGACGATGTACTTTCGGAACTCGGAAGCGTTAAAAAGAAAAGCTGAGATCGTGATGTACGGGAGAGGTCGTTTAGTTTTACGAATATCGCTCTACACGCACATCAATAAAGCTACGATCAGGGTATGTTACAGAGGTGCGCCAGCGTCGAAGGTCGAAAGATTCCAGGTTGCTCCTTTGGGGTTTGCCGTCGTCGGTAGCCAGTTCTCCTACAGATTGAAATCCTTTCGTTCGGTCCTTTTACAGTCATCGCGGTCACGTGACAGTGCCACGACACTCTTCCTCGCCATCTTCTTCAAGGGTCAACCGGTTAGGCATCAACACTTCAACCATGTCAGCAGTGATTTCCGAACTAGACGGCATCAAGCTTCCTGCTTAGTATAGACGTATAATGGAACTTCAACAAGGTTTGAGTTTCACTGGCGAAACAATTTCTTCAAAAAACAAAACATTAGAAGCATGGCGCGCTCGGTGCTATTGAAATATTTATGCTGAGGTAATGCGAACACATTTTATTACGGTAGTAGCAGGGTACCTTGCAGCGTTTGTTTCGCTTTGCCATTCACCATATTCAAATACGAAAATTAAGAGCTTTATCATCCAAGAGTAGCGCAGGAAGACAGAAACCAGAAATTCAGAATGGCCTTTTCATATAATGAACTTTGCGCACTTTTTTCCCTGCGCGTTTCCTTGTATCACAAATACGCTTGAAGAACTCTAAATTGAGGAAAAGGGCAGGCTCCCGCCTTGGAATTGAGGAAGTGAGGTCGGCATTCACTTGTGGCTTTCGTATGATATTTACTCTTTTGATAGTGCCCGTGGGCGGGTTTGTGTTGCTGTACTTTTTTTATCCTTTCCCTCTCAAGCTTGATGAGCAGTATCAATCGATTTGCAGCATAATTATTGCGCCCACATGTACCTATTCAATAGCTACAGCCGTCTGGTACTTCTGGAATTGCAAAAAAACGGGTTTCTGAGCTCGATCTTGGCGAACCCGATTCAGAAAAAGTCTGAAACTGGAGCAGCAATGGGATAAAAAGAGGCCTGAAATTTGTGTCATACATCTTTATACCACCACGTTCATGGTTGGTCTTGCATGTGTATTTTCCTTCTTTTATTAATGAGATTTACCACCAACGGTGGGCTACAGATTCTTGAACCGTTGATTAAATTCGTTCTCAGTTGGTCTGACTAATGAGGCAGACAAGGACTTGAGTACTTGTCTCTCCGTATCTTTCTTGGCTCCATGAGCATCACTGAAATCATCTGATGTCCTTGGCCTCATCTTAAGTTCCGCCTTATTTTAATCCGTCGTCGTGATCACGTGATACTGAGACGACAATATCCTATCTCGCTATCTCCTTCCGACAAATTCAGAGGAAAGTATTGAGCTGCATCGACTAGCTTCAGAGTCTACCACTAGTTAGATCTGTTGGGGATCACTAACGTCGGTGACTGATAGTTTTCCAAATCGATATTTAAGTTCTTTCTTATACTGAGGTTTACCAGAATCGGTGGTCGGCATTTTTCCTAATTGTTCAGCCGTGTCGTTCATAGTTGATCTTCATAAAGAAAATCAGATATTCAGTATTTATATATCTCCGTGTTTGATACCATGACCATATCATAAGTGGTCAGGTCGTCTACTTTTCTACAGGTTTCGCCGTATCTATTGTTTTCGATATCTTACCTGCAATGAGTGTTCGTAAATATTTTCCTCTTGTTCCATTTATCTTACCAATGCCGGCAGGTCTTAATTTAAAGTGACGGTTTCATGTCCATCTTCAACATTTCCTTCATCTTGAAACCCTTCTGTAGATTCCTATCCAATTCAACCATAATTCTTATTTGATTCTGTCATTGTGATCTCGTGATCTTGTAATTGGGATAATTCAAGTCGACGATAGCACATCTCGCTTTTTCTCCCCCACTATCTTCATTGAGCTTTGACCGACTTCAACACTGCGGCATCCCAGCTGTAAGTATCGATAACTTGTACATGGTATGACTGCTTGGGACTCATCAAATCTTTGATTGAGGTACGTTTTTCGTATATTGTGGGACGCCGATGTGATGGCGCTTGTCTAAGACTCCTTATAACATTTTTGGGACATTGCTTTCTACCCTAGGACCTTTCAATTGACGCCATAAGGCTTATATGACTACTGGAGTTGGCCGGGTCAGTGGTGGACATTTATTGAAATGCTCACTCAAACTGTTCGCAATTTTTTGGATTGTAAATATATCGAGGATTCAATATCTGTATCTCTCCGTGATTATCCTGATAACATGAACACTGTACAGCTGGTCATATCCCCGCATTATACTACATCAAGTCCTTATATTAACATCGCTCATGGCTGGATTTCAGTGGTGTGATGGTTCTAAAATCATCCTTGGAATCACTCGGACTTTCTACTATATACTCTGTCATCGCGGTCGCGTGATAATGCAACTTGGCATTATCACTTGCACGCCGTCTCCGTCTAACAATAACAAATATTAGGGATTCAGTGATTCATAAACATAAAATGTCACTTTTTTGCCAACGTATTATAGTATATGAATTTAAACTGTTCAATAGTTACAATATATTATATTAATTTCAAAATTCTACTTGAGTAATTATTGTATCACTCCATAGATCCACTATGTTAAAAGCTATAGCCATTATTATCAATTTGACCATTCTCGTGCTATGATCAGAAAACATGCGAGTAGTTTACATTTTTTTACTTTCTTGTATCTTCCCATGTATGTCTTTAAATTGCATCTACAATTAACTTAAAATAAGATTTAACTGAGTAATTCTATATCGTTCTTTCATTAAGATAAAAACCAAAACCAGAGCCACAGAGCCCTACTACTTATATACTTAAATACTTGCCAGTTGCTTGAATGCTAAAATGCTTGCTTCGAGCACTTTGGCAGCCCACCTTGGGCAACAGCGTGGAATCATCTGGTATGGCATCAAGTCCTGGGTTTAGTCCACCTTCAAGTACTCCAAGCCGTGTCTAGTCCACCTTCAAACATTCCACGCCCAATACATCAGTAGACGGTATCAGAAATTTTTGGCAACAATACTCGAGCCATGCCTTGCTCAATTCCACGCAAAACTCACCCGAGCCTTGCCTTCACCGCGCCAAGTCGATGCTCGTTTCGCCGTGCCATTTTCCCTTTCGCGGACGCTTCCAGCTCGCAATTGTTGCGGGAAACCGCGAGTGATGGCTCATGATGGGAGCTTGATATGGTCGCAGTCGCTTACCGGTAGCGGAAAAGCGCTGCTTTTTTTTCCGCTAGTTAGCAACAGTGCGCCGCCCTCCCGCCCGATGCTTCACTAGTATAAGTCGACAACCCTCAGTGTACTTCTCGACTCTTTCGCACGCATCGCAATCACCTTCTCGCAATCACTAAGATGCCCTTCCAAGAAGATTTCGCCGTGGAACGGTTTATGGACGAGTATGAGGAAACCGTCGAGTTCAACGCTGCCGAGAGCTGCTGCCATTCGCTGAGCCTGAACCAGCTCTTCGAGCTAACAGGCGAAAAGTTTGAGTTTGATTATTCAAAAAGGTTCACGTACGGCTCGATTCAAGGTACCCCTGCGCTGCGTTCGCTAATAGCGCAAATGTACTCCAACTCTGACGTGAAGCTCACGAAAGAGAACGTTTTGATTACCAACGGTGCCATCGCGGCCAATTTTTTAGTTCACTACGCCCTGGTGGGCCCCGGTGACCACGTCATTTGCTTGGCCCCCACGTACCAGCAGCTCAGCAGCGTGCCCCGTATGTTCGGCGCAGAGGTCGACCTGCTCCATTTGAAAGCGACAGACGCGTTTCTGCCCAACCTGAATGAGCTTGTTGCCATGATTAAGCACAATACCAAGCTGATAGTGCTCAACAGCCCCAACAATCCGCTCGGCAGCGTCGTTCCTACACAATTGTTGAGGCAAATCGCAGCGGTTGCAGAGGAAAAGGGCATCGTGGTTCTCTGTGACGAGGTCTACAGTCCTCTGTTCCACTCCTGCCAGCAACCTAAGTCGTTTGCACAAATAAGTACCCTTGGTGCCGTCACGGGTTCCATGTCCAAGGCTTACTCGGCCGCTGGTATCAGAATCGGATGGATAGTTTCGCAAAACGCGCAGCTTTTGAAGCAGGCTGCGTCCCGCAGGGATTACAATACTATTTCTGTCTCTATGGTCGACGATGCCATTACGCGCTACATTCTCAGCCATCGCGATGCAATATTGAAGCGCAACCTCGCACTATGCAACGAGAACCTGTCAATTATGAGAACTTTCATCGCAAATTCGAATAGGAAGTTCTCCTTTGTGCATGAGCCCCAGGGAGGCTCCGTGTGTCTAATTTACATCAACGGCGTTCAAGACACGGATTCTTTCGCTCGCACACTAGCAGAAAAGTATAAAGTCTTGTTTTCGCCTGGGGAATGTTTCGGGGTGCCGGGGACCCTTCGCGTAGGGCTGGGAAACTCTACTCACGAACTAACCGAGGGTCTACGGCTCTTGCGTGCAGCCTACGACGAGTACATTGATATTTGAAGTTCACTGCATGTGGTTGCATCAACATGGTTCGCGCGCCTTCTCTCTTTGGAGCCTTCTTTGGCTTGCCCTTTTACATGCCAACTTGATTATCAACTCGAGATTCGCAATGCTTCAAGCTGCATGCGAGGGACATCAAAATTCTCATTTCCACCGTCATGTCCCAGTCGTTTGAATGGAACGCACCGTGAACGTTTTTCTTTACAACTTATAACCAGTGTGGGCAGTGATCGCCTATGTCCCCTGTGATTGTCTCGATAGCTAGTCTGTCCTCGTGGGTACGTTATCTGTTGGCACCTTGTTCGGGATCCACTTATTATACTCTCGGGGAGCCGTACACTTGAAACCTCATCCTGGAGTCCTATTTTGAGTAAATTAAATTAAACATTGTCTATTTGGGTTTGAGATCGCCAAGCTAACTCACTAAGTTGTACGCATATGTGGGGCGTGTTCAGCCTCTCGTGGGATTGACTACTTGTCCTGTCTATGAACATTATTCTGTCATGTCTAGCACGTGGACTGGCCTGCCCATAGTATCAAGATCTTAATAGATCGAATACCATGGCATTTGAAAGACATCCAGATAAAGCCAGCTGCCTTTTGAGTCGTTGTTTATCACTGCGATGAATTTTACCAAATTCACTTGGCTCTAATCGCAAAAGTTTATTGATTTCTACTCTATTATCTCAAATTCCATGGAGATTCTTTCCATCCTAAAGACTCTTTAGATCGCAAATGCTCTCATATCTGGCATTATGAGTTTAAGATTGATTGCTCACATACCTTGCTAATTTTTCTACTAATCCAATCTTCAAAGACTTGTACGTTGCAGATTTTTGAATCCGGGAACCGTATTTATGGCATAGGTGGCAGATGTCGTTCACTCCAGCAGCTAGAAAAAGGCCGCAAATAAACTATTGCTCTCAGATTTACTTAGAAAATGGCTTCTTAGATGTGTCACTTTCCAAACGTGCAGTGGAACCTTAACGATTGCATCTTTCAGGAAAAATTACGGGATAAGAACGGTTATGTATTAATGCACAAGCCGGCTTCTAATCATGCATCGTAACACTTTCAAGAGAGGATAGTCACTAAGTTTGAGCCTGTTGTTTCGAACAGTTTTTTGTCGAAGCTGTCGATCCGACAATGAGATAAAACATGTCAACAATAACATTGAAATGCGCCAGTTCGAGCTTTGTAAAAACTCGTTTGACTCTTTTATACTAGTAAAAGAGCAGGTTTTCAATGCAAAAACCGTTATTGAGGGTACATTTTGTGACTTTTGTATAATTAATCAAAGCTCTGTCACTCTATGATGCTAGTGGTAGTAATTCCTACGCTTAGGCTTCTTGAAAAAATGCGACGAGTAATTTCCCCAAACATGAAGAAATCACATTCATTGATGTAGATTATTTCCAATCTTTTCTACAAGACGGTCATATGTGTTATTATCTCTTTCAAGATATATGCTTATGATTATATGAGTCTTCCATCGTTGTTCATGTCGTATAAACTCTCAGCTCTTCTAGCATCACCTTTCGTTTTCGAATGATCGCCTGAAAGATCTCACCGCCTCTCCAAATGCCTCTGATTATAGCTTTGTTCTATATGCAGACCCAATCAAGTCACTTGTTCTATCATCCGTTGCCAGTACAGTGTCATCCAGGCTTGAGTTTCCTCAAAATCAATCATAAAAGGCTCTCAAGCCGCTCGTCAAATTTGAAGCCGCATGCAACATCAGTCGTATGACCAAGCTTGTTCAATCAACTTGATGTTCTCCAATTCTTCATCAGAGAATCGAAAAGAAGTACCCTCGGTTTCAGCAAGATCATCATAGCCGCACCATAAATACCCGCTACAGCTTTTTTCCTTCTTAAATCCGCCCTTAGAAGATTTGAGACCAAAGAATGAAGACCGAACACGAGTCGGAATTACGGCACCGTCGATTGTCACGGGCGAGAGATAAAAGGTTTGCAGATCTGCTTCGGAGTTAAAACTTTTCTGTAGTGACTTTATTTTCTTATAATCTTGGGTCCATGTCATCTTCTTACACCTTCTGAATCCGCCGTTTAGCCATAACAGTTGCTTGTTATCGCTGAAATGAGCCAGCTGAGTAGCGCACAAATAGTTGCAAGAGTTAATCGTTCCCTCATTTAGAGTTCCTACCGCTCCTCCAAAATTCGAGTTAAAACGATAGTTCTCATTGCCAGAAATGGATTGGCCAAGCCAAAACAGCTCTTTGTCTCCCCAAACTGGCTCGCTTGAAACTTTCCATAATTGCAAGACGCTAGATATCAACAAGCCGGTCATATGGGTTTTCTTCTCTAACAGTACTACACCGCTTTCCATTAAGTGGCGGTATCGAGAACTAAAAAAAGGATTGCCCAGAGTGTAATTGGTGACCTCCCTTATGCCAAAGACACGGCCTTCGCCCCTGGAAGGCAGCAATTGCCGGTAAAACTCGATCTCGCGACCCTTCACACGCTCGTTTATCAGTCTATCTTTGAAGAAAAACGCACCTGTCTCTTGATAGCCTGCAGCATCAAATAATGTTCGAGGATCGACGAATGGGACTGAATCTGCATCCATCAAAATCATTTCGTCGAATGAATTGAACAAGGACGCAATCCATTTGTTTGAAAATCGCTGAAATAGATCGACACTGTTCGGTTCTAGCGCTTGACGAGCATTGACGAACCAGATGTCCTGTGGATTTCCGGAGTTTCCATTGTGAGAAGCTTGTAAAAAAGGCATCGCGTTCCTTCCAGCTTCTATTAGAGCCGTAACTGTAGAGTCTGAGATGTCACCTTTGTGTACAAATTGAATGGGAAGCGTGTTATTAACTGCTCTCAGAGCTCTCAAAAGCCTCTTGGCGTCGTCCACTCCAGATTCACCCAGGCTGACAACAATGCCACGGCCATTGTAAGAACGCTGCGTACTTTTCCAAAATGAACTTGCAGGAAACAAGGGACTTCCTTCAATGGAAGAACCCGAACTTGGCGTCTCGAAATTAGGAAAGCTTTCCAAAGTAAGTCCGTCCCATCTGGTAAAAGTGGGATGCAACCCAGTAAACTGCGGGAACAATCTGTGCTCGATGTCCCCAAGATCAAGATCGCTAGTTGCAGCTGAGTTCCTCAGGAAACAGTGGCCGAAAATTCGCAAATGACGAGTAGAATCTATCACCGATGCCTTGGAGGAGCCATGATTCGCAATGTCCTGAATCGACCAATTTTTGTTTTTCTTGTAAAGCAGTGCAAAGTATTCACTGCATGCTCTGTCAAGGGAGAAATCTTCACTTGATTGTAAGCCCGGTAGTCCGTTTTCTAGTGCTTTGATGACCTTGTTTGTGGAAACTCGGTTGGAAGCCCAGTAGCTCCACGTGAGATGCAGAGAAAAGATAAACCCTAGAACGAGCATTATTCCAAATAACTGGCGCTTGGCTCGCCTAAGCTTCGGCAGATGTGCCATCGGCTCTCGAATGGATTCAGGAATTTGGACTTGCATCTTGTGCTATCTTTCAAACCGCTTCAAATATTCAACGAAGCCTTAACGGAGATGCAGCTCGCAATGCGAGTTTGCCAACTGAAAAAGGTGATTTGAAAACTCTATTTATAGAAAAAACCGTTAAGCCTGGTTTGATCTCCATTACCGATCCCACGTTAGGAGCAAACTGCCACCTTGCTGGCCGGAGTGCATTAAATGTAATTTTGATATGTTGTGTAGCTCAATTTATTGATTATTACTTCTAAAATTCATGATCTGTAAGTTGGGAGTGCGTGTAGTATCGAGCCCCGGTCGCGAAACATGGATCGTGGCATGACTTCTGTGCAAGAACTTGTGGTTTTGAAACTTCCGCAGGGTAAAGATCTACGTTGGCTAGTTACTTCTCTCCAGATTTTCTTACGACTTGTCTGTCAATTAAACTAGAGTTATAAGATTACCATCTGGAATAATTGTGAGAAACACTTTTTGAAAATTTTCCTTACACATCTCAAACTTTAACCACTGTATATATACTGGGCAAAGTGTGGACACTGTAAAGCTTTGCCGGGTTTCAGCTTTTTGCTGCGGTTCCGATGAACTTAACAAGGTTTCTATTGTGGATATATACTTCGCACATCTCAATTGCCTGTTTTTCCTTTCAAACCCACCCTAACACACTCTTTCCAGTGCGTTCGGAAACAAGCGTGCCAGAGCTTGGGAAAGGTCTATTTTGAAAAGAGGATCCCGGCCGATGTGTAGTCGTCAATTAATCTCACGACAAAACGGCAATATTCTTTGCGTCTCCACCATTGTCATGACGGTCTGATGCAACTCAGAGAAGCCTATAAATGCACTAGACCTGTAATTTGAAAGGTTTTTGCGAAGCAAGCATCACTTATTTGGTCCCTCGCGGCTCAAGCAGTCCACCCGGACGACGGTTGCAGTCGGTGCCTGATGTGGTGCCTGATGTGGTGCCTGATGTGGTGCCTCCCAGTAATGTTTCAATCATGTTGAATGGCGTGCCTTGAGCGACATCTGTATGGAAACTAACCTCATTAGAGTTTCCGTGGGTAGAAGACGCTAGCACATGGTTTTCTGAAAAGCGAGATCTGGAGAAGATGTGAACTAATTTGTGATATTTGGTGTCTGTGACGGCCCGCACCTGCAAGGTTGACATGTTTGCCGGTTAATTCTGAAAAAGATGGTACAAGAGTAATTAAGAGCTCGATCCGAGTTCCTGGAAACTCGCGGGGCTTGCAATTTATCAAAACCATAATGCGTCTCTTGGAAGCCCTTGCAGGTCCTATAAACCCCAAAGACGAAACGCAAGCGATGTGCAAAAGGCGACAGATTTCATAATAGCTGTTAAAAAGGTTAAGCTCGCTACCGAGCTGAATTTGATAGGCAATTAGGTTACTGGAATTATCAGGCGGGTAGAACGACCTGACATCATCTGGTTCCGCCATTAAATGAGCTCCACATACCCGTCATAGATCCTGCCACTCAAAACTTGCATAAATCTCTATGCAAATTGGCTTGGCATCGATCGATACAAAAGCTGTGTATCAGAAAATGAATTTTTAGAATTCCCAGAGAGCCGTCGTCTATGGTTTACTTCCAGCTTTTAGCATGTTTGGTTGCCTCGTCTATTGAATCTTACATGTATCAAGCAACGGGCAAACGAACTATCGCCAGAGTCGTGGGAATTTCTCGATCTGTCTCTCTGTCGTTTATCTGAGCTGCGTCTAAACAGGAGAAATTACAGAAACGGGGACAGGATCCCATATGAGGTTTGGTAATTTGCCCGGGATCTCTGATGCGGGGTGGTTTATCGTCAGAATCGCGTTCCCGCTGATGCCTGAAGCGCTTTGCCCTACAGTGGGTACTTCAGGTCCTGGAGTGGGTTTATCTGGGATGCCTTGTCGTTTCGGTTCTGATTTCAACTGAGAGAGATCGGCGTGGCGTGATCCCGTTTGCAAACCTGAAACTTTTTGGCGTTCAGTAAGTCCTACTTTCTGGAGCGGAAGTTTGTGGTTTTAGCCCTCGGGATATGGTTTGCCGAGAACTCTCAGGCTGCATCTTCCACGCGCTTTGCAACGAACTCTTGATGTAAAGAGGCTCACGTCATTCAAGAGATTGTGAAGTGAAGAAATAGAGGAACGAAAGTCGGGAAAGGCTGGCGACGAAATTAAGAGATGTTGTAGTGAGTCAGTTCGTTCCCTCCAAAACCTCAGGCCTCGCGAAACATTTTTGTCGAAGCGGATCGTGGCGGATATGGTCGTATTTCTGAACATTTATATAGTTTAAGATTTTTGGGCGACTCTGCTATCCCGTCGTGTCAAAACGTTACTAAGTGTATACAGTTTTGCAATTTCATATGATTTCTAACATGTAAACAGAAGTCAAGTTCCTCTTATTAGCACATCGGAATGTCATGTGCGATTGATTTGCCACGGGCGACTTCCCTTCTTGCAGCGGCTCGATCAATCTGTTAAGATTTACTGACACTCCTCGACGATAGCTCGGCAGTTCAACAACAAAGACACCTAAAAGTTGTTTTCTCGAAGGAGGGACTCTGTAGAATTCAGCATCTGCACCGCTGGAAAGCACTCTTTTTCTTGTTAATAACGCATTTCGATTAGTTAGCGGGTTTCAGTCAGCTTTGTATGGCTCCTGATTTAAAAGTGCGATCCTCAGATGAGTATTGCGATGACTCGACTTCGACCGCGGTATGACTGTATATCAATTGAGAGTCTGGAGCTTCCAGAGGGAGGAGCCGGTCTTGTTCAATGTGCTCAGGTTTCTCAGGGATGACCGCCGGTATGAAGAATGATTCACACCTTCGGGCTTTTATTTCACCAACTAGCGTAAGAGATGTTCTTTGGGGTATCGAAGATTTTCTCAAATTAGCTCCCATCGAGCTGATCCCCATGGAAGCGTAGAGCCGATGATGGATCCTCATCAGATGCCCATGGGTGTCGTAGCGGCGCGCTTGTAGTACTTAGGATTTGGCGACTCCAAACATCTGGTGTTTTTGGGTGGAAGTATAACCTTATTTGCCGCGAAAAACCGGTAGGCGTTGGGTGGTGTCCTGAGTTACTGGCGGAAAAGTACATCAGGCGTCTCAATATATTAATATTTGCTGAAGAGATGGGAACAATTCGGTAATGTGACTAGGGTTTGAATGTCCCTGAGGTGTCTGTATAGGGATAAAGTTTTTGTGCGGGTTTCGCCTAGTGCTGGCATAGACTTTGGCCTTTGGGAGAGTATTTCGATACACCAGTAGGCAGTGTTGTTAAGTTTTGGTGATATCATAGAGTCTTTACATGGCGAAGGCGGGTCAAGCATTGACAGGGCATGTAGGAAGAAGTAGGGCTATTGAGGAAGAACTTGAGGGGGGACTTGAGCAAGGACTCAAGCAGGGTGTGCAGGGAAATGAAGAGTTCTAGACGGATTTCACGGCAGAAGAGTTGAATAGACTCATACCACGCGACTTTTATGACAGAGTGAAGCTCAAGGTGGTAATTATAACAGAAAGAAACGTTAGAGTGAGAAGTTCAAGGGGCTCATAAGAGGATAAGCCCTCGAAGGTTGGGATGAGGTTAGCGTTGGATGGAGTTTACGGCGGATGGTATCGGTAAGTGGCACTATCTACTATTGTGATCACGTGACCTCGACAACCGAATACATGAGAGAACTGCAAGATATCTCAGCAGGGGTCACGGAATAGGCCCTTGAGCAGTAACTGGCGACTCAAGGTGGAAACTTGCCGTTTTGTTACCGAAAATAGCGGGTATATAAAGAAGACGAGGCGTTCACGGAGATCTAAGTATTCGATGCGTGATGTTCTTTATGAGGACCAACTATGAACGAATGGGATGTCACTTCCACGTTTATCAATGCCCGACACCGGTCATCTCAGCACTCGAGTGATATAAATATGTTGGAAAGAGATAGGAAGTGATATCGTGTAGTTGCACTGTCACGTGACCACAATGACAGAATGAAATTAGAGCAAAGAACAGCCGATTGGCATTCTGTGGAAGAACTAGAAGCTAAAACGGGTCCATTGGCAGTTCTAGAATCTTCAAAACATCGTAATCAGATCATATGTAGTATGATGAATCACGTACGATGAGAATTCGCCGTCTAGTATGAAGAAAGTAACGCAGATGTTTTGATCAGTCATACAGTGGCTATATCTTCCAGATAACCACGGAGAGATATAAGCACTCAATTCCTTATGCGCTTTACTATTTAGATTAACCATGAACGAATCAAATGAGCAGTTCAGAAATCTATCAACCACCGACACCGATTTTCCTCAATACTTACATACTCTTTTGGATCAACTATGAACGATTCAAGTGAACAATTCTAAAACCCGTCGGCCGCCAGTGCAGGTCAACCTCAACAGAAACTTAGAACCCTTATTATACTTCTGTCTGGCAGTTCAACTTGTTGACACATCTCCCTAGCATTTCCCTGGCCTTGCACTGTTTGTCAAATATCGGAATCACCGTTCCCATCACTGGAGCCCATACACCCACACCCCTTTTCAAAACCCAAACGGCAGCCACTAGCGAGACGTTTTCGTCGCAAGTGACCTCGCTTTCTCCTTATTTCCGTCTTACACCCACCCTGATGTCTACCCTCTTATATCCGTGTTAAACGCGTTCTAGACCCCGTGCTGCCGCTGAACTTAACTTCTGTACGGAGATTTCTAAGCCAAGTGTCTTATTTCCGCACATTTCCGCCCAGGTCACCGTCAAAAGTTACCAACTGTCCAGTTCGCCTATCTCCGCCTTGGCGATGAGCCCTGTTTAAAGACAACAGCGGATATTAAAGTGGGAAAAGATCTAAGGGCTACTGGTGAATTTCAATTAAAGGTGCAATCTCTAGCAAGAACACGGAGAAGCGGATATAAGTATTGGAAGACTCTGTCGGTGATTTGTATAAGAAGGAGGTGTTTTACTTTATCGGCTGAATCACACAAGAAAGATCGTTTTTAAACCACATCAGTTAGACAATTATCGATCCAGACTGATCCACATTAATATTCTTTGACTATGAACAAGTTTGCGCTTGTATGTTGTATGGCGTCGTTGGCGCTGACGTTGTTTCTGGCAGCGCTAGACATCGTGATCGTAATCACGTTGTATGACACGATCGGCCAGAAATTCAACGACTACTCCAGTATCGGGTGGCTCGTGACCGGGTACTCGCTGCCTAACGCGCTGTTCACGCTGCTGTGGGGCCGGTTTGCGTCTCTCTCGGGGCTCAAAACGAGTCTTGTAATGTCGATTTTGATTTTCGAGCTGGGGTCCCTCATCGTCGCGGTGTCGACCTCCATGGGCATGCTGATCGGCGGCCGTGTCGTGGCCGGTTGCGGCGGCAGCGGTATCCAGTCGCTCGTTTTTGCGGTGGGCACTTCGCTTGTACAGGAGAAAAATCGCGGGTTGGTGATCACCGCGCTGGGACTCGCGTTCGCCATAGCGTTTGCAGTCGCGCCCATTATCGGCGGCGCGTTCACGGAAAACGTCACGTGGCGTTGGTGTTTCTACATCAATTTGCCCGTGGGTGGCCTGGCGCTTTTTTTGCTGCTGTGCACCTACAATCCAACCGGGAAACCCTGGACCCACACCGTGCGCGACAATGGCCGCGCTGTGATCCGTGCTCCTTACGGAAACCTGTTCCGGGCCAAGTTTTGGCACGAGTTCTCGCATTTGCTGTTTTTCAAACTCGATTTCATCGGATTCGCACTCTCTTCCGCCGGGTTCGTGCTTTTTTTGCTCGGTTTCACTTTCGGGGGCACTCAAAACGCATGGGACTCGGGTACCATCATCGCTTACATCACCGTGGGTGGCATACTCATTCTCCTGTTTGTCTTATTCGATTTCGTTCTGCTTCCTTGGTATGGCCGGCGTAACGAACATTTGCCAGTGAGCCCACTTTTGTCCTGGTCCATGTGCAAGATACCGGGCATTTTCACCAGCTCTTTTGCGAATTTCTTCTGCTGTTTCGCCTTCAACATGCAGATAGTCTACATCGTCCAGTTCTACCAAATCGTTCACAATAAGGGCCCCACCGCGGCCAGTATGCACATGTGGGCATTTTTGGTGCCCGTAATGCTATCCATTATCATCATGGGGAAAGTCAACCAGAAACTGGGGCTCATCAAACCGGGGATCGTTGTAGGTGTCGTATGCGGCGTTGCTGGCTCCGGCGTTCTTACCTTGATCTCGAACGACTCCACCACGGGCCAAGTCATTGGCTACAGTATTATGCCTGGTATCGCTTTCGGTAGTATCATGCAGGGCTCTTTGCTCAGTGCCCAAGTACAGGTCGAGAAGTCCGACCCACTTTTCCACCCCAAATTCATCGAAGCCACTGCGATCAACACGTTTGCCAAATCCCTAGGTATGTCCTTTGGCGGTATTTTCGCAACTATGGTCTTCACCAATTCCGTGCATGACAAATTCGTCCAACATAACCTCGATTTGTCCGCTTACGGATCCGTCGAGGGCCTCATCGTCGCCTCCGAGCACCACTACCAAGGTCCCGACAGTCTCGTGGCCAAGATTATCACGGATGCAATCAGAAATGTGTACTACGTGTCCCTGGGTTGCTCGGCGATCTCGTTCATGTTCGGAATTTTCTCCTCCAATAAGCGCCTATTCTACAAGCAACCCCAAGACTTGGAGAAGACCGAGACCCAGGACACAATCGGGAAGAGAGAATCGGATTCCGCGCCCTCTTCTGGCCAAGAGGATAGCCAATTGGACGGCCAAGAGGAGTGCGTAGCTGAACCCAAGTTGGACATCTCGTCAACCCGATAGTCACGTGTCTACTTCCCAAATTCCCCCACGGTTTTCACCGACCGCTCCCAGTACCAACGGTCCGAATCCCGAGTCTATCTCAACTCTGTCGTTCCCGCGGGTGCTGGAAGAATTCCAACCGGAAGACTGCGTTTCGCATCGTCTAAGCTTCTTCTTCTTCTCCTTATGGAAGGTCACCGCGAGCTACTGTCACGTGATCGTCGGGATAATTAATGGCATGTGATAGCGAAAATCTCAAACTCTTTTGGGAAAGTCAAAAAAGTTGGTAGCATAGACGTTGACAGCTAATCTTACCTGTATGTATCTACTGTATAAATAATGAACGTGCTTTTCAAGAAGTTACATCGATAAGAACTACCGCTACAGTTTGCTGGAACTTGCGGGAACATTTTCTTAATTAGAGCAACTTGAGAATTTTATGAGCTCAACTACAACGCAACAGGTTTCTGCTGGGTACTCGCAACAACCGAGTCTTCCGTTGTCCGCAAGCGACGAACCTGTGTCGTGCAAGCAAGGCGTGCACAACTTGGCGTTTGGTGGACTAGAATACGTCAACAAGAAACCTCAATTTGCTACGAAAGAAGAAGAGCGTCGTCACATGCTGGAACACATGGCAGGAGCGTTCCGGGTTTTTGGTAGAAAAGGGTATGCAGAGGGCACAGCCGGCCACATCTCTGTCAGAGACCCAATAGACCCTGAGACTTTCTGGATCAACCCGTTGGGACGTCATTTCTCGCTGATGCGAGTCTCGGATCTTGTACACGTCGACTCCGACGGGAACATCTTACCCGACGGAAACCAGGCCGTGATTAACCGGGCCGGTTTCAAGATTCACTCGCATTTGCATCAGGCAAGGCCCAACGTGAACGCTGCGTGTCACACGCATACGGTCAACGGTAAGGCTTGGTCTGCGTTTGGACGTGAACTGGACATGCTGAACCAGGACGCATGCATGTTCTACAAGAAACATACCGTGTACCGCAATTTTGGAGGAGTGGTACTTGAGGACGAAGAAGGGCAACGATTGGCTACTGCCTTGGGCGACCACAAAGCCATCATTTTGCAGAACCACGGTCTCTTGACCGTGGGTGAGACGATCGACGAGGCTGCGTACTTGTTCACGCTTATGGAAAGAACTTGTGAAGTTCAATTGCAAGTCGAGATGGCTGAACGCGCTGGATTGCCCAAAAAGATCATTCCGGACACAGAGGCCTATTACACTTACTTCAACACTTCCGATCCGGAAACTTTATACACCGAGTTTCAGCCAGACTACGATTTGGAGCTTGAACTCACCAACAGTGCCTTTTTGAAATGAACCCCTTGCGTTTGCTATGAGGTAATTTGCTATGTATCGATGATTATATTTTGTGTTGCACAACTCTGCTTACCCGTTTATGGGCATTACAGTTACAATTCCTGCGCTTTCCGAAATAGACCGCATTATATCAACTTTTGATCAAATCTTGATCAAAAAACCTCCGGAAAAAGCACAATTTTGAAGGCTTCGACTTATATTCTGTTTAACTAGGCCTCGATGAGTCAAACCTGGACGATTTCCGGTTTTTTTCCAATGCTTCTGCTCAAGTTTCTATATATGGCTTTTTTTTCAATATTTAGGTTGATCCCCGCAATTAATTAATCTTAAGGGTCCTTGACACCTTTCAAATAAGTGGAACTCCAAAGGAAAGCGAATGACTTACAACGCCCACCTCAGCAATAACTCACCCTTCTTTCAGAGTGAACACCCTTATATGCGAATTAGATAACCAAGCCGAATGGAAACGATGGGTTCTAAAGACAAGAATAGCATCGTAAACGCCAATGAAGTTAAACCTTCGACAACGAGCGTATCAGCTCTACCGGTGGAAATCGTTAATCTGATACTTGAACAGCTAGAAAAAGACAACAGAGGTGAAATAACAGATATTTACAACTGGCTCTTAGCCCTTGGAGATTCGAATCCAGGTGCCTCCCGACGTATTCGAGAACAAGTAGCTATTTGGAAATTAGGTAAATCCGAAAGCCAGATCCTGAACATTTTGGAAATTGAGAATGGAACTAATTGCCTTGAACAAGGTGTTACTGACGTACCACTTCGTTGTTCTCAGTTGGCAGTTTTTATCGACAATGAGTGGCTCAATTCGGACGTTGTTGAGGAAATGTTAATTGTGCCACCTAATATAAAGGTGAACTTAATATACATGTGCAGTCCACACAGAAAATCCCTCCAATGGCTTCATGGTAGACTGAATGCCAAGATTAAAAACTGGCCATGTTTGTCAGTTTTAGTCCAAGAATTTCCGATAAATGCCGTCTACGCCCCTGCGGAATTTGAGTTACTTACCCATCGGTACTTTGAGCAGCAACTTTTTGAAAATCTCGTTTTCTTCAACGTCGAAAAGCTTGTGTTGCAAGAGGATTCTTTGAGGAACTTTTTAGAAACTTGCGGTAGTGAAAAGGGAAGTGGAAATAAATTCGTTAGTTCGACACAAATGAGTGCTAATTTACGTTCCTACTTGAATATGCGTATATCCTTGCCTCATTTGATAAAATTGGAATTTCAAGACAAAAACAAGAAAGAGTCATTAAATTACATTGACCTTAATAGCATAGTGCGTACAAAAATTGGCACCAATGCCTTCACGTTGACTGATTATTTCAAAGTTCACTCATTCAGTACTTGGCATATGCCCTCTATTTTGCGTTTTTCGGGGCATCAGTTTATATATGACCAGCAAGAAACTGGAATCCCAGAGTGGAGAGCGCTAATAATCAAATCGGGCAACGGTGCTTTGTCCCATATGAACGTATCGCTATTTCCTAAAGGCGTCAAGGAATCCAAAATGATTGGATGGCTCCCAATTGATGAGCTTTTAGAAAAAGGTAGAAATAGCTATAGCCCTTTGATATGTTTGCGAAGCCCTTCCATAGAAACATTGCATTTAGGACTTTCCATGTGGAAGAAGGCAGGCAACATCAAACTGAGTGGACTTTACTTACCAAATTTAAAGCGATTGACAGTGAGTGGTTCTGGCGCATGGCCCGATTATCAAGCCAAAAGTGGCATTGATGAATTATTTTTGGTCACTTTCTCGTCTTGGAACGATCTATCTAAGTGCAATTCTCTCAAGTGCTGCCGCCTAATGAGGACATCAACTGTCCTGAGCATCCAAAATTTAAAGGAAGAGCTTCCAGCTTTGGAAACATCGAAGTTCAGAGCTTATGTCGATGATCGACAAGAGTATATTCCAGTCGACTGATGAATCGCAGCTCTCTTCGAAATTAGAAATAGGAATATCTGCGTGAAAGGCCTTGCAAACCAGAAAAAAGGTAGTCGCTACCAATGAAACGAAGCTTGGATGAATTCGATACTCGAGCTTAGTGTCAAGTCAGTATCTCTACAGCCTAGTCGGTATCCAACAAAGTCCGTATATGATTATTACTCGACCTTATACTTGGATACTTATTAAACAATTTTTAATACCTATTTGCTACATTAGATTCAACAACTTCGTGAACCCTTCGTATGCAATTTAAAGGTCAAACGGTTGAAGTTGTTTCAATACTTATGATTGCCGGGTTGATCTATTTTAAAAGAAGTGCGAGATAAGTGACTTAATATCACGTGATTATGATGACAAAATAACACATTTAAGCTAGAATCAATCCAGGAATCGATATGAATTCAAAGAACCCAGTGATGGCGATGAAACCACAAGTCCACCATTTTTTTATACAGAGAGATAAGGGATCGACGAAAATAATATTACAATAATAGTAGCCGACGTGGCCATTCTAAAAGGGGTTCCCTTGTATCAAGGAGGGATATAAATAATAAGTGTCGGGTATACTAACTAAGAATCTATTACAAAAAAGATACGAAGTAAGTAACCAGATTGAAAGCTTGATACCGACTATGTTTAACCTCGTTAATTCGAGTACATATATATATACTTGTTAAAAGTGGAGGGTGGTTGGAAACCGCCGTGTTAAACACTATATCTAGCATCCCTGACACCAGGTGTTACTCACTGTGTACTCATTGGGTACTCATTCCGTAAAGGGCGACTTTACTCACTTACGACTCACCCGTTTGAAGTGAGTGGGTATCTGATCGCTCACTATTCAAGCATGATCATATATGAAGGACAGACATCAAGTTCAAGGTCGTGGATTCTAGAAACCCATTGGTGATCTGTCCACCATCGTTTTGTAGCGTAATTTCCAGCTTCACCAACTTTTACAGAATCTCTTCGAATGTCGGATTATGTACGTTCTTCAACGGCCAGAATCGGACGTCAGAATCAAGTTTATTCGGAAGTTACAGGAGCTCGGCTGGTAGCAGGATGTGTGTGTTTGAGCAAGGATAAAACCCAGGTCCTGATGGTTCAATCATCTGCACACAAGCAGAAATGGGTTCTGCCCAAAGGTGGAGTTGAAAACGACGAAAATGACTTTCGAATCACCGCAATGCGTGAAACGTGGGAAGAAGCAGGTGCCATTGGTCAAATAGTCAAATCTTTGGGTTCAATCGAAGATATGAGACCACCTAAGGAGTGGAACAAAAACCTGAAAAATTTCGAACAAGCTTTGAGCGATTCGGACGTCAACAAACATCCTCCACGCTCAGAATTCCATTTCTACGAAATGATAGTGGATACTCTGGCTGAAGAGTTCCCAGAGAGACACAAGCGAGACCGGAAATGGTTTAGTTACGAGGACTGCAAGCGGGAACTCTTGAGAGCCAAAAGACCTGAACTTTTGGAGGCTCTTGATCGTTCGAACATTGTCAGGAAATTGAGCTGACTTCAAGCTTTTCTGTTTTAGTGTATATATCATTCTTATTTGGGACCTCCTAACAGTCCCGAAAGGATATCTTGCATGAAATTGACCGGTTTTTGGACCTTGATACCAAAATATTCTTGGCCCAAATAGTCTAGTTGCGCAGAATATTTCTGTATGGAACCGGCGTAATGGGTTTTCAAACTATTGAAAAGTTCTGCATTTTGGGTCTGACAAACGAGCACCAACTGTTGAAGAAAGTTAAGTTCAGCACTGTCAGCAAAGTAGATCATTTGAAACCCATTTTTGTCGATTACTTCGTGTTGAGGATTGTATTTCTCGATAAACAAGTTCAAAAACCTGGTCTTAGCAACGTAACACCATTCAAAATTGCCAATGAAAAGATAATTGAAAATTGGACGGGAAACAAAGTCTCCCGCGGCACCAACATCACTGGCTTGTTCAAACCAGTTCCATATCAAATCCACGTATTTTTCGACAGAATCCTGTGTACCTAGGACAAGGTATCGTTCAGCCTCATAAACCAAACCTGCGTCCATCAATTTCGCACCGATCACAGAATGCAAATATGGATCTCCATATTTGAAATCACCATGTTTCACGGACCAATTGTTCATCCCTGTGACAACGTCCTTCAAATTTGGCTCTTCTGGATCTAATCCGGCCAATAATTGTACCAAACGAGCCACGGAAATTTCGTTACTTTCAATTTCCGCCTGCTCATACACTTCCAGCAAATAGAAAATCAAATCTGTAGCAGATCCACCCTGTTTAGCATTCAAAAATGACTGAGCACCTTGACTAATTAAATCAATTGCTTGTTCATAGTTCTTACTCCGTATGTATCGGTTTGCGATAGTTCGAAGTGTCTGATGAGCCTCATAGTAATCTTTAGCTTGGATTCGAGCTTCAAATCTCGCCAAAGTCTTGGCTAACTTGGCATTCGTAGCCATTATAATTAGTCTTCTTAAGCTGTTATATATGGTGAGTTTCGATTGTATTAGAAAAATCAAAATTCATTTCTGAACTTGACCTTTAATTAAGAACATTACTAGAAAATGGAGGAACCAGAACAAGCTGAGCAAGCCATTCAGCTGATCAATGAGAACAAGGAATTCAATGCTGAGACGTTAGCACGGTTCAATAAATATGTGGGTGGAAGAGACGTTGGATTTGGGTACCATGTTATATCGGTTTTCGGGTCTCAATCTAGTGGGAAATCCACGCTTTTGAATGCTCTTTTCAGAACGAAATTTGACACTATGAATGCTCAAGTGAAACGACAACAAACTACGAAGGGCATTTGGTTGGGTCATACCAGAAATGTGGCTGTTTCTGTGGCGAAATCTGCTGGAAATGATGATTCTACGAGGGTAAACGAGGATCTATTTGTATTGGATGTGGAAGGTTCTGACGGTGCTGAAAGAGGTGAGGATCAAGATTTTGAACGTAAAGCGGCGCTTTTTGCTATTGCTGTGTCCGAAGTGCTTATAGTGAATATGTGGGAACAACAAGTTGGGCTTTATCAAGGTAATAATATGGCTCTTTTGAAAACGGTTTTCGAAGTTAATCTTTCACTTTTTGGCCAAAATAAGGACAATCATAAGATGCTTTTGCTGTTTGTCATTCGGGACCACGTGGGTGTGACGCCGTTGACAAGTTTGAAGGAAACTTTGGAAACGGAATTGAATGATATTTGGAGCCAATTGGCCAAACCAGCCGGGACAGAACATTTGAAGTTGCAAGATTTCTTTGATTTGGAATTCACCGCTCTGGCACACAAATTGTTACAACCAGAAGAATTTATCAAAGGTGTCGAATCTTTGGGTGACGCTTTTACCTCAAAAGATAGCACGACCGGATATTTGAATCCCCAATACCATCATAATTTGCCGCTGGATGGCTGGATTATGTATGCAGAGAACTGTTGGGACCTTATTGAAACTAACAAGGACTTAGATTTGCCCACACAGCAAATTTTGGTCGCGAAATTCAAGACCGAGGAAATCGCAAATCAAGCGTTCCAAAATTTCGAGGAAAATTACCACGTAGATTTGAAAAAAGACACGACGGCCTCTGAACTGGCAGAACAGTTGAAATCATTGAAACGAGGTTGTTTTGAAGATTACGATGCGTTTGCGTCCAGATACGTTCGATCCGTATATCAGGAACAAAGGAAACAATTAAGCATCAAGACCGAAAACAAGATTAAGACTACTTTGGCTGAATATTTTGCGAACTTGTCTGAGCAAGTTCTAGAAGAGCTCACTTTAAAGATTACGGCCAAGAACAAACAAACGTTTGCCGATAAGACGAATGTCGCCAAAAAATTCGCACTCGATAAATTTAGAAGCAGTGCACAAGTATTCACCACTAGAGAACTTGTGACATCTTTGGGTGAAGAGATAAGCAATTTTGAAATTTCCGTCGAAAAGGTCATTTCAGATGAACGCGACAAGGAATCTAACCATATAATCGCGCGTGCGGGCAAAAAAATTCATTTGGGAATCAAGGAGGAAATCTTCTTTTTATTAGCACACCCACAACCGGATCTTTGGGATCAAGTTCTCGCCAAGTTCAACGAACTATGGAAGGATTCTTTAAAAAATTTCGAGACTGGGATTGATCAGAAATACGATTTTGGTCTAGAATTGTCCGAGTCGAAAGACGCAGAAATTAGGGATTCTGTGCGGTCAAAGGCCTGGACGGTACTGTACGAATTGGTACATGATTACTTATCGGAAGACAACGTAGTGACCATTTTGAGAGAGAAATTCGAAAATTTATTCCGGTTTGATGAGAACGACTCACCAAGGTTATGGAAAAATGAGGAAGAAATTGATTCCATTTTCCGAGTTGCCCGAGAAAAGGCTTATCAGGTACTTGACATATTGGCAATTGCTTCAACGACAGATGGCGTTGAGTTGGTACCTGATGTACCTTTGAGAGACGGGGACGGCAACATGGACCTCGAGCAAGATTTCGAAGACGACGAAGGTGTATACCACAGCAAACGGTTTGCACATATTTTGTCCAATTCTCAAAAAGCGAGAATATTGCAAAAGTTCAAAAGACAAGCCAACACCACTGTCATTGAGGCTAAACGATCCACGATCAAAACGACGACACGTATCCCATTATACATTTATGCCCTTCTTGTCGCCCTTGGTTGGAATGAGTTCCTCATTGTCATTCGCAACCCATTGTTCGTGACATTGTTACTCATTCTTGGCGTCGCATTTTATTTTGTACAAAAGTTCAATCTATGGGCTCCAATCATCAACGTGGCAGAACTAGCCGTCAGTGAAACGCGGCAAGTAGTCAAAGATAGGCTTAGAGGTTTACTACTCGAAGAACCTAAAAAAATACCTGTTGAACAAGACAAAGTTTCAGAGGAATTTGAAATGCAAGAGTTTGCTCAATGAAAGAGAAATCGAGTTCACAATTCTCTTCAAAGTGCCCTTGGTAATGCGGTCGTTGATACGTATAGATATGAATTAGTCTCCCATACCACGTTTCTCCCTATAATCGTATTTCTCTTATATATACGTGTACCTATTGAAAGGCTAACTTAATTATTTGAACTTTCCGCAAAGAAAAGCATATTAGCCAAAACTTAGAAAATTAATGAATCTCGTCAAAAGTCTCGCTGGAGCCTCTGGGCAATGGCAACATTATTTAATGGACAATGTTCCTTATCTTGGTCAAGTCATTGAGTGCGATTTGATTTTTATAATGTGCAGGGCTTCTTCTTCAGAAATTCGGTGTATTCAAATTGGTGAACCTCGGGTTAAAGAGCAAGCCCTCACACAAGGTTTCGATGAATCTTCCACCAGTGACTTGTATACACGTTTTCTAGCTGCCATTAGAGTCCCGACTGATGATCTTCATATATATAAGCAGGCGAACAGTGTAGCCTTTGAGCTGTGTGTTACCCAGGACATCAGATTGCACCTTAAATTTAAATGCATTGACCTCCATCCAGAGACGAGGATTCAAATTTACAGATCAATTGCGTGTTCACGTACCAGGGATGTCAACTTCATGAACAGTGCATTTCAAAGCTTGTTGTCAGTAATTACAAGGAAAGATGAGGCCCTGCGATATTTGAAAGACACCATTAAAGACTTAGGATACAACAGCGTGCTTCAAAAATGGGCACCACCAGGTTCGTTGAATGAGATTGTCTCAGATGAATTTGAAGTTGAACGTTGGTGTCGAAATTATGTCCATTCTTTGCTGAGTTCCACACAAGGTTTGAATTCACTGTCATCTGCCGAGAAAAATTCCAAGATTCTCACAAGATTGTATTCCGAGGTCCACTCTTGTGAATCTGTAACTATAAAAGGGAGACGACGCTTGTCAGGTGGCTTGAATGATGTCACTTCAATGGACAGTTTTCAAGACAGTTTCAATAGTCTCGATGAGGGAGCCACATCTGTTACTGACGAAAGTCAGTCGACTAGAGAAGAGGGCAACGAATTCAATTCTGCTCCTAGGACCAGTCAACAGTTACTTCCACCGGTTGAGGAAGAGACACTTTCCGAAGGGAACGAGGCTGGCTCTGGGGCCGAAACGTCACCTTCCAAGAAAAAACGAAGATTTGGCAAAATAAAATCAGACGATTGACCACTGGCGATTATGTTTGACTTGGCTCGTTTACGCTTGAGCGCCATCTCTTGACCAAAGTCTGCAGTGCATCTTTTTGTCTCTGATCGTGACTTACATAGAGACTTTCAAGCACGAAGGTCCAAAACTGTACGAAGTCCGCCTGTTCTCTCGGATTTGTTGGAATGCGCGTCAAACCTTCCGGCAGAGATTTCCAGGTCTTCACGTCAAGCTGATTTCGATGGAAATATTGACTGAATGTTGAAAGCCAAAACTTGGCAATGCATCGGCTTGCATCCTTGAGAGTGTGCAGTTTATTTCTATCATAATCTAGCAGTTCGAGGTCGTCCCCGTATTCGTGAACCATTACTGTTTCAACTGCGCCCAAAACTATGCTGGATATCTCGTTGTGAAAGGTGGAATAAGTCTGGCCACTAGTTATCGTAGAAATATCCTGTCTTGGCAACTCATTTATCTCTTTCGGTTGTAAGTTGTTACCGGCAAGGCCTCGATTTTCATACATAGTTCTTCCCGCGATCAGCTCCGCCGTCATACCCTTTCTGTAGGATATGGTAGGAATCTCATCAGTGAGCGCTTTCAAGCACAAGTTTTTGTCATTCGAGAGAAGAACTACGAATCGGTTTAGACGCGCCTTGAAGTACATGCAACAGTCCAAAATCGAGTCGTCCTTGCTGCTTTGGAAATCGAGTCTCTGAGCAAGTCGTTGTCCTACAACCCCGGAATCGAGGTCTGCAAGGTTTCGATAGAGCCAGTCATTGGCTTTGCGAGCAAGCAATCCGATGCTCTGACCGCCCTGCGAGCTCCATTCCCCATTTTTAGAAGGTAGTACAATTTTTTCAGAGTTTTTCAGGCCGTCAAGCTCCTGTATCACAGTTCGCGGCACTACAATCTGGTGATTGAATTCCGAACTCAATGCTCGAAGTCTTTCCAAAGTGTTCAAGTGCGAAATTATGAAATTTGTGTCTAGGACGAAAATTGTTACAAAATCGCGCTTTTCGATCACCGGATCGGTGTCCATGGCGTCCTGGGATGCGTCCAGGGATGCCAAAGACCCAGCTTTCCTCTGCTCTGCGAGATAACTAGAAAGCTCCTGTGTGGTATGATCATCGTCTATCTCCATTGCTGCATCCCCATCAGCATCAAAGTCACCCAACTGATCCCCCTGGTTATTGTCATCTGGCCGAGGCTTGGCCAGAAGCTTGTCAATGTCATCCACGGTGTATTTTTTAGTCCTCCGGGAAATGGCATGCTGATCGCTTAAAGAGTCAATTTTTTTCGCGAATCTCGAATCCATGCCTTGAGCTTCTCATAACTGCTGACACTCGAATGTCAGAATTGAGGCTTGAAACAGGTGCAATTGTACCGTTAAACACTCAGTTTAGCTGTTAGTAGATGTCCATCCAGCTGAGGACACGATCTTACGTGTAAAGGGATCTCTTCTAAAAGTCATCTGACTTAAACTAACTTGTCATGGTATACGAATATGGTAATACGTAATTAATGATCTGCATTCCGTATGAACGTATATTTGATTTTGCGTCCTCCAAGAAACGCAAGCCACGCATCTTTTTTTCAAACGCGGCGGATGATTTGCTTGGTTTCTGGGTTTTTTTCACTGCGGTAATAGAAGTTTGTTAACACCCGTACATGACATACAACAACAGCGAAAAAGGTATGACTGCTCTAAATGGCGTCAGCGGCTTCTGAACACACAAGCATGTAATAAAGGTAAGTTTTATTAAAATTTAGGAAAGCTATAAACAAAAGTAGGGCAATGTACGATAGAATCAAAGAGAATGATACAAGACCAGAAGTCACCTCCTTTCGACTGACACCCACCAAAATTCATCAATGCGGCGTGTCTCCGACGTAGTTTCCACGATGGCAATCAACTCTGGTGAAAAAAAACCCGAAAATTCTTGTCTGTTACTGTCAAGGGAAGCCAGTAGAAAGACACAAGCTTCGGCTTGCGTCTTTCGCTTCAATTGACCTCAGAACATCAGTAAAGACTTCCGCTCCTTTTTTCTTTGCAAATACCACTTCACCACGTGAAGTACCAAAAAAACCAGAATCCATTGAAATTGCCATACGGCGCGTCGAAGATCACATGGCGATAGTATGCGTAGTGCCAGTTAAATTCCCATCAGCTGTCGCACAGGCCTAGCAAACGATTAAAGCTTCGTAATTGAGCGTAAAACAAAGCCGTAGAGAAGAGAAGATAATAAAAAAAATGTGGTTTCTTCTTCTAAAACAACTCGCTTATCTCAAACGACGAGCCTCACGCTCAGACTCCATCAACACCAAGATGTCGTTCTCTCTGACTGGACCCTTGACGTTTCTGACAATGGTACGGGAGGTGTCGTCCAAGAACTCAACACGGACTTGGGTAACACCACCACGAGAACCGGTACGGCCTAGAACTTTGATGACTTTAGCTAGAGTAACTGGGGTCTTGGTGTCCATATTTGATTCTTTGGTCTTTGGAAGTAATGCGAGGAGTGGAAGAGTGTTCCTGGCACTGGCAAAATTTTTCAGTTTTCATCAGGACTCTTTCTTCACGGACGTGCTGGACGTCCGCTAAACCGAAAAACTGTGCGTGTGTCTTTTTTCACGATAGAAGGCGGGTAACTCTAGCTTCGAGGAACTCGAAAGAGCGAGAATAGGTAGGGCAATCTATGGGCAATCCATGGAACGTCGGCATCGATTATAAGAATTGTTTCTGACGTATCACCTGTATGAGCTGGTCCTCGCTTAAGTGTAAAAGTTGTCTTATTTCGCCGACAAATTGAGACATTTGTGCGATATCGTTCTGGAAACTATCCTGTAGTTGGTCGAACAAAGTTTGATACTTGTCTGACAAGTCGTGACAAATTTTGCCGTTCAGTTCCTCGTTGATTATTGTGATCTTGTTGGCCATGTCTTTGGAAAAGTCAAGTATCGATTTGGAGATGTCTTCTTGCAACTTGTTGGTAATGGGATTGCCTGTGAACGATGGGTTTTTGTAGTTAATCTGCGGTTGAGGAACAGCGGTAAGCGTAGTGCAGTCCAGGTTTGTAGACGCAGTTGCGTTGGCAAACGATACATCGTTGTTCGGTAAGGCGGTCACTCCAGCTGTAGAGGGTGTCGTTTCGCGCTTACATCGTTTTTGCAGAGTAGGAATATTCGATGCAAATGGGGTTGCTTCGAGTCGTCTGCGCGACTTGATCTTGGAAATTTTGGTCGGCTTATCCTCTGACCTTCGTGGTAGTTTCGTATGCGCGCGCGCTTGGACTTGTTTGCCGAAAATAGCATTAAGGGAAGTGATATCTCCCTTGCCAATGAGCGTGGATGGGGCGTCTGCGTCGGTGCTCCTATATGGCGGAGCACCATGCTTATTTGGTGCCGACCTGGGTATTTTGAACTTTTCCACTGAGGAGACGCTCGTGGTTGTGTCGTTGGTTCCACTTGGCGCCTCCCAGCTTAGCGCGGTCAGCTCATTTGTAGGATCAAGATTCGATACTCCTCGGAGCAATTTCCTTTTCTGCGCCGTCACTAATGGAGACTCCTCGCTGGTTAAATAGCCATGTCTGTTGGCCAACGTCGGCATGTAGTCGAAGCACACAGGGTTTCCGTCATGACTTGCTGAATTCGACGTTGTCTCCGAAGTTTTCATCGAGGATTCTTCTCTGTTATTTGAAATCTTCCTTGAGTCACCCACAGCCGAGCTCGGCGGCTCCTGCTGGTCACTCGACGTCTTTGAGTCGCCCGGTGGCATATCATTAGAAGAACTGAAATTTAGCGAAATGAAAGTTCTGACTTCACTAACACGACGCAGTTGAAGGTTTTTCAAGCAGCTATCGCATTTGTCTGGGCCCTCAAATCTAAGCGTGATCTGCTTAGTGTCATAAAAATGCGCAGGTGTGTTGGGTTTAAGGTAAGCGGCTACCGCACGATCGAAACTGGTTTTGAAATTAATTTCGATATCGTTGGCTGAGCCTTTAGCCTTCGCTATGGTGGTTGCATTTAGTTTAACTTGCCATGTGTGTCCACTGTTCGAAGAGATGTACATGTAAGGACCGCAGACTTGAACGAAACACCCGTTTTTAGTTCCCAGTGTCCGAGTTTTAGACTCAAAATCAACAAATTTGACCAAACTCGGCGCAGAAAGAGCGCTGAAGGGTCCCAAATGACGTTGAACAAATCTGGCAACGAGTATTTCGCCGCGCCGCGATTCTAAGGGCAATTCAGGGTTCGAAAAAAAGGCTTCGTTTTGACTTGTTTCAGCCCATAATCGTGGCATTGCAGCATCACTCGTTGACGGCGATGGTGCTGCAAAAATGGCAATGATTTCAACTAGCAAGCAGGCCAAGTGGAAAGTGTGTGTCCGTGTTAGTAGCGCACCCAATTGTAGCCCGTATTTCGCTCGCAAGAGCGAAAGTAGAGGCAATTTCGCGTCTGATTCGTGTTTTAAAACTCGTAACAAAAACGCAGTGGGTTGCCACGTATCGGGTCCCTCTGATGCCAAAATGATACCTAGCAAAGTATCGAGCGTCTGAGAATCGAATTTTCGATTTTTTGGCAATTGTTCGTTCTGAAACCAACGTTAGTTTTCATCCTTAGAATAATTATCAGGAGAAACGGGTATCAACCTGGCAGAATTTGCCACTACAAACCATTATTTGAGGCCAGAATTCGTCCACTTTAACCCCAGCGTGCCCCAGCACCTGGTTCATTCGTATGACCCCATTCGTCACACTCCAATATTGATCCGTGCCGCTGCTCTTGGCCGCACCTATGATATCCGTAAGACACTCGCCTGTGATTCGCCTGCCCTTTCTCACATTCTGCAATTCACTTTTTAAGCTTCTTAAAACGGCACCCCCGCCGTCCGGAAATCCGGTGGAAATTACCTTCTTGAAATTTTCAGTCTCTTCAGCAATCGTAAACATCTATTAGGGCTCTCGATGAGCTTTAGTTGCACTGTTCTCTGCTCAATGGCTTATTGAAGTCGTGAAAAGAATGGAGAAATAGCCGCCTAGCATCCCCCTTTTTATAGTTAGATACAGATCGTTTTGTACGATATGGAGGGGATAACCTTAAAAAAGTTGAAAAGGGTGCTAAAACATGCAAATAAAGTCCTATTTGAGCACTGAATTATGGACATAGGTCCGCAACATATGCCAAAAACATTGCAACATTTTGACAGTTTTCAAATGCTCCTCTTCCTTCAGGAATGTCTTATCTGTATGTTTTCCCACACTACTTTCGCTTTAGGACGTACATGTCGTATATTACGGCACCCGATTTGAAAAATTTCAAGATATCAGTTATAGATAACTCATCATCGAACTCATCACCTACTCCCTAAAACCTATAATTTAAGACAATTGAGCCCTCAGGATGTCGTCAGTGGATGATCTAGCGGTGGAGTTTAGCAAAGTTGGCTTTGAAGATGCCAAGGTGAAAGAAATCGTGAAAAACAAGAAAGTTTCCGCGTCGCTTAAATCGCTTTTAGAGGAATGTCCGGCCAATTACCAATGGGACAAGTCTAGTAGGACTTTGTTGCACACTCTAGCGTCTCAAATCAAGGGTACAGAGCTAGAGAACCAGAAGGTGATTGTAGACGGTATTTTGTCCGGAGATTTGAAAACGCCTTTGCAAGTGGACGCCGCTTACAAGTATATTAAGAAAACGGGCAATAATGTGGTTCCAGAAGAATTTGCCAAAGAGTGCGGTGTAGGCATTGTTGTCACGGAATCACAAGTCCAAGAGCGTGTTGCAAAGTATATTAGCGACAATCGCGCTACCATTGTCGAAGAAAGATACAAAATGGTGCCGGGTATCATTGCAGCTGTCAAAGGCTTACCAGAATTGAGATGGGCCGAACCAAGACTTTTCAAGCCCATTATCGACGCAGAGGTTCTGAAAGTGTTGGGACCAAAGGACGAACGTGACGTGGTCAAGAAGGAGAAGAAAAAGAAGGCCGCAACGGAGAAGAAAACTGGCAAAGCCAGTGGTTCCGATTCCGAGGGTCCTAAGCGTAGTATGTTCACCGAAGGGTTTTTGGGAGATCTGCATAAAGTAGGTGAAAACCCACAAGCGTATCCTGAACTGATGGCTGAGCATCTAAAAGTAACTGGCGGCAAAGTGCGTACCAGATTCCCACCTGAACCCAACGGATACTTGCACATTGGCCACTCGAAAGCGATCATGGTGAATTTCGGGTTCGCTAGGCACTATGGCGGCGTGTGTTACTTGAGATTCGACGACACGAACCCCGAGGCAGAAGCTCCAGAGTACTTTGAATCTATCAAGAGAATGGTGGCGTGGTTGGGATTCGAGCCCTGGAAAATTACTTACTCTTCGGACTATTTTGACAAACTTTACGACCTTGCAGTAGTGCTCATTAAGGCCGGCAAGGCGTACGTGTGTCACTCTACTCCCGAGGAGATCAGACGTGGACGTGGTATCAAGGAAGATGGTACTCCCGGTGGTGAAAGATTTGCGTGCAAATATCGCGAGAGACCTATTGAGGAGAATTTGAAGGAGTTTGCCAATATGAGAGATGGCAAGTACAAGCCTGGTGAAGCCACTTTGAGAATGAAACAGGACTTGAACTCTCCCTCCCCGCAAATGTGGGATTTGATCGCCTACAGAGTCCTGGATGCGCCACACCCGCGTACTGGTACTAAGTGGAAAATTTACCCCACTTACGATTTCACACACTGTTTGGTCGATTCTTTTGAAAACATCACGCATTCGCTATGTACCACCGAGTTTTACCTCTCACGAGAAAGTTACGAATGGTTATGTGACCAAGTTCATGTGTTTAGACCCGCACAAAGGGAATACGGTCGGTTGAACATCACTGGAACAGTCTTGTCGAAGAGGAAAATCGCCAAATTGGTGAATGAGAACTATGTCCGTGGTTGGGATGACCCACGTCTTTTCACTTTGGAAGCGATCCGCAGAAGAGGTGTACCACCGGGTGCAATTTTGTCCTTTATCAACACACTGGGTGTCACCACCAGCACGACGAATATCCAGGTCGTGAGATTCGAATCTGCCATCAGAAAATATTTGGAAGACAATACGCCAAGACTAATGTTTATCTTGGACGCGGTTGAAGTTGTGATCGAGAACTTGCCAGATGATTACGAAGAGTTGGTCACAATCCCATATAGACCAGGAACACCTGAATTTGGCGAAAGAATCGTCCCCTTCACGAAACGTATTTACATCGAGAGATCCGACTTTTCGGAAAAGACCGGTGACAGCGAATTCTTCAGATTGACGCCCGAGCAGCCGGTTGGACTGATCAAAGTGCCATACACGATCTCATTCAAGTCTCTGGAGAAAGACACCGAGGGCAGAATCACACGCATTTATGTGAATTACGAGAACGAGTCCGGAAAGCCCAAGAAACCCAAGACTTACATCCAATGGGTGCCTCAGTCTGTCAAATACAATTCTCCCATTAAGGTCACGGAGACCCGCGTCTACAATCAATTGTTTAGCTCTGAGAACCCATCTGCGCATCCAAACGGTTATCTAAACGATCTAAACCCCGAAAGTGAAGTCGTCGCCAAGAATTCTGTCGTGGAACACAATTTCCGCGAGATTCTCACCAAATCTCCTTGGGTCGTTGAGAACAACAAGAAATCCGAATTTTACGTCGAAGAAGAGCATGGTGCCAAGGAAGTGTGCCGGTTTCAGGCCATGCGGGTCGGTTATTTCACTTTGGACAAGGACAGTCAGGATGATAAGATCATCTTGAACAGAATTGTTAGTTTGAAAGACGGAAGTAAATGAACAACCCTGGGCAAACTTCTGATCCTCTTTTCTATTCAATTGTTTACAAGTCATATATACAAGCCTATGGGTGCCCAATGGGGATCCATAGGGCCCTCCTAATCAAGATTGAACTGCTGATTTCTCCGTATGGGTTGGTTCAGATCTCGTATCACGATAAGATACCGCAGCGAAAGTGAAAAATTAATTGGTGGTTGAACCTCGAAACCATCTCATCGCCAAAAACTCGTAACGACATCAACATGTCTGGACGCCAAGGTGGTAAGCTGAAGCCTTTGAAGCAAAAGAAGAAGTCCCAACAAGATTTGGACCCAGAAGAAGCAGCTTTTAAGGAGAAGCAGAAGGCAGATGCGGCTGCTAAGAAGGCCTTGCTTGCCAATATGAAAAACGGAAAGAATTTGGTTAGTGGGGGAATCAAGAAGTCAGGCAAGAAGTAAATGAGGCGAGAAAACCTCCTCTAGCAGCCGTTGGGCTTACTAGGAGTCTCTGGTGTGAAACAAGTGAGAAAACCTTCGAGATTTTGGAGCTTAAAATTTGGCCTTAGCGTGTTTGCTGATAGGTCCCGTTATTAGTTAAGGTATCTGTATAGTTAATTAAATGTGATACTTCTTGATGTGGGTGTGTTGACCGCCAGCATTGAAGTGCAAAACGACAATAATTCAAAATGAAGTTTGAACGGGTCAAACTGTTTAAAAATGGCTCAAAAATTGCCCGAAAATGCCAGATGTGTGTTCTAATTCTTTATTGGATATCCACCTGTTCTCACACCTTCCTAGTCATTTTTCGTCTCGTGCAGCTCTTCTATCTTACTATTAATCTCATAATTTTTTATCAGAGAAAACGCTTTCAGTACCAGAAAACCACGTAAATGAGCCTAACCAAAGTTGATTTCACATGCTAGATTCCACCAAAACGACGTAGTTTCGGCCATCTGAAACACTCTTTCAATGGCTTATAAACTCATGATTACTTTCGTCGAGAAGCTCAATTTTTATGGCTCTAAAAGATCACACCAACTAAACCAACACCATCCAAATCAGGTTCAAGAGCCAGAACCCAACAAAACAACGTATTTACCATGTTTTCGACGACTGTTTTGATGGTGAAGTCGTCGATCTCTGATATCATTCTCAACGATCATAATCTTCAACAACACACCGATAATCAACTTTAAGCCGTATTTCAACTCATCACCATCAGCTATTGATCTCTTCCAACCTGCCCCATTATGAGCGCATCAAGGACCGGGAAAGCGCTCACCAAGTACAAAATTGTGTTCTTGGGTGAACAAGGCGTTGGAAAAACCTCGCTAATAACAAGATTCATGTATGACACCTTTGATGATCATTACCAAGCGACCATCGGTATAGATTTCTTGTCTAAAACCATGTATTTGGACGATAAGACGGTACGGCTGCAACTGTGGGATACTGCCGGTCAGGAACGGTTCCGGTCACTGATTCCATCTTATATTCGGGATTCTCACGTTGCTATTGTGGTTTACGACGTTACCAACAAGAAATCATTTGAATACATCGATAAATGGGTCGACGATGTCAAGAATGAACGTGGTGAGGAGAATGTTCTTTTGTGTATTGTGGGCAATAAGAACGATTTGGTCGAAGAAAGGCAAGTTTCCACGGAAGAAGGTGAACGTAAAGCCCAGGTGTTAAAGGCCAAGATTTTTGTAGAAACGTCCACTAAAGTCGGGTACAACGTCAAAAACTTGTTTCGTAAGATTGCAAAGTCTTTGCCCGAGTTTCAAAACGATTCGGGCAAATTGGCAGGTTTGGACGGAGAAGCTGGTAAAACTGCACCGGGTGTTATCGATATCACCACCAATACTGAAGAAGACACGACAGGTGGTTGTCAATGCTGAGACAAAAGTTTCTATGTGTAATTATTTAGTATATCTATAAAATTTGACGACTTTGCCATGCCTACATGTTTTCGAATTCGGTCTCGACGTAAGAGCCGTTGAAGGATAGTGTCTTGCACATCCGTGGGAGTAGTTCGACCTGGATAGGCTCCAATGGAAAACTTTCACCATCTACCGAGATGACGCTGTGTTTTATCCGCGGGATCAATCTGTAGGCCAGGATCTTGGAATGTAACACTTCTGGTTGTAATACGTGGGATCCTTTATCCAAAGACAGCAAAATCGGTGCCATTCTTGTAATGGGAGTTCTAGAATCGGTTATCACCATATCGAAGGTGCCATCTTGCGGTAATGCCGCCGGAAAGAACTTGGTGTCTGCTGCAATGTACGGCATCTTCCCCGTGTAGAATATGCCCAAGTTATTGGTGAGTTCAGGGTCTAATTTTTCCCAATCACTTGGAATTTCTTCGTTAAGATCATATTTCAGTTCAAAATCTTGCGTTTTGACTACATCATCGTCGTTCGAATCTGAATCTAAATCCATTGCACTGTTTCTTATCCTTTCCTTGTGCATCACATAATGATTTCTTAGTTCGTTTTTAGATTTGGCCGCGTATTTTACGTAGATGTCGCACGGATACCTCTTGCGTTGCAACACGTTAAGCGCGACACCCAGTTCGAATCGTGCAGGACCTATCCAGCGCATGAACTCGGTGTTGATATCGGACTCTGCAATGACGCCGTAAGTTTGACTCAAAAATGACACGCGAGGTTGTTGTGCATACGACGGTTGCGTACAGCACATGAGATCGATCCGAATTTCGGCGGATTTTATCAAACTCAAAGCTGCCTGCGAGGGGTTCGTAGTGCCGTGACAGGAAACACTCATTGCATTACCAGACCCGCATGGCAATTGTGTCACTGTAAGTTTGTTGAAAGCCTTGACGCGGTCTTCGCGCTTGAAAAGTCCATTTAATACTTCATGTGGAATACCATCACCGGAGGCACATGCTACTATATCGTATTTGTCCACATCGATATTCATAGCAATGTCCACGGCATGTTGTCGGTACGTGGTCTCGACTATTTCCACAGCACATCCACCTGCAAGTAAAATGGGCTTAATTTTGGAAACGTAGAGTTTGCTGGCCCTGCCTTTCCCGCCATGTGGGTTCACAATCACCAGTATTGCTTTCCCGACTTTGGTTCCTTTGTAGCTTCGCTTCATAATCTCTTGTACGATATCCGAGCACGACGGTAGACTTGCCACTGATAGTATGAGTTTTTTGGGGATCAAATCGTGTCTTCTGGGTTTGGCAAATGTGAGTTCGACCACTTTGGATCTGGCGGAATCATATGACATACCTTGTAAAGTGTCATCAGAGATGGAATCTCGCAAATTCGTGTTTATCTCGCGCGCGTACAAGATGTTACCATAAGGTAACACTGAGTTTGCCGGTACCATGAGTGAGTTTCCAACTTCCGCACGACTTGAATCAGCCTCGCTAAGACAAGTCACACAACTAATCAAAGACGCAGTCTCGAACATCCCGCTACTGCGTTCCTGACTCTCTTCGTCCTCAAACGGGTTGGCAGCTTCTTCTATCGAAGAATATGGCTGTTGGTCTTTGATTAAAATACCCGTATCCGTCAAAACGGCACGGCTATTGGTCTGTGTGCTTTCTTTAAGGCCTTTCATACTAAATTGATTACTTGTACGATGGGACACCGATGGAAACACAAAACCCTGTTGTCAAAGAGTACGTGGAGCCGTATTGCTTCGAGTGTAGGCTCTAACAAAAGAAGAGCTTTAGAAACTTCTCACTAAGCGATCCTCACAAGTTCAATATCCAAAACAAGCGCTTGTACACTGAATGAACGTGAATTTGGAATGTCGCAAACCACCCAAACGTGTAGATTTATAGCTGTTTTGGCTTATAGTTCGCCTGTTCTAAACTTCAGGGGATAACGAGTACGCTGAACTTGACTTTAACGTCTTTGATTGGCAAGGACGTCCTGTTTCAGTCACTAATCTCGAAATTCACCAACGATGCCCGAATGTCACCTTTTTCGACGGTTCAATCAATCGAAAAAAACGCCTAAAACGCGCTTAAAAAAATTTAGACTGGGTATTTCTTATCGCTAAAACCTGTTCCTTGCGTTACCAGGACACCAAATCGAGTGTATGGTTCGGTGTCAGCGGTTTATTTAGGTTCCAGGTGACCACCAATTTCTCGAAGATGGTATCTGCCCGTCTTAATTGAAAATCAGATCATTTTCGTCTATCACCGTACGAACATCGACGCGAAAACGTGGAAGACGGAGATAGCGGGAAAGAGGGCAGTTGAAGTGATCAACGATGAGATCAGATTGCTAGATAAATCGTCGTGGTTGAGATGATCATTTGCCCGGTTTCCTCGTGGGAAACGGAGCTCTGGGCGATGAGCTGTGCCCAGTTGAAATTTGTGACCGATACGAGAACCAAAATGCCCATTAAGGCGGAGCATTATGGGCTGCACATTGGCCAATGTCATAGATAGACATGACTGGCATGGTCATTTAGCCGGTTTTTGAGCGCAAAAACGAAGCTCTAAGGGATGTACTTTGCTCAATTGAAGTCGTGGCTGGCATTTAGACAAAGTGTGCATTCAGCCATCTCAGAGGTTTTGAAGTGACAGAAGAGCTGGATATGATGACATCTAGCCAACAGTTTACAAATCTGAGTCTTCCTAGACTTGGGCATTTCTCGGTAAATGCCTGGAATGGATGGCATGGAATATATGGCTGACAAGTGGTATCTACATCTTCTTCCAACGATTATTGTGGGCTCGGTACTCATCCATCAATGTCTTTAATTTCCAAGATGGTGTGTTGCTTCAATGGTAATTACGACATGTTGCGTACGTCGCGTATCACTTAAACTGGAACGCAAAAATATATCGATACCAGAGATCAATTCTTTGCATGTCAGGAACTTTACGGATTGAGCTTTGTTCCAAAACACCGGTCCCATTAGCCATCAGCCAAGACGATGCATATTGAAAGTTCATACGTCAATTTGACACCTAAGCTCCGCATCCAGAAGGCCTACTGTGCTGGGCAATCCCTGTGTGGGCCCAGGGCGCGTCGAGCGCTGAATATCCAGGGAAAACTGCCCCACCGCTTCAGGCAATCCGAGACAAACTAAAGTGCAGGGCTGCTGTGCTGCCGTTCGTTGCATAGTACGAGCGTAATATGGCCTTGTGCGAAGGCCTAACAAGACATCAGCAACTTCGTGGCCTCCGCCTACGGCACACCTCAGAACTGCATACTTTCACAATTAGCTCTCAGTGGTTCTACTCATCAGCGCCTATGACATTTGTGCCTGTATGAAGAAACGGGTACCCATTTTTTTCGTTGATCTCAACACTTGGGCAACCGTCAAAGCTGGGAACTCTGGATTCGGAGTGATCAATCTTTCAGGAGCTTAAGACTTCATCACAACATGACTTTGTCTCAAGGCTGAAAAATTAACGTGTTGACTACTACCGGGTGCGGTAGATAGGCTTTGAATTGATCTTTGGTCTGGCTCTTACCGCGATGGTATGCCGACTATACAACGAACACTTGGGTCACCTGGGCCCTCTATTGGGTCCTCATGAATTATTCTGTCATTGCAGTCGCGTGACTCACCTATACTCATTCGTTCTCTCTCCGCCGGAAGATGTTGGGCCATGAATGTGTGTTTTGGATATTATGACACCGGAAATCCTTCTAACTGGTCGCTTTGTTCATCTATTGATGTTCTTAATAAAAGATTTCCTTCATGACGGTTAATCGGTGTTCTTGGGGTACAGTTCTCGAATTATCAAGGCATTTCATTTCTTTCCCAAATGTAGAATAAATGGGCGTTAAGAACTTCTCTCAGCAGCGACCAACGCTCTCATTTGTGTGAGGTGTCTATACGGCCATGGCTGTGGTCATGGGCTAAGTGCGAGTCTCCTTTGATTTTCTCCTTTAGCTCTGTTAGCGGCACGCCCGAAGTCTCGTAGGACATTGACCTCTGGAAAACGTGGTCCGCCCGTTTGACAATGACATCGTCGCCATGACTTATGACAGGAGCTGCTGGTAACTGAGACCTGTGAAGGAGTCTAGGATGTGAGGTATCGTCAGTCATCATAGTCTGTAAACATTGCGTGATCACGATGACAGAATGATAATGAGAGAGAAGCCATGGGATTCAGTGCGGGTCAAGAATCATCACACTATCGAAGCCGGCCACCAATGTTATCATAAATAGCGTAAGATGAGAATTCACCGTTTCCGAAGTCCCGGGAGGCATACTGAATCGTAGTTCAAGACCTGTGTCAAGACGATAGTACCAGCTCTAAAACGGCTATGATACCAATCGCGCAGAGGTGTAAACCCCCAAAGCCCGATGGTCTATGGGGTTCAAATATGTACGAACTAGATTGCAAATTGGAAATGCCGACTACCACTTTGCAATCGAACCGAACAAAATAAAGAAAAATTCAGGCATTGACACGACGGCAGACATTCTCAATAAAAGCATACTTTAATAGCCTTGAAACGCTCGCGTGGAATGCTAAAGGTCATTGTACTCCTCCACTGATGTAAACCTGTAGTGGTCTATTCTGTCATCGTGGTCACGTGACACTTTCGTCACGATTTAAATCTTAGTCGAGTTTCTTCATGTCCGATTCACTTGCGAGGTACGGAAACACTCTGATTCCTTGCAGTCTTCCGGCTCCAGCTACTCAACTGGGTCGCTACTGAGCCAACGTCCATGGCATCGTCCGACTCTTGCAAGGGTCGAGTAGTTTCTTACGAACACGGCTCGAATTGCCAAATGGCTGCTGACAGCACCACCCCTGCAACTGGATTCCTCAAGGACTATCAATTTCGTATGCGCCTTTTGGGTACTCAGCGACTGTTGGTGCCACAGCTACAAACACAGACGCTCGCAGGCAAACTCCGACCTACTCATAAGTTATTGATCGTTCAGAGTGATGTTGGTAACTCAATCTGTACGCCCACCATTGCAAACACGCTCTGAAACGTGTCCCCGGTCTTAGCGCGGCTGCCGTACTATCCAGCGGCACCTCTAGCATTACTCTGCTCGTTCGGTAGTAGCGAGTTTCGATTCCTGCGGTCACGTGTCTCGATTCTCTCTATCGCCTCGTACGAACCTCTCCGAACTTTCTGGAAAAAATTTTTCACGCGGATTGTGGGGAAATGACCAAACGTATAAAAGGAAGCAGAAACGTTCAATCAGGGGAAAGGAATCCTCATCAAGGATTATCCCCATTGAGACGGAAAGACAGACCGGCGTAATCCCAAAATCAAGGATACAGAATGCTCAGAGCTACAAGAGGAGGCGCTTTTCGGAATCTACGGACCGTTTTACGTCGGAACTATTCGTCGCACAAGGAACTGAAGTTTGGTGTTGAAGGGAGAGCCGCTTTGTTGAAAGGTGTTGAAACGTTGGCAGAAGCCGTTTCCGCAACGTTAGGGCCCAAGGGCAGAAACGTGCTTATCGAACAACCGTTTGGTGCTCCTAAGATCACCAAAGATGGTGTCACGGTCGCGAAAGCGATTACTTTGGAAGACAAATTCGAAAATATGGGCGCCAAATTGCTGCAGGAAGTCGCATCCAAGACTAACGAAGCCGCCGGTGATGGTACTACGTCTGCCACGGTTCTGGGCCGCGCCATTTTCACGGAATCGGTCAAGAACGTCGCCGCCGGTTGTAACCCAATGGATCTCAGAAGAGGTACGCAGGCCGCGGTCGAAAAAGTGATCCAATATTTGAGTGAGCACAAGAAAGAGATCACGACGTCTGCCGAGATCGCTCAAGTGGCAACGATCTCTGCCAATGGAGACGCGCACGTGGGCAAGCTTTTGGCCTCGGCGATGGAGAAAGTCGGCAAAGAAGGGGTCATCACGATCAAAGAAGGCCGTACTCTCGAAGATGAGCTTGAAGTCACCGAGGGTATGAGATTCGACCGCGGTTTCATCTCGCCTTACTTCATTACGGACCCTAAATCCGGCAAAGTCGAGTTCGAAAAACCACTCATGCTTTTGAGCGAAAAGAAAATTTCGTCGATCCAGGACATTTTGCCCGCGCTAGAGATCTCCAACCAAACTAGAAGACCTTTGCTGATCATTGCAGAAGACATCGACGGTGAGGCGCTCGCGGCGTGTATCTTGAACAAATTGAGAGGCCAAGTCAAAGTATGTGCGGTCAAGGCTCCTGGTTTCGGTGACAACCGTAAAAACACGCTTGGCGATATTGCCATTTTGTCCGGAGGTACCGTTTTCACAGAGGAATTGGATTTGAAACCTGAAAACTGTACTTTGGAACATTTAGGATCTTGCGACGCGATCACCATCACCAAAGAGGACACCGTGGTGTTGAACGGTAATGGTACCAAGGAGAACATCCAAGCCAGAATCGAACAAATTAAAAACTCGATCGACTTGACCACGACCAACTCGTACGAAAAGGAGAAATTGCAAGAACGTCTGGCCAAACTTTCCGGCGGAGTTGCCGTAGTGAGAGTTGGTGGTGCTTCCGAAGTCGAGGTCGGCGAAAAGAAGGATCGTTACGACGATGCACTCAACGCTACTCGTGCCGCCGTCGAAGAAGGCATCTTGCCAGGTGGTGGCACTGCTTTGCTCAAGGCTTCCAGAGTACTCGACGAAGTCGTCACCGAGAACTTTGACCAGAAACTCGGAGTCGATATCATCAGAAAGGCCATCACGAGACCTGCAAGAAAGATTATCGAGAATGCTGGCGAAGAAGGTTCCGTCATTGTTGGCAAGATCATTGACGATTTTGGGGATGATTTCACCAAGGGCTACAATGCGGCCAAGAGCGAGTACACAGATATGTTGGCCGCTGGAATCATCGATCCTTTCAAAGTTGTCAGATCCGGACTTGTCGATGCCTCCGGTGTAGCATCTTTGCTGGCAACCACCGAAGTCGCCATCGTCGATGCTCCTCAGCCACCTTCTGCCGGTCCACCAGCGGGCATGCCTGGCATGCCCGGCATGATGTGAGCCGAGCGCCTTTCGCAACTACCTGGTAAATAATGAACTTACATGTAAATACAACGAATCACTGTGTGTGTCAAAAGAGGTAGAGTGTGTGCAGGCAGATGCCAAGGGTATGCTGCGGTGTTCTCTGCTCCTGAATGTGCAAAAAAACGGGGCGAGCTGGGAATTGAACCCAGGGCCTCTCGCATGCTTGTGATAGTCAAACTGAGTGTAACTCAATCTTCGCCCAAAGCGAGAATCATACCACTAGACCACACGCCCTACTAATTGAACATCTGTTAGTAAGAAATAAACAGATACCCAAGGGCCTGTCATTCATGCGATTTCGACGGGGGAAGCGGCAATTGCAAGCCTAGGGCGACATTAACACATCTCACTAAGTACTGGTGTATGTACATGCCTTTTTAGCTGTTTAATATACGGAAACGTATCTTGTTCTTAAGGCAGACGATGTCACGTTACCGGGTTTGTCTACACTTCTGTCAAAGTTCCCAAAGTTAAACCCTCAACAAAGTCCGAAGAAAAGTGGTGATGCTCGTCAGTAGTGACATCATTGTGTTTTTTGAAAAAAAGAATCGCAAGTTTCCTGAGAAGCTCATCTCAAAAACTTATCTCTATCAACAACAGATCTTGACGGCCCCGTAAAGACGGCTCAGAGTGGTGTAGAAGGTCAATAGAGAGCAGGAGTGTCAGATGCAAATTTAGAATGGTGTTGATGTTCGAGGTTCCGCTGGCGAAAACGGACAAGAACTCGAGCTGTATGCGGAAAGTGAAGTATCACTATGTGGACGTCTTGCGGCGGAAACATGCGGAAATGGGGTCTGCGGCGTGTGGTAACGGGCTACCAACACCCGAATGTTCTGCTGCGGAGGACGAAGACAATGGTTCTACGGTTTCGGGCGATTCTGCGCGTGCGCGGCGTCGGAAACGCAGGATCCGGAGTGTTTTGGGTCTTGCCTGTTCCGACAGCGATTACTCGGATTACGACGTCGATGAAGACGAAGAAGAGGATCAGAACTATGAGCGTGTGTATCACAGCATGCATGAGAAGCCACAGGAGACGTTCGAAGTTTGGGCCACAGATAAACGCAAACTGCAACCTATAAACAAAAATTTCGTCACGTTCGCCGAGTGTCACGACCTCGAAAGATATGCACAAAGACGCATCGAGCCGCATCTTGCGCGCGCCTCGAAAACGGTCAGATGCTCTTTTGACGCGATCAAATCCGGTCAGGAAGTGATACCGGTTCGCAACAACACTAGCCACCACATGGCGCATGTGCATCGCCTCAACGATTTGCTACATGTGGCGGTCCTCGAACGTCAGTGGAAATTTGCATACCGGTGTTTCTGTGTTTTGATTAGGCTCCCCGACATAGACATTCGCAGCATATGGGGGCTTGGTGTGCGGATCTTGCATGAAATGGCTGGAAGCGACCCGCAAATTGGAACCAGTCAACAATTTTTGGAATGGTTGTCCAGTGTGTACTCCAGGAAGTCCAATTACAACCAGACCATCAACCATAAATTGGATCCGGTCTTCAGATTGGGGTCAAGGACTCACACGGCGAAATTTGTCACCACATGGCTATGGGAAATTCTATTGGATACATGCCCCAACGAAACAGAGGGCGCTTTTATAGGTGCGCAAGAGATGAAAGCAAACGAAAGGAAAAGTAATTATCTCATTGAAAAGCTCTCAGAAATGGTTTTGGTACCTCCCTACATGGATGATCCGGAGATTTGGTTCATTTACGCCTTATGCCATTTGGTTCAAGCAGATTTATTGTCACGACAATTCTTGCAAGACTACGTACCAACGAACACTTCTCACAGAAACATTGCCAGTAATCAAGTTGTTCAACATATCACACATGCGAAAAACTACCTATCTGTGAGTGCGTCTAAAGACAAGAATTTTACCTTCCCGGAGAAAGCCATTCTCCATCAACTCAGCGTTTTCGAAAGCAGGCTTTATCGATCAGATCATAGTTCCACAAGCACCAATTCTCCCGCGCTCAAACCTGACGCGTTTTTAGAATCAAAAGTACTGGATACCTTAGATCCTTTAGATGCAGACGCCAGTGCTTTTGAAGAAGAACAATTACATTACAGACCCTTTGAGACAATGGAAACTATCCACTTTGGACAAACCTCAGACTCCGGTGATACCAGTGATGGGATCGAAAGTTTCTGACTATAAAAATGTCATCGTATAACTATTGCATACGCCCTCCTCCTAATATTTAATTTTTAGTTTTCACCCCAAAATAAAGTCATTATGAACCTAAAAGATTGTTTTACTCCCTTCGTGCGCGTTTCGTCAAATCACTGACCTTTTCTTCTAATTCTGAAACTCTTCGCTTCAATGTGTCCATTTCCTGTTCGCTTTCAAGATTTTGATCCGGTATGATCACTCTTTTCAACTCACTGTTTTGCTCCACAACTTCCTGACAAGTGTTGTGATCAACCAATGAAACTTCGATGTCGGTACCATCTACTGCAGTTATGGAAAAGGATCTGGTAGAACCCTCTTGAAACAACGCAGGGAACGCGCACCAGCCTGCAGGAATCGCGCGAGTATCAATTTGAGTGCTTGGTTTCGTAATTGAGTGGGTGTTGACCTCCTGCGGTTCATCTGCTGTAGGTACTATTACCTCAGGGTTTTCTTGTTGTGCCGTTGTCATGATGGTTACCTCGCTTGACCGTGACTGAGTCGCTTCATGTATGGCCAAATTCCCATTCTCATCAAATACCGGCAAACGACAAATTGGACAGGTCTGAGACCTTTCCATCCAATTTTTCAAGCATCCCAAGTGCAAACAATGGCCGCAGGGCAATCTCTTTGGCTTTAATCGTGAGCTGGTCACATCCGCCAGTGGAAGCATATCGTCCATGCAAACGATACACATTTTGTCTTCATGGGAATCGAGATCTTGGGAGGCAACGTTGGGTAATTTCTCGTCGAGTTGTTTGTTGTTTCTCCAGCCTTTCCAAAGAGACTTGCTGCTTTGGTAAAGAGCTATGCAATTCCAAACGACGTCCTTAGCCAAAATCATGGGCATTCGGAAAGGCTTCAACAGCGACAAATGTAACAAAGTCTTGAGAAACCTGCAAAGAACGTCGACGAATTTTTCGTACAGAAACTTGTTTTCGAGTCCGTTGAAATCCTCATTGTCGAACGAATTGGCGCGCTGGTAACAACGCAATTCGATGATCTTGATCGAAGCATTCAAGACCACGTTAACGATTTCTACGAGTAACATGGCAAAGTCAATACCGTAGATAAGAAACACAGGAGAACTTGAATTCTGTGAATCTTGTGGGTCCCCGGACCTGTGTAGGCAGAATCGAATCATCTGGACGTCTATTAAACCGAGAATCGCGACATTAAAAGAAAATTTAGAGAGCAGGAGACGCGCAATGGAAGCGTCTTCGGCATTGACTTGGAACACGTGTTCCAGTCGGTCGCTCAAGATCCAGTGCAAAACTTTGACGAATATGAGAAGTGACGCGAGTGAAAGCGCGGCGAGAAAATCTTGTTCTTTGAACATGGTCGAAACCAAAATGCTGTTGACGATGGTGAACGAAAGTCGTTCGAAAATGTGCTCGTACTCGATTAATCGTAGTTCACCGAAAAGGATACGTGTGAACAATTTCCACAGAAGCACGCAATTAGCAATCATGAAATTTGCCGAGACCATGAGATTGATACCATCCGATAGTTTCAAAGTGGCGTCCAAAAACGAAATGCTAGTCTCTACACTGGTATAAATTGCCCAACCGGTTGTCAGGTATGTGAACAAAAGATAACCGGAAAACTGGCCTGTTCGCCGCGTACCGACCAACATTTGGACCGCAAGCGACAATTCAGATTCGCAGTTTACGATAATGCTAAGTTTCGGGGTTCAACCGAAAGCCAAAGGATTCTGTTGGTTAAGATAGGTAGAGTATGGAAACGAAGGGAGTTGCGGCTTGCCAGTTGAACTTCGATCCAAAGGTCACGTGGTATTTTTTCGTATGGGGCGATTGCTCCTCTATGTGAGGGTAACCGAGAGTGTCTCAAACTAGCCGCTTACTTTAAGCAAAGTTACTCTTGACAGTTATATATATCAGGATTGAGTACTTATAGCTCTCTGTAATTTTACTGACAAAATGGTTGTTCCGCTACTGGTCACATCGCCTTCTTCGACCTCTTATTGCTGTTATGAGGAATAGTACACTTTTACACCTAACGCCGTTTATCTTATCATTGCTGATCTGTTTTGAGGGTAGGTGGTAATTTTATAGCTGGCCTTGAAATCGTCAGCGCTTTTAATATCTTTTGTAGAAGCGGGCTTGAAACATTTGTTAAACTAACTTAATTTATTCTGTCATTTAGATCACGTGACATTTAACACTGATAATGCAACTTGACGATATCACCTTTGGCTAACTCTTTTCGCTATTTGTTTTCGCCTACTACTTTTGGAAAATAGCATTATTACCTGAATGAGATGACTCTTGAGCTTGATGCCATGTATAGGAACGCCAACCTTTCATGTACTTGCTGATACCTATCATCCCAAACGTAATGTTGTACATCAGGCATCTGTAACTTGGAGATTACTTACCCCCAGCTTCTCTTTGCAGCGGAGACGAATAATAAATCCGGTGCCCGATTCCACCCATCAACAGTGCGAGTCGATTTGTTTCGAAAGAAAGCACCAGATATACCACAAATTTCTGGATGGATACCGGGGAAACCGGGTTACAACCCGATTACAAATGGGTTGTACACGGGTTGAATTCGGGTTGAAATCGGGTTGAAATCGGGTCGCAAAAGGGTAGTAACTGAAACTGATATTGTCGCTCTATACGTATTCGGGTACCCAATGGGTATCGTCGCTGTTTTAAGTAACAGCGACAAGACTAGGCAATACACATTCGCGGTAAATTATGACCCAATCAAATCTCAATAAAACCTTGCATACCTCCCACCTCGATCTGTCGCAATTCCTCAAATGGGAGCTTGGACAGACAATATCAAGGCTTGCAACTCGTAGAATGGATTGCGGAACGCAGCTGCTTGGGCAGATGCCTTGAGGGCTATCGATGCCTGTTGGTGTTCAAGAATTAAGCTGCTATTCATCGTACATCCGACGGCGTAGCGTAACGAAAGGTTTGAAAATGCAAAAGATGAAAAGGCAAATCTGCCTGCATATATAGTGACTTTCACCTCTGTGGGTACTGTACTCATTGTCCTCTTTCTCGTCTTGGACTCTATTTATCACTTTGTAGGTATTCTGTCGCTTACATTGTGATATAACGTCCTAAGGTAAGCTGCGACAAACAAAGCAAAAATAGAGACGCCGATTCTAATATGCTAATGGTCCTCTGGTTAGTTCTCCCCTAACCCAAATTTCTAAATTAAACCCTCTAAATTATGGGCATCAGACGTGGCAATCGTTCGTAACAAGCTGCAAAAGAAGCACTTAAATGGAAAAATAGGACATAAGCACATTTCGGAAGCCAAATAACGTACCAAGAGATTGTTACAGTCCAAA